GAATTTCCCTCATAGCACACTGTATGGCGCCTCATAAGCGGAATAGGCCAGGGTATATCTCCATCTGAATCCGGCACTGCTTCCAAGCGATCTGCGCACGAAGCTTATATTCTCACTTATAATCGTGTGAAAGTATAATGTTATGAGAACCCCTTTGACGAAAAGATAAATAAAGAATAGCGATATTGCAAGTTTATACAGAATTTACTAATAATGATTATTTCGAATGTTAAAGATGCACTATTCAAGAGCTAAATATGCCTGATGCAGATCTTTAGTTTCAGCTCATCAGCTCATTACTATATGTTTCTATACCCGCCTATAATTATGGCGACAGTTAAAGGGCAATGTTGGCGTCAGCCAATATTCAATATTTTAACACAGATTTTTGCAACGATAGATGCGTAACGATTTGAAGAAACTTAAGAGAGGCAATCGAACTGGATTGATAAAACATGGTAATCCACGGACTGTTTCTATTTTTCTCGCTTTCTTTTATCTAGTGACAGTCAATTCGTTTATGTATTGTCAGATTCGAACAGATATCCCCTCAGTCTCATATTACAACTTTTCGTCCTAAAAGGAATTATCAGTGAGCTGAAAATCGACCGTATATCCGCTATCGCTGTCTACGTGGTCAGTTACTTCCCGTATCAATGATCTCTGTGTTAAAATTATATTTGGAATGTGTTTAACCAGTTCTATCACATGTAATATTGGCTGACACCAACATTGTCCTTTAAGACCACTAGTTTATGTCAGTGTTGTTGTTGTTGTTGGGGTTTAACGTATGCTTCTAACGAGGGTCATATCGCAGACAATTTGTCTTATTTTAGTATATTCAAGGCATGCGTGGGAGTCTTTCCTGTGGGAGTACCCGGAGTAAGTTTAGAACCCCCACCCCCACCCCCAACCAGAAGTGGCCTGCTAGCTAGAGCTCGAAACACTCCAGATCAATAGGTCATCCTAATCCACTGTTGGTCCTATCGATACCTGCCCTTTGATAGAGGTGTTAATAAGTCATCATGGTAAGAATGTCGACGTGGTCTGACACTGGTGTACACATCCCAAGCTTAAACACAATAAATACCCTCAGAATCTGTGATCGAGAAAGATCCTTCTCTTTTGCCCAACCGTTGAGAAAATAAAACTATCATTTTTGTAGTTTTATTGATTGTCGTATCCAACAAGTGGAACGTACGTGGACATGCGACAACTTGTGTACACCTGTCTATAGTGTTAATATTGACAAGCGCCAGTGTTTGAAATGAAATGAAATTGGATTTAAAATCCTTCTGTTCTGCACCATCTTTGCTAATGAAGACGGAAATACGCCGTGTAGTGTTTTCTTGAGGGGACAAGTTTCCGGAGTTCTTTTACTAGATACTGTTCATTGCACCACTGTTCATTGTCCCCCATCATGCACCACTGACAAAAAAACCGGAATCGAACGCGGGGCCTCTATCGTCCTAGTCACTGACACATCTTGACTCCCACCAGTGGCCAACACGTGCGCTTTAGCTGTTAACACAATACCTTGTATTTAGTTTGCAGTGGCATTTGGTAATACTCTTCAAGCTGAAATGAACGACACAACAGTAATCATGCCACCATCCACTACTACGCAACCAGAAACAACTACACAATCACCAATTACAACGACACAAATGGCAACAACGACAATAATGACAACTGTAGAACCAAAAACACCGACACAAATGACAACAACTACACAACCACGAACAATGACAACAACTACGCAACCACCAACAATGCCAACAACACAACCACCAAGACAGACAATAAATAGGGAAGTACCAATGCCGACCACAACTCAAGCATTAGCGACACCAACTTCAACAGATAAACCAGATCAGGTGTCAATTAATAGCACGGACACCCAAGTCAATTTTAATTTTCACCCAAGTCATTTGTAATATAATTTCAATTCTGTTGAATTTTCACCCAGCGCGTGATGTCATCTCAATTAGCCTCGTTTCCAAAACACTAATTTTCGCCCGCCATTGGGAAAATAAGCGTGGAGGGGTCGACACAATCTTAGTCGGGATCTCACAGTGAAACGTATTGAAATAAAATGAAATGGAGGTTTAACGTCCTACTCCGACTGGGTTACTGAATGCAGTATGCCAGAAGGGAAATTTTCCTCTGTCAGCGGTATGCCATGAAATTTCAACTGTCAAGGGTTATTTTACATGCTCGCCATTAATGTACTAGGGGCCTGGGTATTGATATAAGTAAGCATGCACCCATCATAGACAACGCCACCGAACATCCAGACATAGAATTTAGCGTAGTTTGTTGGAAAGAGATAAAAAAAAAAACAACTTGGCCTATGTGCACTAATGAATGATGGGTCACACGCATGGCTCTTGACCTTACTACTGGAAACAAACACAGATAGCTTTGCCATGAAGTCAAAGGGCCTCTTTTCTTACAGGACACAGAGGATCTCTTTTCTTGGACTTGGGGCACTTCAACTGGATTTGGTGTTTCCTTTCAGTTTAGTTTTTTGATATTTTCAAAAAAAAAGTTTATTACACTTTCCAATATAGGCCTATTTATATAGCAAATCTCCCCAGGGAGGTTCTCGCAAGATACTGAATCGATATTTTGGTGCGTAACATCCACTCGACACAAATTAGGTCATTTCCGGACTCTAACTCATTCATTTCAATAGCCAGTTTGTGTATAGTGGTCTTTCGTAATGGAAGGAAACTGGAGTACTGGACGAACAACCCTACCCCTTGCCACGTAGGAGCTGGAAATCGAAACCACGCCACTTGAATTATGATGCAATGCACACACGTTAACTATTCACCCCCCCCCCCCCCCTTTCAATTCTGAACATTTAATGAAAGTCAAGATTTCTTCCCTTTGATTTAGAGATCTTATTATAATTTCAGTCCATAAAGTATGAATCAAATGTAATTACAGGCCTCATTTCTGGCTCTGATACGTTGACAGGCCTGCTTATGTTCACATAAAAAGTCATCGTGTTATAATATCAAAAATCTTTATTACACTAGTAATGGCTTTTCTGGTGACATATATAATTTAAACAAGAACTGATAATATTTGATATAAGGTAAAACATAATCTATTACAATCCGATACATGTAATTACAGAATGAGAAAAATATCTCTTTAATACAAGGTAAAACATAATACATTGCAATCTGCTAATTACATTGTGAGAACCAGCGGTTGCCAGGCAAGATACGTCCATATTTTGCATGAGATGGATTGAGAACAAGCAATAAAAAAGCTATTTTTCATACAATCAGGGGCCATAATCCAGGAAGTTATGGTCTGAAATGCGCGAGTATCGACATGGACTGAGATATTTGGGATATATATATTTTAAGTCTCATCAAAGTTTGCGTCCAACCTCGTGGGTTTTCTCCGGGTCCCCATGTTTCCTCCCACTGCTAAAGACCCCTACGCGCAAGCAAATTATTGAAATAAAATTAAATCATATGTTAGTCCCAAAATGACCTAGTTTGTGTCAAGTGGACGTTAAACCCCCACCCCCCTCTCTCTCTCTCTCTTTCTCTGTCTCTCTCTCTCTCAAAGTTTACGTACGAGGAGTGACCACTTTGTCAAGCAGTTTCGATCAGATTTTCAGAAAATTCGAACTCAATCATCATTAGGGCGTAACGGTGATATATTCAAACGTTTTTCTTTTAATCGGATACAAATTGTGACCTCTAGAGGGACCACAATCGAAAAAACGAGATTTTTCGTACAATCAAGGGTCGTAATTCAGAAAGTTAAGATCCGATAAGCGCGAATATCGAAAGAAACCAGATGATAATTGTGACCTCTAGAGTGTCCACCCGCTAAAAAAAAAAGAGTGACTTTTGGTACAATCAGGGGCCATAATTCATGAAATTTCAATCCGATACATGCCAATATCGAAAGGAACCTTGATCTTTTGGAGATAAACCTATACTTTAAGTCTCGTCAAAATCGGATAAGAATTGTGACCTGTATAGTGTCCACAAACAAATTATGGATGGACGTCCGGACGAACAGGGGTGACGACATATGAAAATGTGGGCGTATAAAAATATCTATTTGATATAAGGTAAAACAATACATTGCAATCTGCTAATTACAGTATGAGAACCATATAAGATAAAACATAATACATTACATTGGAAACACGGCTAATTGAGATGACATCACGCGCTGGGTGGAAATTCAACAGAATTGAAATTATATTACAAATGACATGGGTGAAAATTAAAATTGACTTGGGTGGAAATTATAAAAAAAACAAATTATATTAAAATTGACTTGGGTGGTAATTAAAATTGACTTGGGTGGAAATTAAAATTGACTTGGGTGAAAATTATAAAAAACAAATTATATTAAAATTGACTTGGGTGAAAATTATAAAAAACAAATTATATTAAAATTGACTTGGGTGAAAATCATAAAAAAACAAATTATATTAAAATTGACTTGGGTGAAACTTATAAACCGAGGTCCCGTGTATTCATTGGAATGCACGTAAAAGATCCCTTGGCAGTTGGAATTCGATATAAGAGTAGGCGATAGTGCCGCTGGCCGGGCAAAATTTCCCTCATAGCACACTGTATGGCGCCTCATAAGCGGAATAGGCCAGGGTATATCTCCATCTGAATCCGGCACTGCTTCCAAGCGATCTGCGCACGAAGCTTATATTCTCACTTATAATCGTGTGAAAGTATAATGTTATGAGAACCCCTTTGACGAAAAGATAAATAAAGAATAGCGATATTGCAAGTTTATACAGAATTTACTAATAATGATTATTTCGAATGTTAAAGATGCACTATTCAAGAGCTAAATATGCCTGATGCAGATCTTTAGTTTCAGCTCATCAGCTCATTACTATATGTTTCTATACCCGCCTATAATTATGGCGACAGTTAAAGGGCAATGTTGGCGTCAGCCAATATTCAATATTTTAACACAGATTTTTGCAACGATAGATGCGTAACGATTTGAAGAAACTTAAGAGAGGCAATCGAACTGGATTGATAAAACATGGTAATCCACGGACTATTTCTATTTTTCTCGCTTTCTTTTATCTAGTGACAGTCAATTCGTTTATGTATTGTCAGATTCGAACAGATATCCCCTCAGTCTCATATTACAACTTTTCGTCCTAAAAAGAATTATCAGTGAGCTGAAAATCGACCGTATATCCGCTATCGCTGTCTACGTGGTCAGTTACTTCCCGTATCAATGATCTCTGTGTTAAAATTATATTTGGAATGTGTTTAACCAGTTCTATCACATGTAATATTGGCTGACACCAACATTGTCCTTTAAGACCACTGGTTTATGTCAGTGTTGTTGTTGTTGTTGGGGTTTAACGTATGCTTCTAACGAGGGTCATATCGCAGACAATTTGTCTTATTTTAGTATATTCAACGCATGCGTGGGAGTCTTTCCTGTGGGAGTACCCGGAGTAAGTTTAGAACCCCCCCCCCACCCCCAACAAGAAGTGGCCTGCTAGCTAGAGCTCGAAACACTCCAGATCAATAGGTCATCCTAATCCACTGTTGGTCCTATCGATACCTGCCCTTTGATAGAGGTGTTAATAAGTCATCATGGTAAGAATGTCGACGTGGTCTGACACTGGTGTACACATCCCAAGCTTAAACACAATAAATACCCTCAGAATCTGTGATCGAGAAAGATCCTTCTCTTTTGCCCAACCGTTGAGAAAATAAAACTATTATTTTTGTAGTTTTATTGATTGTCGTATCCAACAAGTGGAACGTACGTGGACATGCGACAACTTGTGTACACCTGTCTATAGTGTTAATATTGACAAGCGCCAGTGTTTGAAATGAAATGAAATTGGATTTAAAATCCTTCTGTTCTGCACCATCTTTGCTAATGAAGACGGAAATACGCCGTGTAGTGTTTTCTTGAGGGGACAAGTTTCCGGAGTTCTTTTACTAGATACTGTTCATTGCACCACTGTTCATTGTCCCCCATCATGCACCACTGACAAAAACACCGGAATCGAACGCGGGGATTCTATCGTCCTAGTCACTGACACATCTTGACTCCCACCAGTGGCCAACACGTGCGCTTTAGCTGTTAACACAATACCTTGTATTTAGTTTGCAGTGGCATTTGGTAATACTCTTCAAGCTGAAATGAACGACACAACAGTAATCATGCCACCATCCACTACTACGCAACCAGAAACAACTACACAATCACCAATTACAACGACACAAATGGCAACAACGACAATAATGACAACTGTAGAACCAACAACACCGACACAAATGACAACAACTACACAACCACGAACAATGACAACAACTACGCAACCACCAACAATGCCAACAACACAACCACCAAGACAGACAATGAATAGTGAAGTACCAATGCCGACCACAACTCAAACATTAGCGACACCAACTTCAACAGATAAACCAGATCAGGTGTCAATTAATAGCACGGGCATGACCACAGACATGACCACCGAACCAGAAACGTTTGTGTCTTCATCTCCAGAAACGACAGACCTTACAACGGACGATACGACACCCCCGTCACCAAATACAACCGCAGCACCACCAAATACAATCGCAGCAACATCATCTACAACGACAAAACCAACTACAACAACAATACAAACACCAACACCTTCACCTACAGCAGCAAAAACAACAGCGGGAGGATCGCCACGACAACAAGGTAGTGAGTATAAACCCTAACTTTTGTCAAAATATCTGGTTTTTAAATATATGATCTACCCAAAAGCTTTACAAGTCCAATTTAGATTGATTTTCCGGTTTAGAAATGGAATCGGGTTACACGCCCACTCCTCACTTTATTTTCGGCCATTTTTCGAATTTGTATTTAGCGACGCAATAGTATCAAAAGTCGGATTAACATAAAATCTAAATTACGCTTCGTTTTAATTTTTATAGTGCACTTCATTGAGAAAATAAACGAAACGAAATTATAATCGAATGATGATTAGAATTAGTAGATTAACATTTTTGGTATAACTCCAAATAACGATTACATGTGGTTATTTCTATCTGCAGCATCGCCGCCATATTACTGGATAGGTGTGTTCCTACTCCTGGTTATAGTCGTGGTAGCTGTGGTGTTCTTTCTACGATACAAAAGGTAAAATGATCAATTAACAAAGTTTTATGACTTAATCCACGGCAGTATGTACAAAATCAAATTACCAACGCCGATCAGTTTGGTTCACGGACAAATAAAGATGGCGGAGGGTTTATTACATTTGGCATATCTTTGTAAATATTGAATGGAATTGGACCATTGTTCGTCTGATAATCCTTTTAGAGATTATAGCTTGCAAGGTACAGGGCTGGGGTAATGGTAATGGGTAATGGAATGTAATCATTACATTTTTTAAGTAATGGCCATGTAATGAGTAAAGGAAGATTTCAAAAGTAGTGAGTAATGGAAATGTAATTAATTACATTCCAAAAATCATGTAATGGTCAATTACATTTCAATTACTTTTCAATTAAATTTTATGGCATATATAAATATGTCCAATATGGCAAGCCTCAAATTTTATAGCACCAAAAAAGTAATTAAGTGTATCTGACACAAATCCAATTCATTATAATTCCAAAAAAAGATTTAAATCAGTTTTAACAAATTATAAGAAAAATAAGAAGGCATTGAACATTTTCTTTTATTACTTTTTATGTAGGAACCTTTCTTAGACATGTAACCTAAGAAGTGCATTTCTGATAAGATGTATATTATAATCAAAGATTAGTACTAATTTGCAGCCAATCACTCAGTCAATCAATCAGTCAGTTAGATTAAAAGACAATAAATAGTCTTACTGCACTTTAATCTTAATCTCAAGGTAACAAGTGACAAACCAAGCAATGACCTTTAAATATCTCATCATTTTATGGTTACTTAAAGCTAATATATATTTTGTTTTAGAGTCATGCTGAATAATTTACCATTTATTATACAATATATTACAGAAAAACTATCTGGACTGATTAAAATTTTAAAAAAATTACTTTAAAGAAAATACAGTTAATTAACTATAGTTTTGATTCATTTTTCAAGTCATACAGTGAAAATGTCAGTTTTTGTCACCACTGCCGGTCACTATAAAATTTGTCTTGATGTTATAATTTCTATGAAAAATGTTTTTTTTATTTATATAGTCATAAAGTAATGGGTAATGGTAATTAATTACTTTCAATGTAATGGGTAATGGTAATTAATTATATTGCTAAAAATGAGAAAGTAATTGTAATGAATACATTTAAAAAGTAATGGTAATGGTAATGTAATTAATTACATTGGCAATGTAATGGGCCCAGCCCTGGCAAGGGACTATATAGCGCTAAGATCAGCATAGAGTCTTTAAAATTAATTTAAGCTTGATAATTTACAGCGGCACTACGACCAACTGCGGCCTGCTCTTATATCGAATTCTAACTGCCAAGGATTCGTTTACGTTTACGCCAATGGGTACATGGGACCTCAGTTTTTCATACCATACGAACGACTATACGTTGTTGTCCCTTGCCAGGCCCTACGTTCTGCACCAATGACAAGGGGGGGGGGGCATGCTCTCGATCAACACAAGGATCGAACACCGGACCTCCGGGTAATGAGCCAACGTCTTAGACACTGAGCCACCGTGGCCCCCATTTTGTATATAATTTGTTTAAAGTTATTACTTGGCGACATACATGTATATACAGTTTCACCTGGAAATAAGATTAATCAATTTACGTTAGCCGGATCACAGGCGCACGGGCTCGATGAATGTTGGGGGGGGGGGGTCAGACCCTGAAATTTCGGGTTACAGACGGGGGTGTCGGTCGTCTGTGAGAGGCGAAGGGGCGGAGCTTACCATGTAGGACCCCCCCCCCCCCAAACAAAAAAAAAAGAAGAAGAAGAAGAAAGTTTGGAAATATTGACGGAGGCAAACGCGTTTTCTTGACGCGTCTCGTGATAGTGGGACCCTCTTAAGACGGTTGTATTAACATCTATTTCTATATAACACCTCACTGGTTTGCACGAATGAAATTAATAGTCAGACCTTTTATGCTCGTTAACGCCGTCAAATGTGAAAAATAAAATAGATATTTGAGTAACGTCCTTGTTGAATAATTATGTCAATAATAATATATAATATAAAGAAAACGGTGTATGAATTTGTATACGTATGTATAACATCAACGATAAATAAATTCATTATTTATACATTTGGATCATGACGAGACTTTTACATTTTTTAATAACCAGAGGCCTTTTATGAAGGGTGTTTCACGTTTCACCCGTGTCATCTTACCTAGATAAATTTAGAAATATCAGATAAATTTATATATAAAATGGTCCCGTGATGCATAGGCATAGGAGCTCGATGAAAATTTATCTGCCTCAAACGCGTTTTCCTGCTATTCCAGCCCGTGAATACAGCAACTTTAATGTGGTCCAATATAGCCTACCTTAAGTGACTCACCTGAATCCCAAATCCCAAACAACCAATCAATCATCGCGGGGTATGGGGGCCTCGTGCTTCCCGAGAAAATTCTGAAAATTTAACCGCCTCAAATGCGTTTTTCTGCTATTCTAGTCCGTGATTTAAAGATACACTCCCGTGTACAAACTGGGTGATTTGATGATATATTTGGCCTATAAACATATTCAAACTAATTAATTTATCATAAATTGGCTTTAAATCCTTCTCAAAACATTGTAATTGTCAAGGAATACCCTTGCTTTAAAAAATCGACCAAAAGAGGTCATGTTTGTGTCAAGTGATTTACGGGTGCGAACTCGTATTATTCAGTTACAACAAGAGTGGTATTGCCTTTAAGCAACTTCAAACTTTCGAATTGGTTTGCAACCGCAATCCCACTCTATTCCGACCTGAATTCCAACCATCCAATTAGACTGTTGCAGTTGCATTCACAAATGGTAATCGATGCCCGAAAAATGTCCCACAGAGAAGGGTGGCTCCAGACAAAATTCTTTAACCCATAGTTAATTCAGTACAAATTCGTGGTATTCAATTAAAAGAAAAGTAAAATTAAATCAACCCACCCTGATTTTTATTCTTTGGTTAAATCTTCCATGGGCTGAGGCCCTCGGCAATAAAACAAATTATTTTATGATCAGTAGTGGAATACCGCGTTTTATCAGTGAAATAAAAGTGTTATTCCACTGGCTAGCAGTAGTGCATGTTGTTTTTACCCAAAATGATTGTAAAATCATAAAATAAATAGAACATTTGTCGTTTTGTCGTGAATAATATATTTTATTTCATCTCTGAGCAAGAAAACGTTTATATTTTCACTCATGCTACGCATTCGTGAAAATATAAGTTTTCTTGCTTCTTGATGAAATAAAATATGTTATTCACTCTAAAACGACAAATATCCTCTATATACCATATGGTGTCATTTTTAGACTCTATAATGTTTAGATATCGCTCTTTTGCTCCCAAAGTGAAAAAGCGAAGAATTGTATTCATTGGATTGATTTTAGTTCAGGGCCCGTATCACTGACCCACCTCCAAACCTGAAACTTCAACAATCCAGATAAAATCTTGATGCGCGAAACGTGTATTGTAATTGATTCTACACAAACGTGTATTGTAATTGGTTTCACTCAAACGTGTATTGTAATTAATTCAACACAACCGTGCATTGTAATTGATTACACACAAACGTGTATTGTAATAGGTTCCAAACAGGCGTATATTGTAATTGACTCTAATTGGTTCCACACAAACGTATATTGTAATTGATTCCACATAAACTGATATAAAGACCGTTAAATATCCGAATCTTGTTGATGCTACACATGATAATGCCATATCTCACGGGTACATGGAAAATAGTTTTATACACGTTCCATTCCGTAATAACCCACAGTTTTTACAAACCTGAATGTTTATTACAACACTGAACGTTTATTACAAAAATGAATGTTTATTACAAAACTAGTTTATACAGAGGAAACTAGTGCTGTAATAAATGTTCGGGTTTGTAATAATTCTATGGTCTGTAGTACTGTATTTGTTGTTGTTTTCATTCCGCGGTCTGTAGTACTGTATTTGTTGTTATTTTCATTCAGCGGTCTGTAGTATTGTATTTGTTATTGTTTTCATTCAGATCATCAACACGTAAACAAAGATTGCAAAACCTTAAAAGAACTACAAAGCGGTAAGGTTTTTGTTTTTTGGTTTTTTTTGTGCAGGGAATCGCAATGGGCCTTTTGTTAATATTTAGAAAGCTTCTATTTGGAACTCACGACTGGGCATGGAAACATTTTTATGCAGGCTTATGCTACTTCCTTCATCTAACAGGTCTGTTTTAAATATGCATTTTGTAAGATCTAAGTCTACCTGTTGTAGGTCTTTCTTTTGTCTTTAAATGTTATATAAACTATTAATTAGACATTTATTAACATGCCAAGCCTATAAATAACTCTCTAGAACATCGGATGACACAGATTTAAACGGATTGAAACACGGTCGCTTATTTAATGAGAATCAAAATGGCGAATCGGGGATAAGCCCCGAATAACAAGTACCGTTGTTAGGATAATAAAGAATCTATGCCACATCTTGTCAAAACTTCCAACAGTGATAACTTTCCTAAAAATAAAGTAATTTGAATGAAATTTTCTAGATGACACAATGTTGATTTCTTTTATTGGATATGACAACAACTTTAATCTATATAATCATGTCGTCTGCTAAAGGTAGAATTTCCAGGATTGTGTCAAAAAGTAAGAACACGTATCTAGAAAAACTAGTATACTATCTATGGTGATCCATAAATGCCATTTATCTTTAGTGTAGATTTGGAATGGCTTAATGGTAATACTAATAGGGTTAGATTTGTGGTATTCTAATTAAGGCTGAAATAGAATACCTAATCATTTCTGTTGTTCCAGAAAATTTAAAGGGGGGTAATGTTTTGTTTTTGTTTTAGGCCGATTGTTTTATCTAAGATGGAAGCCGAAGTGGAAGCGTTTCATCGTGATGATAATTTACTCATTATCGATCAGTTTGAGGTAATTATATTATAACCTTTCGTGTACTCATCTTCATAGTATCAAGGTATATTTGTAATGGGAGACACGGCGGCTCAGTGGGTAAGGCGCTGGTTCACTCACCTGGAGGTCCGCCTTAAGCGAATATTGAGAGAGAGAGAGAGAGAGAGAGAGAGAGGGGGGTAACATACACTCGACAAAAACTAGGTCACTTCGGGACTAACATATGGTTCAATATCATTTCAATAATTCGCTTAGTAGTGGGAGGAAACCAGAGGACCCGGAGAAACCCCAGGGGGGAATCGAAAACACGCCAGTTGAATCATTAACAGACCTTATGATACAACGCGCACGTGCTAACCATTCGGCCATACCCCCCCCCCCCTACCCCGAATGAATATTGTATGAGACACGTCATGCATTGACATATGAAGAAGGTAGAGATTCAGTCCTACGCAATAAATATTGGCGTCAACACATCCTTAAAAGTAAGATTCGAATTAATGTAGACACAATTCTAATTTCAGGATTTAGCACAATTGAGCCCAAAACTTTACTGCTCAGAAGCCAATAAGGAAGGAAATGCAGAAAAAAATCGTTTTAACAACGTTCTTCCTTGTAAGTATATATATATATATATATATTCGTCCAGGTAACAAAATTCACCACATTACTACATTACATTAATCATATAAGCTACCTGTCTGCCCTCTATAGGCGTCTTCAAATATTAATAATGTATACAAATTGAATTTACCATACATATATATATATATATATATATAAATCAGTAGAATAATAGATGTCGATGGCAATGGATTATAAATAATATTAGGTAACGTACTAAAGTATATATAATACATTATATGAAATGAAATGGGGTTTAACGTCCTACTGTTCTGCTCCTAACATTATATGACATCAATTTACATAGTCTTCCTGGGATAGTCTGACAATATATACAAAAACAGTTTCTTTGAATGACTCCCATATATAAGCCATTCTCAATATTAGATTAGAATTACAATTTAAGTGAAAATGATCTCTGACGTTTATCCCGTGGTAACTAGCACCATACAGGTCTAATTGCGGCTCCATGCTCTCTTCTCTCGCCGTCTTTTACTCTTATTGTATGGCGGTATATTAGATTCAAAATTCTAACATGCTATCGTCTAATTTCTAACCTCCGTTCATGTAACTTCTAACCTTAATTCATGTAACTTCTAACCTTAATTCATGTAATTATGGCGGTATATTAGATTCAAAATTCTAACATGCTATCGTCTAATTTCTAACCTCCGTTCATGTAACTTCTAACCTTAATTCATGTAACTTCTAACCTTAATTCATGTAATTTCTAACTTCAATTCTTGTAATTCCTAAATTAAGACAATGTATAATCCAACTTCTTTATTTGTTCAATGTAAATTTTAATTCTGTTTCGTCTTATTTTTATTGTTAAGACGAAAAATGTCTACTTCATTGTCACTTTACATGTTAATCATGAACGTCGAGCAAATTTAGAATTTTGATACCTCTACCTAGCAACCATCATTATGACGTCGTTTGGTGTCGCCACCGTGTGCTCAATTTGGTGATTGAGCACTGAGCGGGATCATTATGTTGCCACAAACGACTCGCTCTTCGTCAGGTTGAATGGTTTGGCGGAGTGTAAAAATTGAAAACAACATCGAACGTGATATGGTTTGCAAATACTGTTTTAAATATAAGCTAAACAGCATTTGTTATTTTTTTTAAAGACAAGTGCAGGATTTGGAGAATTTTATTTTATTTTTATTTTACAGTTAAGCCAATTACTATTTATATACTGTTGATCTATAAATTATTCTGTTAATGCTCTAAAATATGTCTCTTTATACTACCCGAACGACTAGCCACTGTCCGTGTCAGACCCTCGTCTTGTATCAATAACAAGGGACGGATAACCACGCCGGAATATGGCGGTTATATCATAAAAAAAATATATGTCTATGGGTTATATAACATCGTCAGCTAGTATACACACTCGCAAAACTACGCTTTATAATATTTCTGACATTATTAGTTCCGTCCTTGTGATTTGCGGAGGTTGCATATACATTGTAGACATATACAGTGTCTAGTAGTTCGTGTCGGACGAAAACCGTTGCAGCTGTTATTCGCAATAAAAGTAGACCGTAAATTTCACTCATGGCACACCGTAAGTTCGTTTTCATTAGCCTGGATGGTGTAGAAAAGTAGGACGATAAACCGCTATCTATGAATTTCGGTATTGCTTTATGCAACTTGAATAAAATATTTTTGGAAAAAAAACTACCATAAAGTTAGTCAGGTCGGTGTAATGAAGGAATCAGAAATAAAAACTCCATCGCTATCCACATGAACAGATTATCCCAGACTCCCGAAAAGGCCGTTTCATCCCTACAGTATGAGGTTTCTAAATTTATATCATTGAACCATATCAAGAAAAGGTTTATCATTTTTATACGCCCACATTTTCATGTGGACGTATTATGCCGTCGCCCCTGTCCGTCCGTCCACAATTGTTTGTGGACTCTCTACAGGTCACAATTCTTATCCGATTTCGACGAAACTTGAAATATAGGTTTATCCCCAAATGATCTCGGCTGCTTTCGATATTGGCATGTATCGGATCGAAACTTCATAGATTATGGCCCCTGTTTGTACGAAAAATCACGTTTTTAGCTTGTGGACCCTATAGAGGTCACAATTTTTATCCGATTTTGTTGAAACTTGAAATGTAAGTTTATAACCCAAAGATCTCAGTTCCTTTAGATATTTGCGCATATCGGACAGTAACTTCCTGAATTATAGCCCCTGATTGTACGAAAAATCACGTTTTTAGCTTGTGGACCCTATAGAAGTCATAATTTTTACCCGAATTAAAAAATCGTATTATTATATCACCGTTACACCCTAGGGACGACTGAATTCAAATTTCGTGAAAATCGGCCCAAAATTGACAGACAAAATGGCCGCCGTTCGTTCTCAAATAGCGTAAGAAAATGGTATATCAAGGTTGTAGACCCTATAGAGGTCACAATTTTTATCCGATTTTGTTGAAACTTGAAATGTAAGTCTATAACCTAAAGATCTCGGTTCCTGTCGATATTCGCGCATATCGGACCGTAATTTCCTGAATTATAGCCCCTGATTGTACGCAAAATCGCTTTTTTAGCTTGTGGACCCTATAGAGGTCATAATTTTTATCCGATTTAAAAAAACGTATTATTATATCACCTCTACACCCTAAGGACGACTGGGTTTGAATTTCATGAAAATCGGCCCAAAATTGACAGACAAAATGGCCGCCGTTCATTCTCAAATAGCGTAAAAATATGGTATATCAAGGTTGTGGGCCCTATAGAGGTCTCTCTCTCTCTCTCTCTCTCTCATCACTCCACCCAATCACCAACCATGCGACGAGCGAGTCGTTTATATAAACATAATGGTCCCTACCAGGTGCGCAATCACCAAATGAGCACGCAGTGGCGACACCAAACGACTTCATAATGATGGTTGCTAGGCAGAAGTGTAAAAATTCTAAACGTGTAAAGAATCAATGAAGAAGACGTTTTTCGTCTAAATAATAGAAATAAGATGAAATAGAATTAAAATTTACACTGAACAAATAAAGAAGTGTTTCGTTTTATTAAACCTAGAAGGATTTCTCGGACCATTTCTTCAGCCATATGATTGTAAATATAATATATAATTTGATGTCTTGTTGTTTTCAAGTTGATCACAGTCGTGTTTGTTTACCGATAGAAGATGATGACGTCAACTCTGATTATATCAATGCTAACTACATAACTGTAAGTTGTTTTTTGGGGGGTTTTTGTGGTGAAATAAATTTAAATGGGGTTTAACGTAGAGTGTGCAATGAGGGAAATTTTGCCATGACAGCGACAGTACGGCCTACTCTTATATCGGAGTCTATATGTGTATAAGGCTTCATTTACCTTCACTGCAATGTGTACCCTTTCCCCGTTTTTTCCATCCATCCAAACGACTAGATACTATTCTTGTCAGGCCCTTAGTCCTGCACCACTGGCTAGAGGACGCGGTGAAAAAAAAAATCCCGAGGAATTTTCTCGGCCAACACCGGCGCGAACACGAGACCTTCTGATTAGCGAGCCTGTGTCTTACTCACTGAGCCACCACGGCTCCAGTTATTGTTTGATGGATTACTGAGGGGTGGTGAAATGCGGGTAAGGAACCCACGGTGGCTCAATAAAGTAAGGCGTTGGCTCGGTAACCTGGAGGTATCGAGATTATCCAGTCTAATTTCACCTTGTCAGTGGTGCACGACGACGTAGCCTGGTAAAGAATAGTCTCTTATTCGGGGATGGATGGCCGAATGGATAGCGTGTGCGGGCTGTATCATAAGGTCTGTCATTAAGTCAACTGGCGTGGTTTCGATTCCCCGCTTATTAAGGAATATGGGCATGTCACATGACTGACCTTAGAAATTGTGATGAGGTATGAAGGTTATGATTTTTCTGACTTATCCAACCCTGTATCAGTAAAGGGGGTTTGGGTGGCTGAATGGTTAACGCGTGCGCACTGGATCATATGGTCTGTCACGCTTGTACGGTACGTGACAAGGAGTAGGGTCGCCTGTCCAACCTCGTGGGTTTTCTCCGGGTCCTCTGATTTCCTCCCACTGCTAAAGACCCTACGCGCAAGCGAATTATTGAAATAAAATTAAACCATATCTTAGTCCCGAAATAACCTGGTTTGTGTCGAGTGGACGTTGAACCCCATTTCTTTCTCTCCCTCCCTCTTATTATTCGGGTGCAACGGAAAACTGTTGGCGTGCACATAAAATAATACTTGGCAGATCGAATACGATTAAGAGTAGGCGGAAGCACGGCTGTCCGACTATTTGTCTCTCAAAAGACACAGTAAAACCATGTCATTTCAGTAAGATTTTATTAAACCATAACACGCTGGGCCGGATTAAGACCTAAAGAGGCCCTCAGCACTTAAAAGATTTTGGTGCCCCCATTATGTAATTCAAAAATTCAAAAACCACAAACAATCGCAGTTTTTCTTGTATTTTACACACGTTATTATTAATTGCGGCAAAACAGCTAACAGTATGAAAAGACAAAAACATTAAAAAACCAATTGATGGTTCTTATTAAGTCCCTAACTCAATATCACCCAAAGTCCTACACGTTGAAAACACAAATTATTTGTCAATTCAAATCAACATACCGGGAAAAGATTGGCTTCTGATATCCAATATTTAAGACAAAATAAACATTTTACCATTGGTACACGAATCGTGTACCATAGTGCGTTTCAGCGTCATTTGTAACAAGTGACCAGAAAGAACGAGGCTAGACATATTCCACAACCCATGTCAAACGGCGACGCCATAACTTATCTGGAGAGCATGCGCAATAGACTGGAATAACCAGACGCTAGAAATTTCTATTCAGTTGAGACTCATGCCGTATTTCGCTGGACATAACTGATTTAAAATTAGAGTCAAAACGGAAACAATTGATTGTAAATCAGTTCATATACAATCAGATTACATTATTATATGCGTTGCGACTCATTTAGCTCAATTTCTAGATCCCAAATGTCAGTGATTTAGCTCCTTTAACTTAAATCTTTTAAATTTGGCATCTAACAAAGCTGACATTCTGTGATGCCCCATTATCATGATGTCCTAAGTACATGCTTATTTTGCTTAAAGGTTACTCCAGCACTGATAACACGACATACTTATAATTACTAATTTATTCCCCTCCCCTCCCCCCACACACCCCGTTCAAGAAACTAATGTTATATCATTGTTTTCAGGGTTATACTAAAAGTAAAGAATATATTGCTACACAGGGACCATTACCAGATACAATCAATGATTTCTGGAGAATGATCTGGCACGAGAAGGTTTCAATAATCGTCATGTTAACATCACTTAAAGAAGGTCACACGGTTTGTACGGTTCCAATTCTTGTCGATTTTGTATATTTATTCTTTTTAGAGGTACAATCATTTTGGTTTAATTGTAGATGGAAGATACAACAAACTGCAATGTTAAACATGCATTATGTAAGAGCTACATCTGCAGGTCTTTTTGGGGGCGATTCAAATGTTATATAGACATTTATTAACATGACAAGCCTAGAATCAACTCTCTAGACCAATGTTGATACGAGATTTAAATGGATAAGAACACCCGCTAGATTAAAAAAAAATAACTATAAAATGGATAATAAACAATCAAACTTCGCACGGAATGAAGTAATTTAATTGAAATTTTCAATATATTAATATTTCATTCTCTATGTTTAAACTATTATAGCAAACACGGCTAGCTTTGTATCTAAATCTCACAGAATGCATCAATTGTTAGCATTTTGTTATTATCTAAAATGTTAGATTTTTGTTCATGTATAAAATGTTAGCCTGTGCAAAATGTTTATGACTTCTTAGCGGATTTAATTAATTTCCAATCTTAAACATACATTATGCAAGAGTTACATCTGCCTACTGCAGATCTTCCTTTAGGCCTTAAATGTCATATAATAAACTATTAATTAGACATTTATTGACATGACAAGACAAGACCATAATCAACACTCGATGTCATCCGATCTGTGATTCAATGGCTGTCCATGATTAACCGTAAAAATGGATAATCGATACTTTGTTTATTATCGTTACAAAGGTAACAATGACAATCAAGGCTACAGTCTTTTGAAATTCGGTTTTCTCAGCTCAGAATGAAGTAATTAGACTGAAATTTCAGCATATTCTCTTAACTTTATTTATTTTTTAACTATTATAGCGAAAACTGTCATCTCTTTCTCTAATCTTCCAAAATGCCTCTTTAATTTAACGGATTTTAGTCCTCACTGAGTCACTGATGCCTATCCTCAAGTTCACATGCATTCTCAGACTTAATTTGAGAATTTACCCAACTTTCAACCACTGTTTATGAGAAATATCTTTGATCCAGAAACACATAGTTTCTTATTGGTGTATTTGATACATTAAAACAAGAACAGTTTTATACGATGCTATATTTTAGTTAAAATAAGGAGAACAGTTTTGAGTAAATTCGTAACTTGAGCCTGAGAACACTTTGTGAACTTGGGGCCTGATCTCATTAACATCATCAGATTATTTTAATAAACCTCTGCATATTTTGTCCTAATTAACACATTATTAAATCTATTAGGTAAAGTGTGAACAATATTGGCCAGGTGAAGTAGGTGAAGTTATGGAATATGGGCAATATACCGTAGAAAAAATTTCAGAGGTGACAAAGAAAACCCACACATGCAGTACTTTAATGATATGCTGTAATGAAGATTCACAGGTAAAAACATGTCTAGTTAATGGGATGGGACGAAAACCGACGTCTCGTGTAGGCTACGGGTTAGCATGCACGTAAAAGAATCCTCCATAGTTAAAATTCGAAATAAGAATAGGCCGGAGTGCCGCTGTCTGGTCAAAATTCCATCAAAGCACATTGTCTTCATTAGACCAGTGGGTACAGAAAAGTAGTACGTAATTAGACCCTATTTCATGTTTAATAATGGGTTGTATAATGGATGATTTGGCAAGGGCAGCGCCAATTGTCAAGATTAAAACCTAGAATTTTGTTTTCGTTGAAAGAGGGAGAGAGAAATGGTGTTTAACTTCCCCTCGACACAAACGATATCTTTTCGGGACTAACATATGATTGAATTTTATTCCAATAATTCGCTAGCGCATAGAGGTCCTTAGCTGTGGGAGGAAACCGGGGGACCCGGAGAAAACCCACGAAGTTGGACAGGCGTCCATACTCCTGGTCACGTACAAACAACGCCACTTGACTCAGTGACAGACCATATGATCAAACGCGCACGCGTTAACGTTTTGAGCCATCCAACGTAAGGCTTAAACTATACTACTGGAAACATGTTGCTGAAACTTAAATTGTTTGTTTTAACCCAAAGATCTCAGCCCCTTGTAATATTTGCGCATATCGGACCTAATTAACTTCCCGGATTATAACCCCTGACCTGATTCTATGAAAATGCGAGATTTTAACTCGTGGTTCCTCTCTAGATGTCATAATTTTATCCGATTTTAAAAACCGCCCAAGTATATCACAATTACATCGAATTTCGTGAAATTCACGCATACCCAACCGTAACTTCATGGATTATGGCCCCTTATTGCACGAAATATCACATTTTTAGTTTATGGATCCTCTAAAAGTCACAATTTTTTATCCGGTTTTACAAACCGTTTAAATATATCACGGTTACACCAAAATGATGATTGAGTTCGAATTTCCCGAAAATCCGACCGAAACTGAACGACAATATGGCCGCTTCTTGTACGCATATAGTGTAAAAATATGTAATACTAAGGTTGTGGACCCTCTGGATGTTACAATTTTTTTTCCGATTTTGATGAAGCTTAAAATGTGTTTATATCCCTTTTGATATTGTCGCATGTCTGACCGTAACATCCTGGCTTATGGCCCCTGATTGTACGAAAAATTGCTTTTTTTTTTTAGCTTTTAGCTTGTTCTCTGTCCTTCTCTTGCAAAATGTGGGCATTCGATTTCCAACTGTAAGGGGATCTTAACTTGCTGTCAACGAGACAAGGGGAAAGTAGACTAAAATATCCAGGGCTAAAAATATATTCTCTTGAGGAGCAGATAAAATGTTAGACGGGCTAATTTGCAAACTGGTTGATGGAAGTCTACAGAATTAGTTATTCTCATGTCATAATTTTAATATGGTATCATACAAACCATTCTAAACTGTTGTAGAGGAGCGACAGGGACAGCTGCCTAGTCTTTCGAATGGGGCGAAAAACCGAGCTCCCGTATACACATTGGCGTGCGCGTGGAATTGGTAGGTGGTTTCGATATGGACCGTAACGCTGCTGTCCGGGCAAAATTTCCCTCCTCATTAGCACATTCGGAGCAGAACAGTAGGACGTTAAACCCCATTTCATTTATTATCTTTTGTAGAACAACAAAAAGAAAGAATGCCGAACTGTGAAACATTTTCACTATTTGCAATGGAAAGATAAGTCAGCTTCGGTGGAGAGAAATGATATTTTACAATTTATACGAACAGTACGACAAAATATGGAATCTAACGACACAAGTCCAGTAGTTGTTCACTGCAGGTACATAATTTATTTTGTCGAATCATTATAACGGTTAAAATCATACAGAGGAGTATCCATGGTGGCTCAGTGAGTAAGACGTTGGTTCGCTACCCTAGAGGTCCTGTGTTCGATTGCTGCGTGAATCCCCCCATTTCAGTAGTACAGTGGCCTGTCAAGGGACAACGTATAGTCATTGGGGTGGTACGACAAATCGATGTCCCTGGTACACATTGCTTGCACGTAAAAGATCCCTTAGCAATTGGAATTCGATATAAGATTAGGCCGTAGTGCCGCTGTCTGGGCAAAAGTTCCCTCGCAGCACACTGTATGGCGTGTGCCCGTCTTGTTTATATAATATATTTATTTATATTTTATATATTTATTTATATTTTATATATTTGTTTATATAATATATATTTGTTTATATAATATATATTTGTTTATATAATATATGTTTGTTTATATCATATATTTTATATGTCTGTTTTATATTTTATATATCTGTTTATATTTTATATATTTGTTTATATTTTATATATTTGTTTATATTTTATATATTTGTTTATATTGTAGTGCTGGTGTAGGTAGAACGGGTACATATATAGCACTGGATTATATACAACAATATATAAATCAACATGATTTGAATAAAGCTATAGATATATATGACTATGTATTAAAACTCAGGAATAATAGAGTTTTAATGGTTCAAACAGAAGTAAGTATTTACAGTCGTTTATATTATATATACATATAATATCAAACATAAATACAGCAAACCAAATCCTTCACCTTTTCGCTGTATCATAAGGTCTGTCATTCAGTCAACTGGCGTGGTTTCGATTCGCCGGTTGTACGTGGCAAGGAGTAGGGTCGCCTGTCCAACCTCGTGGGTTTTCAACGGGCCCTACGGTTTCCTCCCACTGCTACATACCCCTACGCGCTAGAGAATTATTGAAATAAAATTGAACCATGCGTTAGTCCCGAAATAACCTGTCAAGTGAACGTTAAACCCCATTTCTCTCTCTCTCTCTCTCTCTCTCTCTCTCTCTATCACTCTCCCTCTCTCTCCCTTCAGTTTTTGTCTAACTTTAAAAAGTCATCTGTACTGTAGCGCACGTTCAGATGTCCCTTAAAATGTTAAGACAAAGACTAATTGCCATAAGATATTCTACCAATTGTGACCGGCTCTGACTAATGTAAGTGTAAGAGCACCGCACTACACTACAAATTAAGAGTAGAGCATAGCACTAAAATCTAATTCCCATAGGTCTCCATTTTTTATAGATATCATGTTAGTGTCGCATACATCTTACCACATCCCAACCAAAACATCCTAGTAGCTTGTCTGACAAAAATATAACAACGGAAAAATTACATAACGATGGATGGAACGCCTAGCCTTTGAAATAACCTGAGCATTTTGGCAATGGTATTGCCTTCACAACCACCCTCACTCCAAAATAAATCCCATCTGACGATTTCAGTCTTAAAAATAATATACGTACTTTTCATTCGAAGCCAGTAATCAAGTGCCATGAGCCCCGATCCACATTCAGAAAATAACTAATACACAATATAACCGGAAATGAACGTGTCAGAGGTACGATGAAATCGAGAATGTTATTTATATTTAAAGTAGCTAAGTCTCTAACTCAATATCACCCAAAATCTTCAACATTGAAAACACTATTTATTTGTTAAATTAAATCAACATTCATGTTGTGATCTTATCGGAAAAAGATGGGCTTTTGATATCCAATATTTAAGACAAAATAAACATTTTACCATTGGTACACGAATCGTGTACCATAATGCGCTTCAGCCCCAGTTGTATCAAGAGACTCGAGGGACGAGGCTAGACACATTGCACCAAATCAAACGGCGTATGTAGACTGGAATAACCAGACGCTAGAAATTTGCACTCGCTTGAGACTGCCTGGCTTATTTCGCCGAACATAACTGATTTGAAATTGGAGTAAAAACGGAAACCATTGAATGTAAATCAGTTTATATACATTCATATTACAGTATTATATGCGTTGCGACCCACTTTTGTCAATTTCTAGGTCCCAAATGTTAGTGATTTAGCTCCTTTAAAATAACTCCCATTCTCACTATAATCATTTTTCTGACGATTATTTGATTTATCACGATTCACGATATAACTGAACAAATACACCGGGGATGGCGCTTATCTGATTTTGAGCCGATACGATATCATAATTAAAAAAAATAATCGTGATTATGCCATTCCAAATAATAAGGTCATAATTAAATCCTTAAAGGTCATCTTCAACGAATCTGAGAAAAACTACATGGACAGAACAAACTAGCTCCACGGAACAAAAGATACTTTGGAAATTGGGCGATAAATTAAATTTATATTATGTTAATTTGAGCACCATAAATAATGTAAACATGTACGTTATTTTTCAGTGTCAGTATTCGTTTCTATACGACTGTGCTGTACAACTGATAGAAGATAAACAGAATAAAACACAAGATATAGAATCAGGTCAACAGGATAATCCTGGTTAGTTTCTTTATTATTTGAACTTGTACCGTGGTGGATCAATGAGTAAGACATTGGGTCGCTAACCGTTCACCGAGAAATCGATATAAGAGTAGACCGTAGCACCAATGTCCGAGCAAAATATTCCTCGTAGCACACTGTTTGGCGTATGCCCGTCTTCATTAGCCCAGTCGGAGCAGAACAGTAGGATGTGAAACCCAATTTCATTTTGATCGAGAAAGTTCATCGTAATTTTCCGGTGTGGTCCCCGCTTGTCAGTGTAACAGGACGAGTCCCCCCCCCCACTGCTAAAGGCCCCTAAGGGCAAGGGAATTATTGAAATATCATGTTAGTCCCGAAATGACGTAGTTTGTCGTGTTGATGTTAAAACATCAGAAGGGGTATGTTTAAATATAATCTTAATATTTTTTTTTATTTCTTTTTTCAGATGACCCATTCTATATGAATACGCGTGATAATTATGGTGTCATGACAACGTTTATGTAACCATTTTATTATTACCAGTTTAACGATAAAATCAGGAACATCATATGATATGCCCACTTAATGAGTGATAACTAGATGACTCAAATAAAATGTACATTCAAGGGGAGGAAACTCATTGATATGAGTTATGAATAATTTGCTTGATCACGCTGTGTTCACATCGTGACCTGTTTACAGTAATTACGTTATTTCCAACTCGAACCATGCTATATAGGTTATAATGGTACAAGTAAAACACCAGTACAACTGGTAAATTAAGAAGAACAAAATAGTTTAGACATAATTTAATCTTAATTATTCTACACATTACAAATAGAAATATTAATCTTAGTAATAACAATAGTCTTTCACCGGAGGTGAAAGCCTAACGAGAATATCAAATAATAATTTACAACAAATAAATAAAACACAAATAAAATTATACATCAAATACTGCAATAATAAAATACAATCTAATGTAATAATAACTTATTTTGCAGAATTTAATTCTGTATGTACATATTTTATCATTGTGTCATTTTTCCAGGTGTGCCTTTTTTACCTGTGACATTATCACCTGTTTTATTTTACCTGTGCACTATTTCTACTTTGCATACTCTAATATTAGTTTGAGAGCGGAGTTTGGTGGAAGTAGTCTTGACAAGCAGCTATTTCCAAGTTGGAAACTTATATGTACCCCGTAAATACAACATGATTCGATCGGAGAAGGACAAGATCCACAAGATGGTATTTTTATTTGGACATAAAAATCGTAAGTGAGCTTCTTTACGTCAATAAGCTTACCGTCTTCCATTTCTGAATTTACAATTTAAAACACAACAAGGACGTTCAGAGATCTTATTCACAAACACTGAAATCAGTTAAAATCGAGTGTAGCTTAAAATTTGAGCTTTACTTAAAGATGCATTATGTAAGATCTAAATCTTCCTATTGCAGGTCTTTATTTTGATTTTAAATTTTATATAAATTATTACTTAAACATTTATTAACATGACAAGACAATAATCAACTCTCAATGTTAAGTAGATTAGAATAATTTAATTTAAGAATGGATAAGCGAGGCTAAGTCTCGAATAACAAGTACCGTTGTTAAGATAATAAACAATCAATGTCAAATCTTGCCAAAACTCCAAATAGTGATAACGTCGCCAAGAATAAAGTAATTTAAATGAAATTTTCAGTCTATTAATTTTGTTTTATCTTTTTTTTTAAAGAATTATAGCCATCTTTGTATCTAAATTTTACATAATACATCTTTAAGATAAGCCATCTTCACTACACTCATTTTCCCAAAATTTTAAGTTACAGTCGATTTTGAGTTAAACGTACATTAGATGTCATATAAATTATTAATTAGAACTTTATTTACACGAAGAGCTCCAAATCAACTCTGTAGACCCTCGGATGTCTTGGATTTAAACAGTCGTCCATTTAAAATTAAATCAATAAATGGCTGACCAAGATAACGTTTACCGTCACTACCGGAGACTGGTGCTGAAAGGCCTGCCGGGGTACCATTGCCATTGAGAATGATAATCGAGAATATGTGGGTGGGGTTGATGTCTATTTCTAGTCCGAACTTCCAACAGTGACAACTCCGTTCAGAATAATGTAATTTGACTGATATTTACAATATTTTGCCTTTTTTATCATCTATTTTTGAATTATTATAGCAAGAATGGCCAACGCTTTATTAAACTCTTAACTAATGTATCTTTAAATCAGCTACTACCCTGTATTAACTTAAAATCCCAATAACATGTCTGAATATAGAATCTTATTAAACTGCCTCGAAAATCCAGAAAACTTTATTCTAATAAATACCTCAGATTTTTCAGACAATTGAAAGCCATTTACCATCAATTAATAACCAACTCTAGTCAATTTGTTGATATTTATATAATATATAAAGACATATAATTATTTAAATTGTTTATATTATATAAATTATTATTTAAATTGTTTATATACAGACATATTTAAACTGTTTATATTATATATAAAGGCATAATATACATGTAGTTATTTAAATGTTTATATATAAAGAAATATAATTATTCTAACTGTTTATACTAAATATAAAGAAATATAGTTATTTAAATTGTTTATATTTTATTGTATGATATATGATATGATATATAATTATATTGTGAATAATAAAACATTGCTTTATTTCATTTTCTGGTTTATATATTAACAAATAAAATGAAATGAGGTTTAACGTCCTACTGTTCTGCTCCGACTGGGCTAATGAAGACGGGCATACGCCATACAATGTGCACTACGGCCTACTCTCCAACGAATTCCACTGCCAAGGGTTCTTTCACGTGCATGTGCACAGAACCTCGCATTTTCGTCGCAACGAACAACTAGATGCTGTCCCTTGCCATGATGCTCCTCGTACTGCATCCTTACTAATGAGTTACCGTTGTTCCCAGAAAACTAAACGCGGGAATATCATATGTCTGGATTCTTTTTGTACCGATGTACCAATAAATAAATAATCCAATAAACTTAATGAGTGACAACAACAAAAGCAAAGGGACTAAAATCTAAATACCCTTTATAAACTGAGATAATCAGGGGACTATATCATGTAAAATACCCTCCATAAACTCGGATAATCAGGGGATTATATCATGTAAAATACCCTTCATAAACTGGAATAATCAGGGGACTATATCATGTAAAATACCCTTCATAAACTGAGATAATCAGGGGATTATATCATGTAAAATATCCTTCATAAACTGGGATAATCAGGGGACTATATCATGTAAAATACCCTTCATAAACTGAGATAATCAGGGGATTATATCATGTAAAATACCCTTCATAAACTGAGATAATCAGGGGATTATATCATGTAAAATATCCTTCATACACTGAGATAATCAGGGGATTATATCATGTAAAATACCCTTCATAAACTGAGATAATCAGGGGATTATATCATGTAAAATACCCTTCATAAACTGAGATAATCAGGAGACTATATCATGTAAAATACCCTTCATAAACTGAGATAATCAGGAGACTATATCATGTAAAATACCCTCCATAAACTGACATAATCAGGGGATTATATCATGTAAAATACCCTACATAAACTAACAATATCAACAATGCAATTTTAAATAAATCTATAAAGAACAATAAAATTAAACATACATTATGCAAAAGCTAAATCTGCCTATTGCAGGTCTGTCTTTAGGCCTGAAATGTTATATAAACTATTAATTAGACATTTATCAACACGAAAAGACCTTAATCAACTTTCGATGCCATCTATGTGTCGGATTGTCACTGGATTTGAATCCGATCTGCAGCTCAACGCTCATTGATGATGACCGAGACTAGGTCGAAAAATCAATCGCTAATATCTCGGTTCACTACAGGGTGGAGCAATTTGACGGAAATTTTCAGCATATTCCCTTTACATTATATAGCGTTTAACTATTATAGTGAGAACTGCCAGCTCTTTATCTGATCATCCATAATGTATCGTTAAGCGATGTATATTAAGGGATAATATTAATATTATGTACATTCTAAAATATCCTTCCGTAACTAAAAAGTAAAATTAGTGATAAAAAAAATAAAGTAAATTTAAGTTATGTCAATATTATAATGGAACAATTAAGACTTTTAACAAGCCGTTGCCATGCAAGATAAGCCCACATTTTGCAATAGATGGACGGAGAACAAGAAAAATCAACACGGTTCATGCTCTCATTGTCCCTGGCGCATTCGCAATGTTTTTGAAAAAAGGGGGATAACCTCAGAAGGGATGGCCGTGGATCTCTAAGGGACTACACATAAAGCCAAAAACACACACATCAACAAAACTCCCTTTGGAGTCATCCAAGCATCCATTTTTTATACCCCCACATTGCAACCAGGTCGTACATTGTCGTCGCCCCCATCCGTTGGCCCGTCCATCAGTCCGTTCGTTCTTGGGGGATCACGTGGCTAAGTGGGTAAGACGCTAGCTCGCTAGCCTGGAGGTCGGGTGTTCGATCCCTGCATTGGCCGAGAAAGTTCATCCAGATTTTCCGGCGTGGTTCTCCCTTGTCAGTGATGCAGGACGGAGGGGCTGACAAGGAAAGCTGTCTAGTCGTTCGTATGGGACGAAAAACCGAGGTCCCGTGTAAAAGATCCCTTGGCAGTTGGAATTCGATATAAGAGTAGGCCGTAGTGCCGCTGCCCGGGCAAAATTTCCCTAATAGCACACTGTATGGCGTATGCCCGTCTTCATTAGCCCAGGTTAGGAGCAGAACAGTAGGACGTTAAACCTCATTTCATTTCATTTCATTTCCGTTCGTTCTTCGGTCGGCCTGTCGTCCACAGTTGCTTGCTGACTCTCTGGGTGTCTAAATTTAATAGCCGACTGACTTATACACAATGCTTAAGGTAATGAGGCTAAAGTTAATATCCAATTGACTCCTTAATATATAGTCTGTTACAAAATTGAAAACAAATTTACGAAATTAAAAACAAATTTACAAAATTGAAAACAAATTTACAAAATTGAAAACAAATTTACAAAATTGAAAACAAATTTACAAAATTGAAAACAAATTTACAAAATTGAAAATTATTCTACAAAATTTAAAATTATTCTACAAGATTTAAAATTATTCTACAAAATTTAAAATTATTCTACAAAATTTAAAATTATTCTACAAAATTTAAAATTATTCTACAAAATTAAAAATGAATTTACAAAATTAAAAATGAATTTACAAAATTAAAAATGAATTTACAAAATTAAAAATGAATTTACAAAATTAAAAATGAATTTACAAAATTAAAAATCATTCTGTAAAATTAAAAATCATTCTGCAAAATTAAAAATAAATTTACAAAATTAAAAATGTATTTACAAAATTAAAAATGAATTTACAAAATTAAAAGTGAATTTACAAAATTAAAAGTGAATTTACAAAATTAAATATGATTTCACAAAATTAAAACAAAAGATTCGCATTAGGCAAATTTAGCTCTTACATAATGCATCTTTTACAATACCTAAAATCCTTAGTCTCTAATATTCAGACAATTATTCTATGAATATTACTCTGGATTGGTTGTTCATTACCATGAACACAATCTAAGGGAGATAACTATCTGTAAAACAAGATGTCGACGCCCATGATTTTAATTTAAGAATTGTCATTTCAGAAAAACCTATTTGCATTGCTTGTTCAATATATCCAACATTCATAATTTTTTTTATTAATCTTAATTCGTCGTCGCATTGACTTTAGCTAAAAATTTCCATTGCCCATGCGTAACCGACAGTTTTTTTATGTGGTTGATTATCCAGTAAATTTCGCCATATTTCGCCCCAGACCATTTGTACTGCGAAGACTAGAAGATTCTGGGTGACCGAAACTATCAAATTCTGTAACTTGCCCTACACCTATGTCACTTATATTTCGACAAGTGTCTTACATCTTGATGTATGTCAAAAGAATAATATTTATTCCACTTGCACTTATACATTTTATATTTTATAGTCCTGGGGCCATTTATAGTCCTGGGGCCATTTTATGGTCAAGGGATCATTTTATCGTCACGAGAACCATTTTATGGCCAAGTTGCGATTTTATGGTCAAGGCGCCATTTTATGGTTAAGGGGTCATGTTATCATCCTCGTTCTGTTATTGTGTGTCCTGATTTGATTGTATTGGCAGCCTTTACAGTAAAATAGTAGACGCCCTGATGCTTTTAAAATTAAATGTTTACATAAGGCTGCACTGAGATTTTCTAGTTTTATTACATCCCTTATTCTCGAGTGCTGTCTGAATTTCTTGTCGGATAGCATAGTGCAAAGCCGTGTATCTGTCTTTATTAGACGCCTCATAATCAACGGCGTTATGAGTTAAAAGTATATTAACAACTTCCAAACTACCGTTTTTAGCCGCTAAATGTAATGGTGTGTTTCCATCTAGGCACCCACTGTTAACTTCACAACGGTTTTTAATAAGTACCTTTGTTGCGTCGGCTTTGTTCGATTTAGCAGCAATATGTAATGGAGTTTCGCCAAGGTGGTTTATGCTGTTGGTATCTGCGCCTCTTTCCAGAAGAGATTCTAAGACCCTTGATGATGAACAATGCTCAACAGCTAAATGCACACACGACGAACCGTCGACGTCTAATATTTCCAAGTTTTCCATTTTGTTTATTAGAATCATTGCTGTGTCGTCTTTTTTGGAAATAATTGCTGCATGTAAAGGAGTCTCGCGTCTTTTATTCAGTGCGGCTATATTTAGACCCTTGACGTTTATTAGATAATTAATAATGTTAACCCTTCCATATTTAGCAGCTACGTGAATAGGTGTGTCGCCATCTTTATTCGCCCGATTGATTGCAGAAGAGCAAATGATCAAGTGAACAAGTTGAACGTCACTGAATCGTACAGCAATGTGTAAAGGAGTATTCCCATCATTGTTTTCACAATCAACAGTGGCACCTTTCTCAATAAGGACATGCGCAACAGATGATTGATTGGATCTACAGGCCATATGGAGAGGTCGGTCACCATTGGGGTTTTCAATATCAACATCTGCACCGTATTCAGTGAACATTTGAACTGCCATGATGTTGTGGTATTGGACTGCTATGTGCAATGCACTATCTCCATTGACATCAATAGACGCAACACTTCCCTCGTCCTGTACAAACTGCCGTAGTTCAGCTTCATTAACATTAGTTCTAATGGCAGTGTGAAGCGGGGGTTCCTCTATTTGGTAACTTGGGAAAAAACTTTGCTGGCTCCGGAACTGAGGTCTTTCTTGGAGTATTGGTTGAGGCATCAGTGCAGACAGGGATTGTGATAGGCCTACAGGAGGTCTCTGATGAGATGTAGCGGCGTCTAACATATTGAGTATTTCCAAGTCGTTTTGTTTCCTTAAATCATCTATGACATCAGGCGTAATCTGATTGGAATCGGCGCCATTGTAAAGTAATAATTTGACTATAGTCGTGTGACGATATTTGGCAGCCATGATTAAAAGTTCATTTAAATATGCTTGGTTATCTGGACTATATTTTAGAAGATATTTAAGTATGTCTATTAACCCTCTTTCCACGGCCATATCGAAAGCTGATAAATTGTCATTGTTGGTAAGACGTGGGTTTGAGCCGTTAGTCAGAAGAGCTTTAACGACTTCAACACGATCCAGCAAAACAGCTATATGTAATGCTGTATTTCCCATTTCGTCCTTATGGTCAATATCGAAATATATATTAGTAATCTTGTTTTCCATCAATAATATAACCTTATCCTCCCCGCAAATTGGAGACTCAACCGCAAAATGTAAGGGCGTTCTTCCCTTAGCATCTACAAACACCGCGGACTTCATCTGACATCGGTGTATAATCTCAATGCATATTTTGCAAACTTCCGCAGAACCAAAGAGAAAAATATAGCGCCAAAACGTTGTCGGGTATGTGCTTTGCTGTGAACCCTGAACACTTCCTAAAGTAGGTTGCGCAGAAAAATATTCCATAATTTTCGACATCTGAAGACTTCCCATAAATTTACCCAAAAATATGTGATCCAAGACAAATAAAAAATTTATCTGATCTGTTGGAAGACTCTGAAATCTGGTTATCAACAAATCATAATGATCAGCGTCCACCACGGATGCAAAAGGATCTTCACTCCTATAGTTAGATGGACTAAGATGTAGCAGTATGTTACTGGAACAGTTCATCATTACTGCTTCCATATTTCTCTGAGAAAATCTTTGAAAGTAAGCTTTTCCATATATGGCATGTTTAAATCTAAAGACGTCCGTGGTCTTGTCATGGGAATATAAACTCCAAGAATCTGATGAATGAGCAGACAAGGTTTTAACAACATTTTTTACCGTTTGTTCATTCGGGTACACCCTATTCAACAAATCCACTGCCTCCTCTAAAGCTGATGTATTTTCTTTTGATAGAGATCCACCAACAAGAAACAGGGCAACAAGAGCAATAAACCTATCTGGCTCCTCCTTTTCGCACTTTTCAACTAGTTCATCCAGGAGGTTTTGGAGATCTTTAATGTTATAACTCATTTCAAGCTGATATTCCATTAACTGAATTATGAGTGGCAAGCCCAATCTTCCCGCACACAGAGACTTAAAGTGTTCGCTCGTGTACAACTCGTTTATCAAAGACACGGTGCCACCACCTGGTTTACATATATTTTTAAATTCCCCTTGGCTGTATTTCAACTTGTTCAAATTTATTACAGTACCCTGTCGGAATAATTTAAATGTGGAGAATTCGTCAGGTGGTATTCCAGTACTGGTTAATATACATTTAATTTGACTATGTGTCGTTAAGTTCCTAAAATTTAAACATTCTTCAATAACAAGAACGTACTCCAGTAACATTTGTAACTCACAATTAGAATGTGGGATGTCAATTAAAAACAGATTCCCAGTATGTTCTGTACACGCCTTTCTTAGTTGTTCAGGTGATGTTACATTGATGTGTTGGTAACCTGGATTGCTGGTCATTAACTGTTTGGTCATCAGTTCAGCCAAATATGTTTTACCACATCCTGGTTTACCACAGATAAACAACGTACTGTTCTTCTGCAGGATGTGCTGTCCATTGACGACAGCTTCCTCGAAACTGAAGGATGTATTCGCTTGGAAATTTCCTGCAATAAACGGACAGGTTCCTTCAAAAAATATCCATTTGTTTCACAGAAAAAATAACATGATTCGATAGTTATCGATATTTTGGGTACTCATTTTGAAAATATTGGGAATTACAGATTTTTTATTTGTCCGGTAACCAACATCAAAATATAAATTATTTATTAATATAGCCTATCAGAGCAGATATGGATTGAGCCTCACTACTTACATTACCCACTAAGCCTTCTCAAACTTTGTATTTACATGACCAAAGTATCAAGTGAGACATACTCAGTTTCTAAATCTAGTCAATAACAGTATAAATTTAACGTAGAAGTAACTAAGAATTTGTTTGACCGAGTAATCCATTCACCCCAAACCAAAATTATTGTAATGGTTCGATATGGCTGTAAAGTTTCTTCCGTATAACTTTCACTGTTTCAAAGATAGTCTCAAGAATTATAAGAAAGCATACCAAAAACTAGGTACAATGTGTTTCCTATTCCTCAGAACTATAATTACGTACGTATATAAAAAAAAATGGATCCAATGTGTTCTCATGGAAATCTGAACTTCTAATTACATATAAAGCAAATCTATAATAATTTTAATACGAGTCTGAATTATTAGCATGTATGAACGTAGTAGTTTGAATTTGTTACATACCGGGCAAATGTTCTTCGAATCCAATCGGCAGTGAATATTGATGTCTAGAAAAAGAAAAACATTTACAAGATCGCTCAAGTTAGATATAAATGATAGACAGCTAAATCTGTAATAACACATACATGTGGTACAGAAAATTCTAGAATTTTAAGTTGCCATGTTGTTATTTTAAATGTACATGTATATCAAGCACTAATTATATTTGTTAAGGCCAGCTCAATTCTTGTCAAGGTCGCTGAGATGTAAATAAGGTTAAGGCACGAGATTGTTGGTGAGATTGTAGGTTCGGGTTAGGGTAAGTATTAGGGCTAGGGTTAGGGTTAGGGCTGGGATTAGCGCTAGCCCTGTGACCTATGACGAAAAATTGAGCCGGCCTTATCATTTAGCACTCACCGTTTATCAAGTGCTTATATATATAGTTGAAAGAGTTCAGAACCTTATTATGGTGTTTGTAGCCATACGGCTCGTCTAATTGGTTACGGTCCAATCACATTTGAATATAACCAAAATGATTATTTAATATCAAAGATAGATAATCTTCTGGCTTAGAGATTAAAAAGGTACCCATAGAACAATTTTACTCAGCAAGAACATGGCAGAAGTTGCAAAATGATCAATTCACACATTCCGATAAATACGGAACAGACCTTGGCCTGGACTCAGTGTCGGATTAAACATTAGGCAAATAAGACACGTGCCTTGGGGCCAGCCCAGGCCACAAAAAAATATAGGAAAACACAATTGTAATTACAGTACTGATTTGTTTTGTAATAACTTTTCTGTCGTTAAATTCAACGTTCTTCCTTTTATCGGTGAACCCAAAATATCTATATTTTCAGCGCACTCTATCAAAATGTGCCATTCGGCCAACAGAGCCTTAATTTGGCACAGTCTGGACTGATAGTCCTTTTCGATATTCAACTTTCACGATATATTTAAAATCATACAAAGAAAGACAACCATCTTTAACAATAAGGGATGGTACCACATGGATGGGAGTTAATCTATGTGAGCTGTTAAAAAGTCTCTGTCAACAAACTTAATGAGAATTGTTTCAATGGCATTTACTAATTGAACTAGAGTATACAGGTCACAATTCTATGGAATACAATTACTGCTTTTTACTGAGCGACGTTTCGACTAGGCTTCTCTAGTCATTATCAAGCTATGATAAAAAAAATGAAAATATGACAGGACAATATATACATGTACACAACAATGCTAAGTTAATGCTGACAAACCAGGGATGTAACTTAATTACGTGTGCCTAATGGTAATCTGATTTAATTGTACGCTAATAAGTAATAATACCAATTAACCTAAAAAATTGACTAATTGATTAATGGATAAGTTGTTGTGGAGTATACACAATGATTAGTGGGTTTTAATAATACAAACGTTGCAAGAAAATGAAAATTGATGAAATGTTATCAACGACCCCTTTCACTGAAATAAATACAAATGATAAAAGAATAGATTGTTGTGGAGTATTTACAACGATTTGATGAGGTTTTGATAATGACAACATCCCACGAAGATGAGATTTGATTGGTGTTATGACCAAAATAATTGATATGTGGATGTTGACGCGAGTGATTACACTGATATACGAAAAACCCTTAGAACAATGACTGCACAAATGATCAATAGTCCCCTGAAGGCTGACGATTTAAAATATTGAGTGGTACTTCACTGGATGTTATAGTGATGTAGAAAAGCAGGGTTAGAAATATTGAGTGCATTAAATTACAATAACCGCAGGCCTGAAAAGCAAACATAGTTGGGAATTATTAGTTGTCATTTTTGCATATTATGATGGTTATTACAAACTTAAAGTTATTACTGGAATATTGATAAGTATTAAATATGATAAAAAAGAAAACAGTAGAATTATGCTTAGCCTTGATTATGTGATAAGAATATCATACGCCCTGGGGAGGAACAATCCTTGATCTCTGTTCATCGTTGGTTTGTGTCGTCGTATTTGAATGGCTTCATGTAATCGGCGCGCTCTCTTGTTGCTTATATTCTTGCATAGTGGTTTTACGTTGGACCATTGGACTCTGTGGCGAGGGTTGGAGTTCAAATGTTCAGCTACAGCTGAGTTGTTGGTTGCTGCTTTCGACTTGTGGTCATCTATCCTTTTATTTAATGGTCGCTTTGTCTCCCCGATGTATGCAATCCCACAATTGCATACTATTTGATAAACACATCCCTTTGATTGTGGTGGTTGTGTAGGATTTTGTTTACCATTGGCTCTTAATATATCTTTAGTGCTGTAGCTTTTTGTGAAGTTACATCTATTTCTGGTTGTTGCATTAGAAGCCGTTTGATTTGGTAGGAGACTTTGCCGTTGAAAGGAAGGAAGATTCTGACTGGGGCAGTCGGGGTTTTTGGTTTAGCTGCACTCGCCGACAGGGTCTTGTTGATGGCGTTTGTCACAAACTTCCCTGGATAGCCGTTGAAATTTGTGAAGACATGTTTGAGATGATCAATTTCCTTGGAGAGGCTATCAGGATCACATATCTTTTTCGCACGGTTCACCAGAGTTGAAATTGTGGCCGATTTGACGCTATTCGGGTGATTAGATTTGAAGTGAATGTATTGGTCGGTGTGGGTTGGTTTCCTATAGACACTGGTACGGATCGAGTTGTTGGTTTTAGATACACAAACATCGAGGAAGGGTAGTTGGTTATCATTTTCGGTTTCCATTGTGAATTTTATACGTGGGTGTTGCCTGTTGAGGTGTTGTAACAGTGTTTCTGGATCATCTTGTTGATTGATAATAACAAAGGTATCATCCACTTGCCTAAAGAAGCATGTTGGGGTTACGGTGGATGTTTGAAGCGCCTTCTCTTCTAAATCAGTTAAAAATATTTCTGAAATTAAAGGGGAGAGGGGGCTTCCCATGGGTAATCCATTGGTCTGTTCGTAAAAATCGTCACCCCTGGAGAAATATGTTGAATTGATGCATTGTTTCAACAAGAGTATGATGTTGTCTGTTGATAGGGAAGTCTCTAGTGGGTTTTCTAAACTTTCTATGCGCTTGCGTAGAATCTTCAGGGCCTATTCCCTTGGTACATTTGTAAACAAATCTACAACATCATATGAGACCATCCTCCCGGGGTTTTGAATATTCTGCAGTTTCTCACAGAATTCACCTGAATCTTTGATGAAGGACGATGCAGTTGTGCCAAGTGAGGAAAGTAGTTTTGATAAATATTGGGCTGTGTTGTAGAAGACTGAATCTCGAGAACACACCAGCAGACGGGCTTTCATGGGGTTTTTATGGATTTTTATAGTAGCCCTGGCATAAGGTGGTCGAGGGTGGTTTGGTCTGAGCTTGTAATAGAGAGCTTCAGAGATCTGTTTGTCTTCTTTTAGTTTTTTAAGCAAGTTTTCATGGCTGTCCTTGTGCGCGTTTGTTGGGTATTTGCGGATTCTGCTATATGTTGCTGGATCTTGGAGTAAACCGTTGACCGTTGTGAGGTACTCGTGAGTATTCATGATGACTGTTGCTTTTCCCTTGTCGGCGGAAACAATTGTGATAGATCTGTCGTCTTTTAGGTCATTGAGGGCTTTCCTTTCTTGGCGGGACACATTGGTCGTCTGCTGCTTGGTAGATGCCTTTGCTAGTATTTCAGTTATTTGGTGCCTTAGGTAATCGACTTTACGACCTGGAGCGAGTTGACGTAATCCTTTCTCAATGTTGACAATATAGGTGTCATGGTTCAGGGACTTTGTGGTCGGTGCAAACTTTAATCCCCTTGATAGAATGGTAATTTCGTCATCGGTTAAGTCTCGATCACTAAGGTTGACTACTGTTTTCGTTAAGTATTCTTCTCTTGATTGTCTGGTACTATTTGAAACTGGACGCTGTGGTAATGAGGATCTGAGGTTGTTGAATTTATCCACCTGCCGCTTTCTGACAGTTCCATCCAACAGGGCATTCGAACTGATTTGTTTTTCTCTCACTCTGTCGTAATCTTTAGGAGACAGTATGGATTGGAGCTGAATACGCTGTTGTTCAGAAAGAGTGAATAAGCGGTGCTTCTCATTTCTATTGTGCTGGATCCTCTCGCGAACCAAGCATTTGCTTGCTTTGGCGAGTATTTTCGATGCAGCAGGTGAGGTGATTGGTGAAGTACCACTCAATATTGTTCTAAGGGTTTTTCGTATATCAGTGTAATCACTCGCATCAACATCCACATATCAATTATTTTGGTCATAACACCAATCAAATCTCATCTTCGTGGGATGTTGTCATTATCAAAACCTCATCAAATCGTTGTAAATACTCCACAACAGTCTATTCTTTTATCATGTGTATTTATTTCAGTGAAAGGGGTTGTTGATAACATTTCATCAATTTTCATTTTCTTGCAACGTTTGTATCATTAAAACCCACTAATCATTGTGTATACTCCACAACAACTTATCCATTAATCAATTAGTCAATTTTTTAGGTTAATGGTATTATTACTTATTAGCGTACAATTAAATCAGATTACCATTAGGTACACGTAATTAAGTTACATCCCTGGTTTGTCAGCATTAACTTAGCATTGTTGTGTACATGTATATATTGTCCTGTCATATTTTCATTTTTGATCATAGCTTGATAATGACTAGAGAAGCCTAGTCGAACCGTCGCTCAGTAAAAAGCAGTAATTGTATTCCATAGAATTGTGACCTGTATATTAATGAGAATTGGTATGCCTTTTACAGAATATTCTGAAGCGGTAAATGGACATTATTGACAAATATTATAAGATGCAATTGCCATGGAGACAAAACTGATTTTTTCAATGGTTCAAATACATGGCATGTAATCAATATCAAAATACCTCGAGCTGTACAATTTCCGACATGGCCCTTTAATAAAAAAAAAAATGCATGATGCCCCGGGTGTGGAGGGGGGCTTCCTTCCGATTCTGTAACTAACCATATTTCAAGTAGGGTTGTGTTAGGATCATAAATGAAAGATGTGTTGTTACCTGACAGGTGAAGCTCGATGTTTTGTTCCTTGTACCCGGTCAGTTTTACCTCTGGCAAGACCTCTTTCATGTGAAATATTATCTTTCTCTATATAACTTGTTCTATGAGCCCAGAGATGGGCTTTTTCCCGTTTGTTTGGTGTAGATTGAGACATTTGAATGTCATTTCCTCTTTGTTCAGCGATATTGCACGTACACTTTATGGCAGCGTTCTTAGGTAGGATTGTCTCCTTAAGTATCTGCTCAACCTGATCTTTATTGTCCAGCATATTTTGAGCACGTTCTCGGTTATCATGTGACACGATTAACATGATACAACCCGTATTAATGTGTTGAAGTTTGGCATGGAATCTTTCTATCAATTTTAAAACTAGTTCACGTAATTTCTTGAATTGATCTCCCTGGATAATGTTCAAAATGGCCGTCTCAAGCTGGGCGTCCTCTTCTTGTTGGTTCAGGAATTCTATTTTCCAGTTGGTGTTCACGGTAGTTTCACCCTGGTCCTCATCAGCTGGCCAAGATATCGAGACAAGATTTGTATTGTCAACATTAACTGAAACGAGAGATTGAAAGAAATGGGGTTTAACGTCCACTCGACACAAAGTAGGTAATTTGGGGACTAACATATGGTACAATTTTATTCCAATAATGCGCTTGTGTGTATTTGTCATTAGCTGTTTTAGCTGCTGGGGGGAAAGGGAGAACCCGGAGAAGACACACGACGTTGAATAGGCGACACTACTCCTTATTACGTACGACAAGGAATCCTGTGACACGACATATAATTTAAGACAAAACCACTGCAACTGAAAACTGGTGTGGCGTGCATTGCTTGTTTTTTTCTGCACAGATTGTCACCAGAAATTATTCTGTCATCGATAGTTACGAATACAACTACTTACTTTTAAATTCTCTGGAATTAATTCGTTCAAATATTTGTTTGTTGATAATAATCTTTACTATGGAACAACAAGGTCCTATACTAATAATAGTCGTATCTTCATCATAATAAAAATGTAAATTCTCTTTTTGATCCGCTGGTATTTCTATATGAGCCTGCTCACTAAGTGAAACATCTTCATTTGTGGCGCCTGTAAAAAAAATCATAAATACGCCATACAATAGTCTAATAGTCAGAAACCCAAATTAAATAAATTACGCTGGAATATACCGGAATTGATCGAGGGGTTCCCATTGGAATGTGGGCTAAAGGTTACAATCGTTCCACCACCCAGATTCACTGCACGTGTAGTGAACGTACAAGAGTTGTATTTAACTGACTGACATAAATCGTTTCAAAAAGAGACTTATCTATCTACTATGATCAACGGTATCAGCCTACCAGTGTATATATCTATTTAGAAATCAAATCTCAAAATGAAATAAAGACTTGAAGCTAAATGATTAAGTTTACCTTGGGGTGTTTTCACTTCAGTTATATCATCGTCACCAGCAGCAATATGATTATTCTGAAGAAATATAATATTAAATGTTGGTGAAAATAAATCGATCATTGTTGTAGGCAAATAACCAAGAATCAATCAATTTGAAGAAGGTCTATTTGGGGATGTATTTGGGGGTGTACTAAGGTATCAATTTGGACGTTGTATCCTATAGAATGTATTTGAATGGTTTATCCATAGAATATATCTATAGGATGAAGCTGGATGATATATATGTAGGATGTATTTGGATGGTGTATTTGGATGGTGTATCTGTAGAATGGTGTATGTGGATGGTGTATCATATATAAAGTGTAGCTGGATGGTGTATCTATTGGATGTATTTGGATGGTGTATCTGTAGGATATATTTGGATGATGTATCTATAGGAAGGATGGCTGGGCAAAGTCAAAATTAACGAGTTAACTAGTTAAAAAAGTTAAAAAGGCAAAATTACAATAGAACAAAAACACACGGCAAATACGTCTACAAATTAAAGATATTCATGTTTTAATAACCTTTAACACGTTTGTCCAACATGACACTATAGAATTGTTCAATATCTTTAATCATTTTTACTTTTTTATGCAAGAAAACGATGCCGTTTCTTTCCATAAGGCAATTCGTCTCTGTTTATATACGAATCCATAAGTTATAATCGTACTGAACTCCCAAACTAGATGTGCTTGTTAAAACATTATCTTTAATTTAACTGCTTAAACCAGCGGTTGCCAGACAAGATACGCCCCCACTTTTCAAGGGATGAATAGAGAACAAGCCAAAAAAAAAAAACCACCCGATATTTCGTACAATCAGGGGTCATCACACTATTTACGTTCAAGGAACGGCTATTTTGTCGGACAATTTCGGTCCGATTTTTACGAAATTCGAATTCAATCATCATCAGTGTGTAACGATGATATATTTAAACGACTTTTTAAACTCTCTGACAAAATAGCCGATCCTTGAACGCAAATAGTGTAATGTTAAAATATATCTTTATATCCCAAAGATCTCAGCCCCTTTCGATATTCGCACATTACAGACCATAACTTCCTGGATTATGACGCCTGATTGTACGAAATAAAACTAAAGACATGCAATAAGCAGATTTAGCTCTTACAGAATGCGCCTTTAATTTATTCACCCTCTTGTGATATGCAAATGTTTGTTTGCCTGGCCACTTTGGTATTGTCATGAATATGGAAAACTAATATGATCAAAAATCTTTCTAGTTAAGAGTGCGGCAAATAGTCGATCGAATATGGAAAGCGAAACCACCAAAGCTTACCACATCCGACCTGTGACTACTCAACACCCTTAAAGATGTATTATGTAAGATTTAGATAAAGAGCTGGACATCCTTGCTATAATAATTTAAAAATAGAATATGAAAAATGAATAGATTTAAATTTCAACCCAATTACATTATTCTAAGCGTAGTTATCACTGTTTGAAGTTTTGAAAAAGTGTCGCATGGTCTGTTTATTATCGTAACAACGGTACTTGTTATTCGATGCTTAGCCTCGATTCGCCATTTTTAAATTCCAATCATTAAATGGCGACTGTATTTAAATCCCCGCCATCCAATGGCACCGAGAGACAAATTTATCTCTTGCATAATGCATCTTTAATTGAGTGAAGTTACTAAGTTGTCAAATAGATTAATAAAGTGTAATTACAATGAAAAAAGTAATAATAATTTAAAGAGATACAAACCCCAACTATCTGCTTCTGTTCGCTCTGTGGACTGACCGCAATGACCTTATTATTTGGTCCAGTTTGAAGATTACCACAGTTACCATGGATGTGTAATGCGGACTCCTGGGGCCTGCTCTGTTTAAATACATAGATATAAATTTATAATTAAAATTCAAAGTTGTCAGGAGTGGCATACTATAAATGAAATAAAATGAAGGAGAAAATACGCCGTGCAGAGGGAAATGTAAGAGAGATGGCGACGTTTCTGTCCATCTTCGTCGAATTTCAGTCGTCAAGGGTTCTTCAAGAGCACACGGAACTTCCGCTTTTGGCCCTATCCGAAGGACTGGACTAGAAGCTATTTCTTGCCAAGGTTCTCAGTCATGTACCACATGTAGCGTGGTAGTTATCCTGTTTGCTTACAACAATACTCACGTGTTGGTTGCCATCTGTAATTACTTCCTTTAATTCTGTTGTTTTATTCTCATCGACATTCAGTGTTTGAGACTGAAATTTAAAAAAAACCATATTACTGCACTTAACTCATATTAAGGAATTCATTAAATTTACATAACCATAATTATAATTAAAGAGACATTATTCAAGAGCTGAATCTTTCTATTGCAGGTCTTTCTTTACATGTTATGTAAATTATTAATTAGACATTTATTAACATGACATGACCACAATTAACTCTCAATGCCATCGGGTGGCTCCGATTATAAGACGATTATAATGGTTCGGCCATTTAATGATTTCATTTAAAAATGGAGAAGGTAGGTTAAGCTTCGAGTGACCAGCACCGTGGTTACGATAATAACAATAAATGTACACATCGTGTCAAAACTACAAATATTAAAAATTCATTCAAAATTAAGTTATTTAAAATAAAGTTTCAATATATTCATTTTGTATTATCTATTTTTGAACTATTACAGCAAGAACCATCAGTTCTTTATCTAAATCTAAGGTATTTGTTTCGAGCTTTGTAAAATCCTTGAAAACCACTAAAATTTTTACGACTGTAGAAAGTTAAAGCCGTTATATCTCTGTGACATTAAAGATGCATTATGTAAGATTGGATAAAGAGCTGGCAGTTCTCGTTGTAATAGTTAAAAAAAAGATAATGAAAATAGAATATAGTGAAAATTTCAGTCAAATTACTTCATTCTGAAAAATAGCCGAGTATCGATTGCAATTGCCACCGTTATTACGATAGTAAACACAGTCCCAGTTATCTATTTTTAAAATATTAAATCATAAATTACCAATCGTTATTAAATCGGTTGAAAATCAAAAGCATTCGATGGCGTAGAGCGCTGATTATTGTCTTGTCATGTTAATAAATGTCTAATAATTTGTATAAACTTTTAAGGCCTAAAGAATGACCGGCAATAGGCAGATTTAGCTCTTGCATAATGAATGTTTAATCTAATGTGTTTGGAATATGGAAAACTAACATGATCAAAAATGTTTCTAATGATGAGTGTAGCATTGTCGGTCGAATATGGAAAGAGAAACCACCAAAGCTTACCAGATCCACAACATGCGACACCGTATCTTCAACACATGCTTTGTTTTGTCTTTGATCGCCTAGGTATGACTTCCAATATAGTGTCACTGCTCTTAATTGTATTACTTCGCGTTATACGGCAACTGAACCGTATAATTATTATATATCAGAAACACAAAGATTTTCTGATATACATTTTGACATCAAGCAGGATACACAGACTACTTAAAACTCTGACGTCATATCTGGTAAATTTCCAGCAAAGTTAATGCACTGTATTTCGTTAACCTATGGGTCATTTTAATATATCAATATGTCATCTATTTCCGTTGTATTACGTGATGTCTATCTAATAGAGAGAGAGGGTTTAATGTCCACTCGACACAAACTAGGCCATTAAGTCTGTCATTGAGTCAACTCGCGTGGTTTCGAATCCCCGGTTGTACGTGACAAGGAGTAGGGTCGCCTGTCCAACCTTATGGGTTTTCTCCAGGTCTTCTGGTTTTCTCCCACTACTAAAGACCCCTACGCGCAAGCGAATTATTGAAATAAAATTGAACCATGTGTTAGTCCCGAAATGACCTAGTTTGTGTCGAGTGGACGTTAAACCCCATTTCTCTCTCTCACACATAATAATACTAACCTCATCAGTGTTATCTCCTGTTGACGTCGCTTCAGTCTAAAAATAAAATCATTCAAACAATACTTATTTATTTTTGATCCATTATACAAGTATTTAAGAAATTTTGTGATGCTTGCTTACTTGACCGTGGCTAATCAGATCAAACAGGAAATTTAATTAAGGATGTTGAGCAATCTAAATTGCACGTTTTAAAGCTAGCACTATAATTTCTGTTGATAAGATATGCCATTTTTTTGTTATTTAGGGTGATAAACTACATATATTAATCATCAAAAAAAAAATACCAATTTTATTTACCAACTATGTTCCAAACTTGCCCAAAAGCATGATTTTTTTCAGTTATGCCAGCATGGATTTTCATCGAATTACAATTCCAAAAAAGCAAAAGATACGGAACAAATTTTTGGCTATAGGCTGTGGTTTGTCTGGTATCCATGGAAACGCAAAAAATGAATATTAGTTTTCTTGGAAATTCTATTAGTACATGCTAAAAAGAGATATCGACTGTTTATTATCGCAACAACGGTACTTGTTATTCGATACATAGACTCGATTCGCCATTTTTAAATTCCAATCATTAAATGGCGACTGTGTTTAAATCCCCGCCATCCGATGGCCCAGAGAAACAGATTTAGCTCTTACATAATGCATCTTTAAGTGAATGACGTTACTAAAATGAAATGAAATGGAGTTTAACGTCCTACTGTTCTGCTCCAACCTGGGCTAATGAAGACGGGCATACGCCATACAGTGTGCTATGAGGGAAATTTTGCCCGGGCAGCGGGACTGCGGCCTACTCTTATATCGAATTCCAACTGTCAAGGGATCTTTTACGTGCACGCCAATGTGTACACGGGACCTCGGTTTTTCGTTCCATCTAAACGACTAGACAGCTGTCCTTGTCAGGCCCTCCGTCCTGCATCACTGAGAGGGGGGAAACCACGCCGGAAAATCTGGATGAACTTTCTCGGCCAATGCAGGAATCGAACACCCGACCTCCAGGCTAGTGAGCCAACATCTTACCCACTTAGCCACCGTGACCCCCGTGACGTTACTAAGTTGTCAAATCGATTAATAAAGTGTATTCTTAACAAAACACAACACAAGGTATGGATAAAACTACTTCTCTATTATTTAGTAACGACGTTTCGTGACACATACCGGTCACGTTTTCAAGTTAATGATACATATCCATCTAGTCAGCCTATTTATACATATTTTGACATACACCAAGCTAATTTATAATAAGAAGAAACCATTAAAATAAATAAAGTATAATTACATTGAATAGAGTAATAAAGATTGTAATAATATTGCTAGAATTTTTGCTCTTGAAATTAATTGTGGCAGTATATTTCATTAATTAATATCTTTGGCAAGTTGGTAGATTCCCACATATGTAGTGTGTACTAAATCAACTTATGGTATAAATGACATATTGTTATATAAAAAAGAGTTATTTAACCATAACATGTGTCTATAAAATATCACAGAGAGTACATGTGCAAGGAAAAGTACCATTGTCTCATTCGGTTTAAAGTAACCAATCACGCCGTGCAGAGGGAAATGTAAGAGAGATGGCGACGTTTCTGTCCATCTTCGTCGAATTTAATGATTTCATTTAAAAATGGAGAAGCTAGGTTAAGCCCCACGTGACCAGTGCCGTGTTTAGGATAATAACAATTAATGTACAGTACACATCGGTTTTTGGCACCATCCGAAGGACTAGCAACTATTTCCTGCCAAGGTTCTCAGTCATTTACAACATGTAGCGTGGCATTTATCCCGTTTGTTAACAACAGTACTCACGTGTCGGATGTCATCTGTAATTACTTCCTTTAATTTTGTTCTTTCACCCTCATCGATATTCAGTGTTTGAGACTGAAATTAAAAAAACCAACACATCACTGCACTTAATTCATATCAATGAATTAATTAAATTTACATAACCATAATTACAATTAAAGAGGCATTATTCAAGAACTAAATCTTTCTATTGCAGGTCTTTCTTTACATGTTATGTAAATTATTAATTAGACATTTATTAACATGACATGACCACAATTAACTCTCAATGCCATCGGGTGGCTCCGATTATAAGACGATTATAATGGTTCGGCCATTTAATGATTTCATTTAAAAATGGAGAAGGTAGGTTTAGCTTCGAGTGACCAGCACCGTGGTTACGATAATAACAATAAATGTACACATCGTGTCAAAACTACAAACATTAAAAATTCATTCAAAATTAAGTTATTTAAAATAAAGTTTCAATATATTCATTTTGTATTATCTATTTTTGAACTATTACAGCAAGAACCATCAGTTCTTTATCTAAATCTAAGGTATTTGTTTCGAGCTTTGTAAAATCCTTGAAAACCACTAAAATTTTTACGACTGTAGAAAGTTAAAGCCGTTATATCTCTGTGACATTAGAGATGCATTATGTAAGATTGGATAAAGAGCTGGCAGTTCTCGTTGTAATAGTTAAAAAAAAGATAATGAAAATGGAATATAGTGAAAATTTCAGTCAAATTACTTCATTCTGAAAAATAGCCGAGTATCGATTGCAATTGCCACCGTTATTACGATAGTAAACACAGTCCCAGTTATCTATTTTTAAATTAAATCATAAATTACCAATCGTTATTAAATCGGTTGAAAATCAAAAGCATTCGATGGCGTAGAGCGCTGATTATTGTCTTGTCATGTTAATAAATGTCTAATAATTTGTATAAACTTTTAAGGCCTAAAGAATGACCGGCAATAGGCAGATTTAGCTCTTGCATAATGAATGTTTAATCTAATGTGTTTGGAATATGGAAAACTAACATGATCAAAAATGTTTCTAATGATGAGTGTAGCATTGTCGGTCGAATATGGAAAGAGAAACCACCAAAGCTTACCAGATCCACAACATGCGACACCGTATCTTCAACACATGCTTTGTTTTGTCTTTGATCGCCTAGGTATGACTTCCAATATAGTGTCACTGCTCTTAATTGTATTACTTCGCGTTATACGGCAACTGAACCGTATAATTATTATATATCAGAAACACAAAGATTTTCTGATATACATTTTGACATCAAGCAGGATACACAGACTACTTAAAACTCTGACGTCATATCTGGTAAATTTCCAGCAAAGTTAATGCACTGTATTTCGTTAACCTATGGGTCATTTTAATATATCAATATATCATCTATTTCCGTTGTATTACGTGATGTCTATCTAATAGAGAGAGAGGGTTTAATGTCCACTCGACACAAACTAGGCCATTAAGTCTGTCATTGAGTCAACTCGCGTGGTTTCGAATCCCCGGTTGTACGTGACAAGGAGTAGGGTCGCCTGTCCAACCTTATGGGTTTTCTCCAGGTCTTCTGGTTTTCTCCCACTACTAAAGACCCCTACGCGCAAGCGAATTATTGAAATAAAATTGAACCATGTGTTAGTCCCGAAATGACCTAGTTTGTGTCGAGTGGACGTTAAACCCCATTTCTCTCTCTCACACATAATAATACTAACCTCATCAGTGTTATCTCCTGTTGACGTCGCTTCAGTCTAAAAATAAAATCATTCAAACAATACTTATTTATTTTTGATCCATTATACAAGTATTTAAGAAATTTTGTGATGCTTGCTTACTTGACCGTGGCTAATCAGATCAAACAGGAAATTTAATTAAGGATGTTTGAGCAATCTAAATTGCACGTTTTAAAGCTAGCACTATAATTTCTGTTGATAAGATATGCCATTTTTTTGTTATTTAGGGTGATAAACTACATATATTAATCATCAAAAAAAAAATACCAATTTTATTTACCAACTATGTTCCAAACTTGCCCAAAAGCATGATTTTTTTCAGTTATGCCAGCATGGATTTTCATCGAATTACAATTCCAAAAAAGCAAAAGATACGGAACAAATTTTTGGCTATAGGCTGTGGTTTGTCTGGTATCCATGGAAACGCAAAAAATGAATATTAGTTTTCTTGGAAATTCTATTAGTACATGCTAAAAAGAGATATCGACTGTTTATTATCGCAACAACGGTACTTGTTATTCGATACATAGACTCGATTCGCCATTTTTAAATTCCAATCATTAAATGGCGACTGTGTTTAAATCCCCGCCATCCGATGGCCCAGAGAAACAGATTTAGCTCTTACATAATGCATCTTTAAGTGAATGACGTTACTAAAATGAAATGAAATGGAGTTTAACGTCCTACTGTTCTGCTCCAACCTGGGCTAATGAAGACGGGCATACGCCATACAGTGTGCTATGAGGGAAATTTTGCCCGGGCAGCGGGACTGCGGCCTACTCTTATATCGAATTCCAACTGTCAAGGGATCTTTTACGTGCACGCCAATGTGTACACGGGACCTCGGTTTTTCGTTCCATCTAAACGACTAGACAGCTGTCCTTGTCAGGCCCTCCGTCCTGCATCACTGAGAGGGGGGAAACCACGCCGGAAAATCTGGATGAACTTTCTCGGCCAATGCAGGAATCGAACACCCGACCTCCAGGCTAGTGAGCCAACATCTTACCCACTTAGCCACCGTGACCCCCGTGACGTTACTAAGTTGTCAAATCGATTAATAAAGTGTATTCTTAACAAAACACAACACAAGGTATGGATAAAACTACTTCTCTATTATTTAGTAACGACGTTTCGTGACACATACCGGTCACGTTTTCAAGTTAATGATACATATCCATCTAGTCAGCCTATTTATACATATTTTGACATACACCAAGCTAATTTATAATAAGAAGAAACCATTAAAATAAATAAAGTATAATTACATTGAATAGAGTAATAAAGATTGTAATAATATTGCTAGAATTTTTGCTCTTGAAATTAATTGTGGCAGTATATTTCATTAATTAATATCTTTGGCAAGTTGGTAGATTCCCACATATGTAGTGTGTACTAAATCAACTTATGGTATAAATGACATATTGTTATATAAAAAAGAGTTATTTAACCATAACATGTGTCTATAAAATATCACAGAGAGTACATGTGCAAGGAAAAGTACCATTGCCTCATTCGGTTTAAAGTAACCAATCACGCCGTGCAGAGGGAAATGTAAGAGAGATGGCGACGTTTCTGTCCATCTTCGTCGAATTTAATGATTTCATTTAAAAATGGAGAAGCTAGGTTAAGCCCCACGTGACCAGCGCCGTGTTTAGGATAATAACAATTAATGTACAGTACACATCGGTTTTTGGCACCATCCGAAGGACTAGCAACTATTTCCTGCCAAGGTTCTCAGTCATTTACAACATGTAGCGTGGCATTTATCCCGTTTGTTTACAACAGTACTCACGTGTCGGATGTCATCTGTAATTACTTCCTTTAATTTTGTTCTTTCACCCTCATCGATATTCAGTGTTTGAGACTGAAATTAAAAAAACCAACACATCACTGCACTTAATTCATATCAATGAATTAATTAAATTTACATAACCATAATTACAATTAAAGAGGCATTATTCAAGAACTAAATCTTTCTATTGCAGGTCTTTCTTTACATGTTATGTAAATTATTAATTAGACATTTATTAACATGACATGACCACAATTAACTCTCAATGCCATCGGGTGGCTCCGATTATAAGACGATTATAATGGTTCGGCCATTTAATGATTTCATTTAAAAATGGAGAAGGTAGGTTTAGCTTCGAGTGACCAGCACCGTGGTTACGATAATAACAATAAATGTACACATCGTGTCAAAACTACAAACATTAAAAATTCATTCAAAATTAAGTTATTTAAAATAAAGTTTCAATATATTCATTTTGTATTATCTATTTTTGAACTATTACAGCAAGAACCATCAGTTCTTTATCTAAATCTAAGGTATTTGTTTCGAGCTTTGTAAAATCCTTGAAAACCACTAAAATTTTTACGACTGTAGAAAGTTAAAGCCGTTATATCTCTGTGACATTAGAGATGCATTATGTAAGATTGGATAAAGAGCTGGCAGTTCTCGTTGTAATAGTTAAAAAAAAGATAATGAAAATGGAATATAGTGAAAATTTCAGTCAAATTACTTCATTCTGAAAAATAGCCGAGTATCGATTGCAATTGCCACCGTTATTACGATAGTAAACACAGTCCCAGTTATCTATTTTTAAATTAAATCATAAATTACCAATCGTTATTAAATCGGTTGAAAATCAAAAGCATTCGATGGCGTAGAGCGCTGATTATTGTCTTGTCATGTTAATAAATGTCTAATAATTTGTATAAACTTTTAAGGCCTAAAGAATGACCGGCAATAGGCAGATTTAGCTCTTGCATAATGAATGTTTAATCTAATGTGTTTGGAATATGGAAAACTAACATGATCAAAAATGTTTCTAATGATGAGTGTAGCATTGTCGGTCGAATATGGAAAGAGAAACCACCAAAGCTTACCAGATCCACAACATGCGACACCGTATCTTCAACACATGCTTTGTTTTGTCTTTGATCGCCTAGGTATGACTTCCAATATAGTGTCACTGCTCTTAATTGTATTACTTCGCGTTATACGGCAACTGAACCGTATAATTATTATATATCAGAAACACAAAGATTTTCTGATATACATTTTGACATCAAGCAGGATACACAGACTACTTAAAACTCTGACGTCATATCTGGTAAATTTCCAGCAAAGTTAATGCACTGTATTTCGTTAACCTATGGGTCATTTTAATATATCAATATATCATCTATTTCCGTTGTATTACGTGATGTCTATCTAATAGAGAGAGAGGGTTTAATGTCCACTCGACACAAACTAGGCCATTAAGTCTGTCATTGAGTCAACTCGCGTGGTTTCGAATCCCCGGTTGTACGTGACAAGGAGTAGGGTCGCCTGTCCAACCTTATGGGTTTTCTCCAGGTCTTCTGGTTTCCTCCCACTACTAAAGACCCCTACGCGCAAGCGAATTATTGAAATAAAATTGAACCATGTGTTAGTCCCGAAATGACCTAGTTTGTGTCGAGTGGACGTTAAACCCCATTTCTCTCTCTCACACATAATAATACTAACCTCATCAGTGTTATCTCCTGTTGACGTCGCTTCAGTCTAAAAATAAAATCATTCAAACAATACTTATTTATTTTTGATCCATTATACAAGTATTTAAGAAATTTTGTGATGCTTGCTTACTTGACCGTGGCTAATCAGATCAAACAGGAAATTTAATTAAGGATGTTGAGCAATCTAAATTGCACGTTTTAAAGCTAGCACTATAATTTCTGTTGATAAGATATGCTATTTTTTTGTTATTTAGGGTGATAAACTACATATATTAATCATCAAAAAAAAAATACCAATTTTATTTACCAACTATGTTCCAAACTTGCCCAAAAGCATGATTTTTTTCAGTTATGCCAGCATGGATTTTCATCGAATTACAATTCCAAAAAAGCAAAAGATACGGAACAAATTTTTGGCTATAGGCTGTGGTTTGTCTGGTATCCATGGAAACGCAAAAAATGAATATTAGTTTTCTTGGAAATTCTATTAGTACATGCTAAAAAGAGATATCGACTGTTTATTATCGCAACAACGGTACTTGTTATTCGATACATAGACTCGATTCGCCATTTTTAAATTCCAATCATTAAATGGCGACTGTGTTTAAATCCCCGCCATCCGATGGCCCAGAGAAACAGATTTAGCTCTTACATAATGCATCTTTAAGTGAATGACGTTACTAAAATGAAATGAAATGGAGTTTAACGTCCTACTGTTCTGCTCCAACCTGGGCTAATGAAGACGGGCATACGCCATACAGTGTGCTATGAGGGAAATTTTGCCCGGGCAGCGGGACTGTGGCCTACTCTTATATCGAATTCCAACTGTCAAGGGATCTTTTACGTGCACGCCAATGTGTACACGGGACCTCGGTTTTTCGTTCCATCTAAACGACTAGACAGCTGTCCTTGTCAGGCCCTCCGTCCTGCATCACTGAGAGGGGGGAAACCACGCCGGAAAATCTGGATGAACTTTCTCGGCCAATGCAGGAATCGAACACCCGACCTCCAGGCTAGTGAGCCAACATCTTACCCACTTAGCCACCGTGACCCCCGTGACGTTACTAAGTTGTCAAATCGATTAATAAAGTGTATTCTTAACAAAACACAACACAAGGTATGGATAAAACTACTTCTCTATTATTTAGTAACGACGTTTCGTGACACATACCGGTCACGTTTTCAAGTTAATGATACATATCCATCTAGTCAGCCTATTTATACATATTTTGACATACACCAAGCTAATTTATAATAAGATGAAACCATTAAAATAAATAAAGTATAATTACATTGAATAGAGTAATAAAGATTGTAATAATATTGCTAGAATTTTTGCTCTTGAAATTAATTGTGGCAGTATATTTCATTAATTAATATCTTTGGCAAGTTGGTAGATTCCCACATATGTAGTGTGTACTAAATCAACTTATGGTATAAATGACATATTGTTATATAAAAAAGAGTTATTTAACCATAACATGTGTCTATAAAATATCACAGAGAGTACATGTGCAAGGAAAAGTACCATTGCCTCATTCGGTTTAAAGTAACCAATCACGCCGTGCAGAGGGAAATGTAAGAGAGATGGCGACGTTTCTGTCCATCTTCGTCGAATTTAATGATTTCATTTAAAAATGGAGAAGCTAGGTTAAGCCCCACGTGACCAGCGCCGTGTTTAGGATAATAACAATTAATGTACAGTACACATCGGTTTTTGGCACCATCCGAAGGACTAGCAACTATTTCCTGCCAAGGTTCTCAGTCATTTACAACATGTAGCGTGGCATTTATCCCGTTTGTTTACAACAGTACTCACGTGTCGGATGTCATCTGTAATTACTTCCTTTAATTTTGTTCTTTCACCCTCATCGATATTCAGTGTTTGAGACTGAAATTAAAAAAACCAACACATCACTGCACTTAATTCATATCAATGAATTAATTAAATTTACATAACCATAATTACAATTAAAGAGGCATTATTCAAGAACTAAATCTTTCTATTGCAGGTCTTTCTTTACATGTTATGTAAATTATTAATTAGACATTTATTAACATGACATGACCACAATTAACTCTCAATGCCATCGGGTGGCTCCGATTATAAGACGATTATAATGGTTCGGCCATTTAATGATTTCATTTAAAAATGGAGAAGGTAGGTTAAGCTTCGAGTGACCAGCACCGTGGTTACGATAATAACAATAAATGTACACATCGTGTCAAAACTACAAACATTAAAAATTCATTCAAAATTAAGTTATTTAAAATAAAGTTTCAATATATTCATTTTGTATTATCTATTTTTGAACTATTACAGCAAGAACCATCAGTTCTTTATCTAAATCTAAGGTATTTGTTTCGAGCTTTGTAAAATCCTTGAAAACCACTAAAATTTTTACGACTGTAGAAAGTTAAAGCCGTTATATCTCTGTGACACTAAAGATGCATTATGTAAGATTGGATAAAGAGCTGGCAGTTCTCGTTGTAATAGTTAAAAAAAAGATAATGAAAATGGAATATAGTGAAAATTTCAGTCAAATTACTTCATTCTGAAAAATAGCCGAGTATCGATTGCAATTGCCACCGTTATTACGATAGTAAACACAGTCCCAGTTATCTATTTTTAAATTAAATCATAAATTACCAATCGTTATTAAATCGGTTGAAAATCAAAAGCATTCGATGGCGTAGAGCGCTGATTATTGTCTTGTCATGTTAATAAATGTCTAATAATTTGTATAAACTTTTAAGGCCTAAAGAATGACCGGCAATAGGCAGATTTAGCTCTTGCATAATGAATGTTTAATCTAATGTGTTTGGAATATGGAAAACTAACATGATCAAAAATGTTTCTAATGATGAGTGTAGCATTGTCGGTCGAATATGGAAAGCGAAACCACCAAAGCTTACCAGATCCACAACATGCGACACCGTATCTTCAACACATGCTTTGTTTTGTCTTTGATCGCCTAGGTATGACTTCCAATATACGGCAACTGAACCGTATAATTATTATATATCAGAAACACAAAGATTTTCTGATATACATTTTGACATCAAGCAGGATACACAGACTACTTAAAACTCTGACGTCATATCTGGTAAATTTCCAGCAAAGTTAATGCACTGTATTTCGTTAACCTATGGGTCATTTTAATATATCAATATATCATCTATTTCCGTTGTATTACGTGATGTCTATCTAATAGAGAGAGAGGGTTTAATGTCCACTCGACACAAACTAGGCCATTTCGGGACTAACATATGGTTCAATTTTATTTAATTAATTCGCTTGCGCGTAGGGGTTTTTAGCAGTGGGAGGAAACCGGAGGACCCGTAGAAAACCCACGGGGTTGGTTAAGCGACCCTACTCCTTGTCACGTACAACCGGGGAATCGAAACCAGTTGACTCAATGCCAGACCTTATGATACAGCGCGCACGTGCTAACCATTTGGCCATCCAACCCCCCTACTTCTAATAAAGCTTGTTTACGAATTTGAAAGCAATATTAGTTCGAGGTCATCATATTGCTATAAGAGGTATAATGTGTTATATCGAATTGTGCAATGTCTGTTTTATTTAAGTTTGGTTTGCTTGATCTGTGTTTAGCGATGCATTTATCCTGTCTGTTTACAACAATTCTTACCTGGGTATTGTCACCTTTAGTTTCTTCTGTTCTTTCACCCTCATCGGTATTCTCGTTTTGATACTGAAATTTAAAAACACAGTAAAATATCAATTAATGTTCTGATAGAAAAATGTAATAAAATTTTAAAATTTCGACAACAAAAACACATTAAAATATCAACTGGAGTTCTGATAATTAAAAAAAACCAGGAATGATGTTTAAAATCTTAACTACGGTTTTTTGGAATTTGAATATTTAAACGACGTACCCTGAGCTCCTATGCCCTGGTACTCTAAATTTCTTACAACATGCCCTGAAGCTAGGGTAGCAAAAAGATCATACAAGTTTATAATAATACTAACCTCATCAGTGTCATCTCCTGATCGCGTAATTTCAGTCTAAAAATAAAATCATCCAAACAACATATTTTATTTTTGATTCATTATACAAGCTTTTAAATATTTTGGGGGTTGGATGGCTTAGTGGTTAGCACGTGCGCGCTGTATCATTAAGTCTGTCATTGAGTCAACTCGCGTGGTTTCGAATCCCCGGTTGTACGTGACAAGGAGTAGGGTCGCCTGTCCAACCTTATGGGTTTTCTCCAGGTCTTCTGGTTTCCTCCCACTACTAAAGACCCCTACGCGCAAGCGAATTATTGAAATAAAATTGAACCATGTGTTAGTCCCGAAATGACCTAGTTTGTGTCGAGTGGACGTTAAACCCCATTTCTCTCTCTCACACATAATAATACTAACCTCATCAGTGTTATCTCCTGTTGACGTCGCTTCAGTCTAAAAATAAAATCATTCAAACAATACTTATTTATTTTTGATCCATTATACAAGTATTTAAGAAATTTTGTGATGCTTGCTTACTTGACCGTGGCTAATCAGATCAAACAGGAAATTTAATTAAGGATGTTGAGCAATCTAAATTGCACGTTTTAAAGCTAGCACTATAATTTCTGTTGATAAGATATGCCATTTTTTTGTTATTTAGGGTGATAAACTACATATATTAATCATCAAAAAAAAAATACCAATTTTATTTACCAACTATATTCCAAACTTGCCCAAAAGCATGATTTTTTTCAGTTATGCCAGCATGGATTTTCATCGAATTACAATTCCAAAAAAGCAAAAGATACGGAACAAATTTTTGGCTATAGGCTGTGGTTTGTCTGGTATCCATGGAAACGCAAAAAATGAATATTAGTTTTCTTGGAAATTCTATTAGTACATGCTAAAAAGAGATATCGACTGTTTATTATCGCAACAACGGTACTTGTTATTCGATACATAGACTCGATTCGCCATTTTTAAATTCCAATCATTAAATGGCGACTGTGTTTAAATCCCCGCCATCCGATGGCCCAGAGAAACAGATTTAGCTCTTACATAATGCATCTTTAAGTGAATGACGTTACTAAAATGAAATGAAATGGAGTTTAACGTCCTACTGTTCTGCTCCAACCTGGGCTAATGAAGACGGGCATACGCCATACAGTGTGCTATGAGGGAAATTTTGCCCGGGCAGCGGGACTGTGGCCTACTCTTATATCGAATTCCAACTGTCAAGGGATCTTTTACGTGCACGCCAATGTGTACACGGGACCTCGGTTTTTCGTTCCATCTAAACGACTAGACAGCTGTCCTTGTCAGGCCCTCCGTCCTGCATCACTGAGAAGGGGGGAAACCACGCCGGAAAACCTGGATGAACTTTCTCGGCCAATGCAGGAATCGAACACCCGACCTCCAGGCTAGTGAGCCAACATCTTACCCACTTAGCCACCGTGACCCCCGTGACGTTACTAAGTTGTCAAATCGATTAATAAAGTGTATTCTTAACAAAACACAACACAAGGTATGGATAAAACTACTTCTCTATTATTTAGTAATGACGTTTCATGACACATACCGGTCACGTTTTCAAGTTAATGATACATATCCATCTAGTCAGCCTATTTATACATATTTTGACATACACCAAGCTAATTTATTGATGTATAATGTATAATTACATTGAATAGAGTAATAAAGATTGTAATAATATTGCTAGAATTTTTGCTCTTGAAATTAATTGTGGCAGTATATTTCATTAATTAATATCTTTGGCAAGTTGGTAGATTCCCACATATGTAGTGTGTACTAAATCAACTTATGGTATAAATGACATATTGTTATATACTATTCAAAAAAAGTAGGGGATATTTGATTTTTAAGTGTTATTAAAGTCACCTAATGAAACTGACGAAGAAACAAATGACAAAATGAAATGAAGTTCACATTCATTGATTTATTCCAAATGATCGTTAGACTAAGTAAGGCACAGACTGACCATTATAAGGGTAAAATGATACCCGGGGTCAAACAGCAAAGTTACCACAGCATCACAACCAAGTCAGTAACGGGTAAATCCTCCTCTGTTTGCCAAACAAGCATTGATCCGACGTGGCATACTCCTAATGAGACGTCTAAGGTCATTTTAGTCCAGATTGTCCCATTCCTGTTGTAACGCAGCAGCAAGTTCTTGGACATTGGCAGGACGTTGTTGACGTTGACGTAACCTCTGTCCAAGCATGTCCCAGACATGCTCGATGGGGGAGAGGTCGGGACTCAGTGCTGGCCAAGGTAATGTGGTGATGTTCTGTTGTTGGAGGTAACCTGTAACGATCCTGGCCCTGTGACATCTTGCGTTGTCATCCTGGAAGATGAAACGGCGGCCATGACGTCGTGCGAACGGCACAACATGGACTGCCAAGATGTTGTCCCGGTAGTACTGGCCTGTAACACGCCCTGCAACAACATGTAAAGCCGTTCTTCCAGCAACAGTGATGCCTCCCCACACCATAACAGAACCACCCCCAAATCGATCATGTCTGATGACGTTAACGTCTTGGAAGCGCTCGTTTCGACGACGCCACACCCTCCTACGTCTGTCCAAAAAATCAACTGTGAACCTTGACTCATCTGAAAACATCACATTGCTCCAGCGTCGATTATCCCAGTGTTGACGATCCCTACACCAACGACGTCTTGCCTGAATGTGATGATCTCTCAAACAAGGGATCACGCGAGGACGTCGGGCGCGAAGGTGACCCCTATGCAGTCGATTCCGAATCGTCTGGCCACTCACTCTCACACCAGTGTCTGTTTGAAGACGAGCGCTGATCTGATTTGCTGTGATGACACGATTTCTCAAGGCCAAGGTACGGATAAATCGATCCTGGGCTTGAGTTGTCGCCCTTGGTCGACCTGAGCGTGGTCTGTCCTGTACAGATTGTGTATCACGGTATCTGGACCATAGCCTGCTTATGACAGACTGAGAAACATTCATCGTCCGCGCCACAACCGCCTGTGTTGTGCCGATCTGTAGCATGCCAAGGGCACGTAACCTTTCATTTTGGGTAAGCCGACGCATATCAAAATTTGTTTTCTGGTCACTAAAACAATTAAACTGATGTTTCCACCCTGGAATTCAATGCCACAATGACTGTAACATTCAAAGTCAGAGTCGTGCAAATCTTGGGTTGGACCCCCATGATGATCCCAAGCATCACCTGCATTCCATGCGGTAGCTATTGGTGCGTTTGGGCGTCACATGTAACTGGAAATGTTTCTTCTGTTAGGTTCTATAGTGACTTTTTTCGTAGTCATTTGCATATTTTAGTATTATGCCCCCAAAATCAAATATCCCCTACTTTTTTTTAATAGTATATAAAAAAGAGTTATTTAACTATAACATGTGTCTATAAAATATCACAGAGAGTATATGTGCAAGGAAAAGTACCATTGCGTCATTCGGTTTAAAGTAACCAATCATATCGTTAATTACACAAGTTCAGGGCCATGATCACGCTTTATTGTGCATGATATTCATATGCCTTTTAAAAGAAACCGTGGAACTCTGTAAGTCAGACTTCTATTAGGTTCCTTTATGTAAATTATTTAACCACTCCCTCGTATCGAAAACAGTACCGAATATCTGGAAATTTGCCAATGTAACTGCCATATTAAAAAAAGGTGACCCATCAGACTGCGGAAATTATAGGCCCATATCACTACTTAGTATCTTAGTTAAAATATTCGAAAAATGCATTTATAAAAATGTCTTCAACTTTCTAAGGGAGAATTATGTTCTAACTAACCTCCAGAGTGGCTTTTTGCATGGGGATTCTAGTGTTTACCAACTTACCGATATTGCACACTACTTTTGTCAAGCCATCGACCAGGGATTCTACACGAGAGCAGTGTTCTGTGACATAAGTAAAGCTTTTGACAGGGTCAGGCATGCTGGACTCTGTCACAAGCTTGAAGCTGCGGGGATACGGGGAGACATCCTTCAATGGTTTCACAACTATTTAGAGGGAAGAACACAGTCTGTTGTTACTGGGGGTGTCTCCTCCTCCCCTCAAACCATCCCCTCTGGCGTGCCACAGGGCTCTGTTCTCGGTCCTCTCCTTTTTCTCATTTATATAAATGATATTGTAAGTAATATCACATCAAATGTTCGACTCTTCGCTGACGACACTTCCCTTAACCTAGAAATTGATGAACCTACCAAATGCGCGAATATTCTAAACAATGACCTGGACAAAATTAATTCATGGGCTAAATCATGGCTGGTATCCTTCAACCCACTAAAGACCGAAACACTAGCACTGACAACCAAACAAAATCCTATTTTACCTACCCTTACTCTAAATGGTGTTCCTATCACGGAGGTCCCACATCACAAACATTTAGGTCTAACTTTTCAACAAAATTGCAAATGGAACAAACATATTAACGACATTATCGAAAAAACCAGCAAATCTGTCAATTGTTTAAGATCCCTTAAATACAGACTTAACCGTAAATCATTACAAACCATCTATACCTCCTTCATCCTACCTCATTTTGATTATTGTGACATCATCTGGGACAGCTGCGCAGACCAACTAGCTAACAAATTAGAGCACCTATAACTGGATGCACTTAGGTCCATATGTGGTGCTGTAAGGGGTACCAGCCATAGACTGTTATATAAAGAAACCGGTTTTATTACGCTAAAAGAGAGACGCAGAAGACATAAACTCAAACTCATTTATAAAATTATAAACGGCCTTTCTCCATCTTATCTTCATGATTTAATCTTGACAAAAAGCGCACCTTATAATCTCCGAAACATAAACCTACCTGAATATAAATGTAAAACAAATATTTACTATAATTCTTTCATACCATCGTCAATTAGAGAATGGAACAAGTGCAGACACAAAAAATTCATTATCTCTAAATATCTTCAATTCGAAACTAATGGCTCAAGATTCAACACCACCAAAAACCTTTTCGTTTGGATCCCGCACAAACCAAATTATTCATTCTAAACTGCGTCTCTCTTGCAGCAATCTAAACGGACATAAATTTTTACGTCACATTTCTGACAATCCATCCTGTAAATGTGGACATCAATTTGAAGACACTGAACATTTGAATTGCTCCTTATATTCAGACGCCCGAAATAAAACAATAAATAATTTATCGACTATTCATCGAAACACGGAATTGACGACGTGGAAAACTCACTCAATATTTTTAAAACTGTCCACTCGTTTTTCGAAATCACCAGACGGTTCCAGGGACAACTATAAACACTCATTGTAAATATATTTTCACTATAATCATACTTGCACGTGTACATTGATTATCTATTTCTAAAATGTAAATACATGTATCTATATCTGACAGGGAGAGGGGTTTAATATAGGCTATGCCTGTTCCCCAATCCCTATTCAGATACAAATCTGAATAAAATACTGCTTATAAAAAAAAATTAGATTCCAGAGAGCTTCCATCTGAGTTCTTAGACAGCCGCAAGGCTGGCTAGGGTGGAGAAATGGTTTTAGCTAGTATTGTTATATATTATGCTTGTATCCATATATGTATTCGGCTATGCTATATAAAATGTAGAAGCGAACTGTTGCATTGTTATTCCTGGTAAGACAAACGTCTTAAGAAAAGAATAAGAAGTAAATACACAACGTGAAGCAGAAGTAAAGACAGCTAGAGACAAATTCTAGACGATCACAAGGCTACAGAAATATGTAGTAAGAAAAGATGCATGGGTCGTATGTAGGATGTGGCGACCGGTTTCCGATAACACCCGCTCTCCACGTCAGACAAAAGACCTATGGTGCTACACGATTTAAAGATATACAAACCTCCGCAATCTGTGAACTGACCACAATGAAGTTGTTATTTGATCCAGTTTGAACATTACTACAGTTACCATGGACGTGAACTGGGTAATCCTGGGATTTGCCCTGTTTAAATACATGGACATAAATTTATGATAAACATTTAAAGTTGTCAGGAGTGACATATACAAATGAAATAAAACAAGCCAACAGTGAGGCTGATGTCCCCACGCTGAAATCCCAAAATATAAAGATGACAAATATTAATTAATTGTACATTTATTTTTTCAAAAGTATCTAGAAATCAAACTGATTATCTATAATTAGTCTAAGCATAAAATGTTCACGATCAAAATCAGTCAAGGTTTTGAAGTACCTGGAAGTTAAACTACACGCTAAGTTTCATCACTATCCATCAGTTAGAATCAAAGTTATCTTATCCAAAAGCATCGACAAATGAAATTACTCAGCTCTGCTTAAATTTAGCGGGAAATGTTTATAATTGAACTCCGTCAAGACATTCAGATAATGAACATCAAGTTTAAACATTCTACCATAATTAAAAGTCTTGACCAATCAAATTGCTTATCGCTACTTAGCCTAAGCAGCAAATTCTTATCATCGAACTTGGTCAAGGTATTGATACAATAAATCTTTACTCGGAGTTTTGTCGCTCTTACCAAAGTAGAACCAAAGTTATGATGTTCGAAAGTCTCAACCAGCCTAATTGCTTATCTCTGCTTATAGTGGAAAGCGCGCATGATTAAACTCTGTCAAGACATTCACCAAATAGACACTTACACTAAGTTTTAAATTCTACCTCACTTAGAATGAGAATTGTTGTGTTCCAAAGTCTCGAACAATCAAATTGAAGTCTCTACTTTGCCCAAGTGAAAGTGTTCAACACCAAAATATGTTTTAAGATAATGATGTAATGAAACTATGCACTAGGTTTCAACACTATCACTCAATTAGAATCAAAGTTGTCAAAGTCTTGACCAATCAAATTGTTTATTGCTCTGCTTACCTGAAAATGCTCATTATCGAACTTAGTCAAGGTATTGATGTGATAAAAATATACACCAAGTTTCAACACTCTCACTTATCGAACTTAGTCAAGGTATTGATGTGATAAAAATATACACCAAGTTTCATCACTCGCACTTAATTAGAACCAAAGTTATCGTGTCCCAACGAATCAAACTGCTTATCTCTGCATTATCTATTTTTGAACTATTATCTAAATCTTACATAATGTATCCTTAACTTATACCTACTTTATTATCGAAAATAAAAGTAGGGATCTACTTCCAGTAAGGTATTTGTCCTTGAAAACCACTAAAATTTGCACGTCTCGTAGATTGAAAGTTAAAGCCGTTATATCTCTGTCCCATTAAAGATGCATTATGTAAGATTAGATAAAGAGCTGACAGTTCTCGCTGTAATAATTAAAGAATAGATAATGAAAAGGGAATATATTGATATTGAAAACTTCAGTCAAATTACTTCATTCTGAGCTAAGTTACAACTATTTGGATTTGATGAATAGCGGAGTATCAACTGCCATTGCTACTGTTGTTACGATAGTAAACGGTCGTTTTTGTGTTAGTTCACAACAACGGCTAGATGAATGAAAAAGGGTCATATATAGTGAAATGAAATGAAATCGGATTTAGCGTTTTACAGTTCTGCACAAACCCGGCTAATAGACGGATATATGTCATTTCTTGTGCTATGGGGGGCATTTTTCCCGAAAAGTGGTACTACGGCTTATTTTTATTCCGATTTCTAACTGTCGTGGGTTCTTTAATGAGCTATCAGTGGAACATACAAGAGAGCGCGGTTTTTTATACCACCGGGACGGCTAGAGGCTATTCCTTGCCTTTTCATTCACCCAGCAGGTTGAAACCAGGCCGAAAAATCCGTTCCTGGTGAGTGGACCAGCGACAAACTCCCCAAGCTACCATGGCTGCCATAAAGTGGCAATAAATTTGAAAAACATAAGAACAAACTCAATCTGAATAAAACACAGATCCTATTTCGTTTCGGTTTTTTTTGTGTTTTTTTTGGGGGGGGGGGGATTATATAGTTCAATATTTCGGCTTACTTTTCTTTTCTACGCTGGTTGATGTGAGGGATTAGCCAATGAAACGGTCTTGTAAAATAGATATAACCGGTGAGAAAGTATAAGAAAATGAAACGATATATAGATCTATAATCTGATTGGAACAAATTACAACCTCAGGTGGACAGTTCGCCATCTTTGTTTAATACCATGAGTTTGAAATGGATGTTTGGTTGAACAATTCATGCAGAGTCGTCACTACAATAAAAAAAAAAAACAATACATAATTATGATCATGTACACAGTAATCCTGAAAGAGCTAATTATGTGTTATGCTTGCCAGGGGGAAGAGAGAATTGGGGTTTAACGTCCACTCGACACAAACTAGGTCATTTCGGGACTAACATATGGTTTAATTTTATTTCAATAATTCGCTTGCGCGTAGGGGTCTTTAGCAGTGGGAGGAAACCGGAGTATCCGGATAAAACCCACGATGTTGGACAGGCGACCCTACTTCTTGTCACGTACAACCGGGCAATTCAAAACCACGCCAGTTGACTCAATGACAGGCCTTATGATACAGCGCGCACGTGCTAACCATTCGGCCATCCAATCCCCCTCTTATCGAAGGCAACGACGCACAATAAACATAGTTAAAAGGAGCAAAACCTTTAACTCAGTATTCTACATAATATTAGAAATTAAAAACACGGGTCCTATATCCAATATTTAAGACACAATTGACATTTTATAATCAGTACACGAGTCGTGTATTCAATGGTTTCGAGTGCCATTTGTAATGAACAAATAAAAACATATCCTACAAGACAGTGTGGAGGTAATTAGAAATGCCTGATTCACAAGCAACAAAATAATAATTTTAAAAACATGTAGAATGGACTTAGCAGGCGTAAACTATATTGTCGTTCAGTTTGGACTAATCGCCTATTTCACCGAACATAACCGATTAGCAATTGCAATATATATATTTTTAACTGACTATAAATCACTTTATATACATTCATATTACATTAATATGTGCTTTTAGACCACATTTCGTCTATTGTAAGGTTCTGCAGAATCGAGTCATGCTCTCTTTAAAGTGTTGATTCAAGATGGAGTATAAACATCAGGGGCCGGTTGCTCAAAACTCAGCTAATGTTTAGCTTGTTAACGGTCCGTTAAATTTTTTTAGCTGGAAAGTCAATTTCTTTATCCGTTAGCTAACGGACTGAACGAAGTTAATCCAAGGGAAGACTGTACAATATACATGTATAACAAGAAACTGAAGAAAGTGAGACGTACTGTGCAGTCTGTTTACAAGATAACTGTAGAATTTCCTACAGAAAACACTATACAAATATACTATAGAATACTGTATTATTTTCCTTTGGAAATTTTAGCATAAATCTGTAGGAAAAATTAAGGGATTTGCACTACAGAAACTGTAGAGTATCTGGGGCAATTATTTCCTACAGGCCCCCAAAATTATGTAGAATACTATAGAATTTCATCCTATAGAAACTGGGATAGCCCATTATAGTATGCCGCTATGGTTAATCAAGGATAAATACGATTAGAATTTTAAGGATTTTTTTTCGCCAATTCTAAAAAAGAATCGCCAGTACCCCAAAACTTTATCGCCAAAATTATCGCCAAAAACTAAATTTAATCGCCACTTTCATAATTTTATCGCAAATTGCGAATTTGGCGACCGACAGTGTGAGCCCTGCCCCCACCTCAACCCTCTAGAATGTTCTATAAAACTACACAGGTAATCTATAGGACTTTTTGCTAAGGGTATACTTAAACTGACAGCCCACTAATGCCATCGTTAAACAGATAACGTAGCCCAACACCTCCGTTAACGACTTGTTAAAATTAGGGGGACTTCTCTCCGTTAAAGAAAACGAACCGTTAACTCCTTATTAAACAGGGGGCCACGGTGGCTAGATGGTTAAGACGCTGGTTCGATCCCTGCATTGGCCGAGAAAGTTCATCCAGATTTTCCGGTGTGGTTCCACCTTGTCAGTGATGCAGGACGGAGAGCCTGACAAGGACAGCTGTCTAGTCCTTCGGATGAGACGAAAAACCGGGGTCCCGTGTATACATTGGAATGCACGTAGAAGATCCCTTGGCGGTTGGAATTCGATATAAGAGTAGGCGATAGTGCCGCTGCCCGGGCAAAATTCCCCTCATAGCACACTGTATGGCGTATGCCCGTCTTCATTAGCCCAGTATAGGAGCAGTAGGACGTTAAACCCCATTTCATTTCATTTCCTTGTAAAATAGCCTAGTGCCGCTCTTCACCTAAACTGTTTTATATATACTATAATACGGACTCTTGCTAAACTGGTCCAATGAAACAGTTTTAATGTGTAATGGTTATACAAAGAATGAATACAATTTATGAAAGATTTCACAAAGTAACATACATTAAAATCCGTTTAATTGTAAGGTTTGTGGCTGACTGCACAGCACCATAATATAATATAGCTCCTATAATGTATTACACTCTTCCCACACACTGGTCTAGATACTGAAAGACATTCCTCAAAGTGGGTAGGCAACCGTATCATAGTAAATAAACGGTTTCACAACTTCAAAAAGAAATATATACCGTTAATAGTAAATGCAGGGGAGGAGGGGGAACATCACACACAAAAAATTACACAAGGAAGTAGTGCCGCTGTCCGGGCAAAATTTCCCTCATAGCACACTGCATGAAGTAAGCTCGTCTACATAAACGCAGTCGGAGCAGAACAGTAGGACGTTAAACCCCATTTCATATCATTTCCGTTTACGTCATCTGCATAATCGAGTTTTAACGACCAAATTGTCAATAATTCTTTTATGTGTACGATTTCGCGTTAAACCCTCCACTCTGTAGCTGAAACTGGGAAAACCCGCTGGAAAATAGCGGGGTATTTTCTCGAAAACACCGGGATAGAAAACCTATTAACCTATTTACTAACCTACATTGGCCTCTATATACATTAAATATAGCTTACGTGAGTCGCATACGCTAACAAAATACTTTGAAAATCACAAAAGGGTCTACGTTCCAGTTTACTGATACAATAAAATGTTTTTTGTTAAATTTTCACAAAGTCATGTCATAAATATTGTAGATCGACGTAACCTTGTATATTTTACCCACGCTAACCTCACTACATGTGTATAGCTAGCAATCAAGTTGATGACAACGATAGGTGATTATTAGAAATGATTCGACATTTCTGTAAGTTTGTAGGGGGTAGGTAGCTATTTGTATCATTGGACTTTCTCGAAAATAGTGTATTTAAAAATGACTCGACATTTCTTCTCCAGTTTGTAGGGGCGTAGGTGGCCGAATGGTATAATGAATCTTTTGTTTTAAAACTAATTAAATCGTCTGCTGCTATATCATGACCATTATATCCTGTTCAGACTCCTGTTCTTCAGGACTGTCTAGACGAAGTTATTCCAGTTTTGACCAATATTATTAATTCTTGTATATCATCCTCTACTATTCCCAACGTTTTCAAACAAGCTTATGTTACCCCTTTAACTAAACAGTTTACACTGGATCCTAGTGTTTTTTAAAAATTGCAGACCTGTCTCTTACTTAAGTTTTATTTCTAAAGTATTGCAGAAATGTATTGCTTCTCCGATAAAGGACCATCTAGATGAAAAATGTTGTTCACCCCTTCTCAAAGGCTAAATCTATTCCACATGGAGATTTCCCAAAGGTCAGGAGATGTAAACAGGGTTAGGGCACATGGTTGTTGCCGAGGATTGTAGGTTAGGGTAAGGCTTAGGGCTAGGTCTTGGGTTAGGGTTAGGGTTAGCGCTAGCCCTGTTTACATCTTGTGACCTATGACGAAAGCTGCAGGCGTGCAAGCATGTGAAATAATCTACCCTATCTTTGCATTCTTTGCATAATCGGATTTCGTATGTAGAAGATCAAGTGTCCGATAAGATATTTGTTTTACTTTGCAAAGTGTCCTATTTAAGTCGACAATGTCACTTCGATACTTTTACTCGTAAAGAGAGATCAGTGCATATAGGTATAATTGTATTACTTACTCCTAAACAAGGATCAAAATTTGTCTGGTCATTGTGTTACGAATATAGTCATACATAACATTGTTTATAAAACTCGAACTTTAAAATAAGAAACACGTAATGTTATGTAATATGCCTACCTTTTGTTGGTGCTGAACAGCATGACTGACAGTTCCCTCTTCTTTCCATTGGGACTAAGGATTGCCGATTCGGTGGACAGTGAATTCGGGTAAGTGAATTCAAGTTTGTTATAAGTAGGTCATCTATATTTAGCTCGTGGTTTTTTACAAAGCAAGGTCAACGTTTTAAAGCGCATGAAACATATTAAAACGTAATTATGGCCGGGTTTTTGGGGGGAATACCCTTTTACTGATCATGACTTCCCATTGAGTCTTCCCAAAGATGCATTATGGGAGATTAGATAAAGAACTGGCGGTTCTCACTATAATAAGGGAATGTGCGGATTGATTCACTCTGAACCGAGAATTTAGCAATTGAATTTTAGGCCTAGCCTCGATCGGTTCATTCCCATATCGCGACTCGCCGAGTTTTAGGGGAAAGGGGTTGAGTGGCCAAGAACAATAGACCCAAGCTGAAGGATAAAACTAATTAAGCAGATAATTTTGGGAGCATTTATTTTTTTTAACTTCATAACAACCTTTAACACATAACATAACATGATTTTAACTTTTTGCACGCATAAAGTTTCCAACATAGTCCAAAAATTCTAACAAATTCATTCTTCCTTGTTCATATGTTTCGAATCTTCATTCGGTGTATTTTTTTTCTTTTTAGGTGGTTGTCGCTGGCCACTTGAATACTGCAATAACTGAATTTCAATCGTCTTTTGCTTTTCTTGCAAAAATGCCATTACTTCAAAAATATTAGGATGAGCTTTTCCAGTTAATTTTTTTAGGCGTCCGTGACATCCCTCTAATGAGTTATTGGTTTTTCGCGTGGTTTGGTTGTGGTTCCATTGTATCCATTGTATCTGTGGCCGTCTAACCATTGCGTAACAGTCAGTTGTCTATTTTTTTCATTATCTGGTACTTCGGCCATAATTTGAATCCATGCTTCGTCAATCTGCAAATAAAAGAAAGATACATATAAATTGTTTATATTTGAACTTTTCTCCAAATACATTGACCATAGTGAAAATAACACCCTCTCCATTCTACATCAGGAAAAACTGCTTCACTAGCATTCTTTGCCGCCAACTCAAAGTCCATCTAAAAAAAAGAAACATATTTGGGCCATACTACTATGTTATGGTATTAGATGTAGAATACGATATATGTAGAATACGATATTAATCGGTGTATTGTTTACATTGATTAAAAATATTCTTACCTGAAAATGGATGGTTGAAGGTTGAAACCGTTTTTATGTGCCACTTGCTTCAAAAGTTCAAAGGCTCTCCGGTATGTTGACTGTCTCTTGTCAGGTAAAAAGAAAAAAATGGAACAGAACGATCTTGGACTATATTCATTTTATTAATTAGTGCGTAAGTTGAATTCTGATAAAAATCAATTTAAGTGAACTATATCAATAATGACTGGTCTCTGCCTCATTAACGCTTTTAATCCGTTTTAACCCATCAAAGAGTGCTGCGGTCGGCTTTCCAAATTCTGGTGAGTCAGCGATACGGGAAGACCTCCCTCGATCACCCTCTCTCTCTCTCTCTCTCGTCGTTTGTGTCGAGTGGACGTTAAACTCCGCCTCTCTCTCTTGAAAACGCTAAAATAGATTTATTTAGCTCGCGGCTTTCTGTTCTTACATCTCGTCCAACCTTGTGGGTTTTCTCCGGGTCCTCCGGTTTCCTCCCACTGCTAAAGACCCCTATGCGCAAGCGAATTATTGAAATAAAATTGAATCAGATGTCAGTCCCGAAATGACTTAGTTTGTGTCTAGTGGACGTTAAACCTTATTCTTCTCTCTCTCTCTCTCTCTCTCTCTCTCTCTCCCCCTCTCTCTCCCTCCCTATCTCTCTCTCTCTCTCAAACTCGAAAATCAGAATTGTGGTGTCTTACCAACTGTCTCCCTGTGTTAATTCTGGGTTATCTCCCTTTTAACCCTGGATCGCGACGGAATGCTTTTCCAACCTTGATCGACGCCAGTCCACATATTTATGTAGACTATTTATGTGACCTTGACGACATCTGCTAGAAAACTTATATTTTGACCTAACCTAAAAATAGTAAAGCAAATGTAGTCTGAATCCTTATATACAATGTTCGCTGGAGTGGTCCCCCTTATATTACATGTCCCGTGTGTTCCTGGTTGGTTATTATCTATCAGGGAAAACACAAACATAACGGTATGTATATGCACGCCGAGCGTGTTACATAATCTCATTCTCAAAATGTCCAATACTATTTTTAATAACACAGACCATTAGTAATATTAAAAGAAATTAATTTTCGTGCATACTATTGTCTTTTTTCAGGTTCAAACTTAACACACATCATTTTGCCGGTCACGCTCCGTTCAGACGGCTATAAATAAACTACTTTTAGCCAGGGGAGTGGATACAAGCGATACTAGCTAAACTGTTCTGACAGCGCTGGTCAGTTGTTATAGAGTTACAGTCTAGGCTTGAAGGCCCTACTGTTCTGTACAGAACGGAGGGCACAGCAACGAACAGGATCTAGTCGTTAGGATGGGACGACGACCGATGTTCCATTCTCAGTTGGAATTCGAAATAAAAGCAGGCCTTAGCGCCTGGCAAAGGTGTTCTTTTATGTCCGTCTTCATTAGCCCAATCGGTGTAGAACAGTAGGACGTTAAACCCCATTTCATCTCATTTCATTTCAAAGCCTGGTAGGTAGCAAGATTTTTTAACTGATTTGGTTGCCACACCGTTATGTTCAGACAACAAAGATTAGATAAACGAGCTGACAGTTCTCGCTATAATAGTTTTAAAAAGATAATGAAAAGAGAATATACTAAAAATTTCAGTCAAATTACTTCACCCTGAGCCTAGATATCGGCGATACAATTATAGTCTAGCCTCGATTGACATTACTACCGTTGTTAAGATAATAAACATTATCCATTTTTACGGTAGCCGCATCGACCACAAAACGTATCCAAATCTACTTATATCGCCACCATCAGATGGCATCAAGAGTTGATGATGATCTTGGTAAGTTAATTAATGTCTAATTAATAATTTATACAACATTTAAGGCCCAAAGAAAGAACAGCAAAAGGCTGACCTAACTCTTGAGTAATGTGGCTCTAAAGATGCATTATGTACACTAGAACAGGCCCGTAACTAGGGGGCTAAGGGGCTAAGCCCCCCCCCACCCCACCCTGCAAATGAAAAATTGTCGACCATAAAAACAATAGATATACATTGTCCGTCAACTTTACAGCACCCTCTGAGAACACTTCCCGCCCCCCTCGTTGCTCTCTCTCTCTCTCTCTCTCTCTCTCTCTCTCTCTCTCTCTCTGAGCTAGTTACGGCCCTGCATTCAAATGTTATATAAATTATTAAATAAGTCTTTATTTACATGACAACCCCATAAGAATTACATCTGACGACCGTGATTTTTCATTAAATAATTTAATATAAAAATAGATAACCTAAACTTTTTTTTATTATCTTAACAATAGCGCTGGGCAATCTAGACTATATTTTCGAAACTTCAAACACTCATAACTATGTACAGAATAAAGTAATTTTATGGTCGTGATTTGAAAACTAGCTTAGTTTAAAAGTGTGAAATGAATATAATATGTGGAAAACAAAGAATTATAAGAATTCGACATGATCGGGTAGTATATGTCAACATAACTTGATAGATTGGTTGATTTCTATTTTTGGTTATTTTAAGAGTTTCTTGTCTATATCACATCATCTACATATTCAGTTAAATAGATACATGATGGATGACAATTAATCACCATTTTTAATACGACAAACTATTATACCTTTTGTAACCTTATATGGTGTTAAAGTTGTTTTATTCAATGAATGGGTGTTGCTCAAGGAAGTCAAAAGGAAGATAATACTGGAGGTGGAGGTGGGGTGGGGGGATTAACAAATATGGTAACATTGTTTTCTTTATTGATATGATCGCCGGGTTTATTGATATGGGCGCCGGTATCGCCAGGAAATCAAAATAAAGATTATATTCCGTGTGGTTGGGTGGGTGGATGGGCTATCTAGAAATATAAAATGAAATAGAATGTGGTTTAACGTCCACTGTGCTAGCGAAGACAGACATATGTCATGCAGTATGTTATAAGGGACATTTTGCCCTCTTATGTCGAATTCCAACTGTCAAGGGTTCCTTTAGGTGCATGAAAATGTGTAAACAGGAACTCGGTTTTTCGTCATATCCGGGCGATTAGGGGCTGTCCTTGTAAAGCCCCCCCCCCCCCTCCGTCCTACACCACTGGCATGGGGAAAGCACGAAGAACTTGATCGGCCAACATTAGGAGCGAACTGGAGATTTCCGGGCGTTCGAGTCAACGTCTTACTCACTGAACCACCGCGACTCTATCTAGAACCAAAACAAGGCATTATTTTTCGTTTCGTTTATGTTGATGGTTACTTGAACAGTCGAAAAAAAGAAGCGAAATGTCGGTAAATTGTTTAGTTACCCAGGGAAGTCATAAGGAAATAATACTGATAGAAGTCACTCTTAAGCAAAAGTATAATATTTGCGTTCCGTTTATTTTGATAGTCGCTTGAATAATATTACACAACCGAAAATAAAACGGAACGAAATGCTGGTATAATTTTTAATTAGACTGATTTATTCTCTTGCTCTATACACGAACGATTTATTTCACAGAAGACTTTAAACAATTATAACTAGCTATAAACAGCTATAACTAGCTATAAATTGAACTTTTGTGTCCTTGTCACATCGAAGACAAATAACGAAACGAGTTGAGTTTTTCCTTTAACGAAAGCCCTTTGTATGTTTCATCACGTAACACACTTCAAGCATTTTGTTAATTTCCTGTTCTCCAATCATCCACCTGATATTGGTATTATCTGTGATATTATATCAAGCGTCAGAATAAACATAAAAGTCGACATGGAAGAATCCAACATTCCGGAACCGTTGTCTGTATTACATGCGTAACCTTGACAACATGATGTACACCGTAATTGTGTAATACCGTATCCATGCGCTTTACATCCATAGTAACATTCTGATACACACCCTCTACTGATACTTATAGTGATACTCTTCAGAGAAATTCTTTCTACCTAGAATAATCAAAATAAAATATTCTGTAATGAAATTTGTAGTCGATAAATAATTAAAAGATGCATTATGTAAGAACTAAATCCGCCTATTGCAGGTCTTTCATTACATAAATGCTCATTTAGCCATTTATTTACATGGCAAGCCTATAATCCGCTCTCTAGAACATCAAATGGCCGAGATTGGAATGGATTTAAACATCCGCGAGATTGAAAAATTTAACGATAAATTAAGTCTCGAATAACAGGTACGATATTAAACAGTCTATGCCACATCTTGTCAAAACTTCAAACAGTGATAACGTAGCTGAGATTAAAGTAATTTGCATGGAATTTTCAATTTTTTCCTTATCTATTTCTGAACTACTATAGCAAGAACGTCCAGTTCTTTATCTAAATTTTACATAATGCATCTTTAATAGGAACGCTTGAATAATGCAAACCAGAGCCCAAATCTAAGCTATATGAGAGGCCCATTTAAAAACCCTGCTCATCATTATAACGCTCTAATATACAACATCTTTAACATGAGAGAGAGAGAGAGAGAGAGAGAGAGAGAGAGAGAGAGGGGGAGAGGGTTTAACGTCCACTCCACACAAACTAGGTCATTTCAGGACTGACATATGGTTTAATTTTATTTCAATAATTCGCTTCCACGAGGTTGGACAGGCGACCCTACTCCTTGTCACGTACAACCGGGGATTCGAAACCACGCCAGTTGACTCAATGACAGGCCTTATGATACAGCGCGCACGTGCTAACCATTCGGCCATCCACCCACCCCCCTCCCCTTCTTTAACATGAAATAAACTGGGGTTTAACGCCCTGCTGTTCTCCTACAACCGGGATAATAAAGACGGGTGTACGTCATGTAATAGGCTATGATGGCAGTTTTCTCAGAACAGCGGCGTTTTCGCCTTTTCTTCGCCTTATTCAAATTGTAAGGGGTTCGTCAACGTTACACGAATGACCATTCCTCCCATCCGAACGATTAGAGACTATTCCTTGCAAGGCACCTCGCACCACTGAAACCATGCTGGAAAATCCCGAGGAACCTTTTTTACCAGGGATCGAACTTGGGAATTCCGAGTCGGTGAGCCAGCGTCTTATTCAAATATAATTCGGAAATGAAATGAAATGAAATGAAATGAAATGGGGTTTAACGTCCTACTGTTCTGCTGATAAAGACGGGCATATGCGCCATAGTTTGCTATGGGTAAAATTTTGCTACCGCCTGCTCTTATATCGAATTCCAACTGTCAAGGAATCTTTTATGCCCACGTCAATGTGTACACGGGACCTCGATTTTTCGTCCTATCCAAACGACTATACGTTGTCGCTTGCAGGCCCTGACCTGCACCTCGGACAAGGGGGAACCACGCCGGAAATTCCCGGGATCGTACCCGCGACCTCCAGGCCAGCGAGTCCGCGTCTTACTTAGTCCCCGTGGCCCCTATATTAATAAGGCCTATAGATTAACCCAGCAGTACCAGCGTTAGATTTAGAAATTTTGTACAAAATTAAACACTCCCCCGAGACAATTCTATTTTAAATCGCTATTCAACAATCTATTATTGTTGTTTCTCCTTTGGTTTTGTTTTTATTTGAAAATTTAATTATTCATAATAGCAAACACAAAATAACAACCAATCTGTACTTCCCATCAACAACATAGCTGTTCAAAAAGACATTAAATATTTAAATATTTTTATTATATTTTGAACAATTCAGCAATTCAAGCCAGATAAACTAACGAGATTTAAAATACAGGTGTGACGTCATCCTTTGATGTTGGCGTACCATTATTTCCAATAACGTACGGGCAACTTGCCAACCGTACATTATCTATACTAGATGAAATATTGGACTCGCGTGACGTATTTCATTGAAAAGCACGTGCGGGATAGTGTCTGTATTTTAAGTTGTTTATTGGTCTCGAGCTAAAGACATGGCGTAATATATTGAAACAACACTCGGCTTACGCCTCGTACAGTATCACTATATTACTTAATGTCTCGCTCTCGACCATTAAACCATATAATGCACTATAAACTAACAAGAGAGAGGGGGGGGGGGGCGTCCACTCGACACAAACTAGGTCATTTCGGGACTAACAATGGTTCAATTTTATTTCAATAATTCGCTTGCGCGTAGGGGTCTTTAGCAGGGGGAGGAAACCAGGGGACCCGGAAAAAACCCACGAGATTAGACAGGTGACCCTACTCCTTGTCACGTAGTACCGGGGAATCGAAACCATGCCAGTTGACTCACTGACAGACCTTATGATACAGCGCGCGCGTGCTAACCATTCGGCCACCCAACCTCCCAAAGTATGGTGGCTGAAAGCGTCCATTTAGATCGGCATGTTTCTAGATACAACGCGAGAGTCGCCGTTAAGCCAGCACGACGAAAAAGGCGCCGATCGGCGACTTTTTCGTCGTACTACCTTATCGGCGACCCGCGACTTTCACAACACGAGAGTCGCCGTTAAGCCACGCGCCGAAGACGCTGCACGATTTAAGCTACCATTTGATGCCAATAGTAAGATTTCGCTCTTACATAATGCATTATTCATATTACATGTTTTTAAAAATACACAATTTGAGTGAGAAAATCTTTATTTTGGATCATTCACGTTTCCGTAAGACAAATAAAACCTAGCATTCAAAAAATAATACACATTAATTATTCATTATTCATGTTTTACAAATACACAAATTGAGAAATTCATTTTTTTTTTCACAAATTCTCAATATCTGTCAATCTATATTTTTATAACAAAAGCCAATTGGACGAGTGGAAATTTAACGATAGGCCTAAGTAGATGGTTGATGACATTTAATCGACAAGGATGTACTTCCTCGGCCGGGGGGTAAAATAAAGAGAGAATGAGGTAAAAATCGAAAACTTGACAATAGAATAGATTGGAAGAATAATATACCGCGGTGTAAGATAAATTAAATAAAATATCTATGTTGTTTAAGTGTTGATTATGAAAGGAGTTGGGGTATTATACCTATATTTATACAGTGTCGAGAGAAGACATATTGTTTATATATTATAGCCAATCACACTCGGTGTACTTTAGTGGCTAAAGAAAATCAGCAAGTATTTATACAGTATAATCTAGAGAAGAAATGGGTTTTTTTGTATTATGGCCAATCATATAGTGGCTTCAACGAGGAAATTTAAAAAGGATAAGACTCTTTGCCCCCCCCCCCCTAAAAACATAGGTTTTTAAACGTTTATGAAACCTAATGCCACGTTAGTAGAACAACCAGATTCTGCTTAAAAATGCATTATGTAAGATTTAGATAAAGAGCTGGTCAATCTTGTTATAATATACTCTTCAAAAAAAGTAGTGGATATTCAGAAACAATACAAAATTGCGGAAATGCGGTGCTGCTTTTATTAGAGGTAACCAGTGTATGTTAATAACAGACCAATTGCCTACACATGAACTTAAACAGTTCATATGGGCGGCTTATCTGACGGGCCCATTTCACTCCTCAGACATACAGCAATTCGTCGTGGCATGCTCCTAATCAACTGTCCAATCACGATTTGGGGCAATCTAACCAACTCCTCTTGCAGTGTCACGGCCAATTCTTGCAGTGCTGTCGGTTGACGTTAACGTCGACGAACACGTCTCCCAATCAAATTAAACGTAACACACTAAAGCAAAGATACGCTAAACAGTAAATCTTATGCAAGAACCGATAGGAAAGCAAACATGGATAGGATAAACCAGCAAGCGGCAGTTTTCATCAACCCTTCCTTGAAGTGTCAAATTTGACAATGAACCCCTCCCACGTGTATGGCGCTATTGCGTGTCGCACATGCAGCTCAGTGGTTCTGTTCGGGCGAAAAGTTCTTCATCTGTGAACATACTCTCACAGCATGTCAAGTGTCCATGAATATTTATCATATCACAACCTGCATAGGTATTTGCATTTCAATATCCCCTTATTTTTTTTTTTTTTTTTTTGAAGAGTATAGTTTGAAAATAGATAATGAAAAATGAATATATTGCAAATTTCATTCAAATTACTTTATACTCAGCGAAGTTATGGGTGTTGCAAGATGTAGCGCAGATTGTTTATTATCGTAGCAACGGTACTGGACATTCGAGTCTTAGTGTAGCTTCTACAATTTTTAATTAAATCATTAAATGCAAATCGTATTTCAATCCATTTTAATCTCTGCCATCCGTTAAATTTTTAAATCTCGCAGATGTTTAAATCCGCTTAAATCTCGGCGACCCGATGTTACAAAGAGTTGAGTATAGGCTTGTTGTTTTAATAAATGCCTAAATGATAGTTATATAACATTTGAAGCCAAAATAAAGACATGCAATAGGAAGGTTAAGCTCTTACATAATGAATCTTTAATTTTTTTTTTAAAACACAAATTTTACGTATCTGGTAAACTACCACCTCCACAATGTGTCACCCAAATGTTTGTTTCATAGCACCTATACACATAAGTGCAAATTAAACCTTACCGCCTAACGGGGACAGGGTATAGGCACCTTAAAATTACAAATGTTGACATCTTCTCATAATCATTTGAACATATTACCATACCATACCGATTGATAAAAGTTGTTCGAATTTGATTAAAACGGTTACGTAACTCTGGAAAAGAATTACGGCCCATTGTGAGATAAGTGGCATGATAGATGCATCCATTGGACTAAGAGTGGGTTGGTTATCCAGACACTACTTCACATCGAAAGTCGATGTTTAGATATACTGGGGCGGGAATAATGTTTCTAAGTTTGTTTTCACACAGAACTAACTAGTTTTATCCGCGAACAAATATCCGAGACGAGACGACCCCATTGATGTATTGACACAACCTAATAAACTACTAATGGCGATTAATCCCACTTGAGCTTTTGTTTTTCTTAAATATGGGGACTTTGACTAGTCAATTGAAACAACATACAGATAGAATGGCTAATATATCTAAACAACATTTTTTCCGGAACTAGTGACCGAATGGGTAACAGGAAGAGTATAGAAGACCAAATGGGACAATATTCATGATTCTTGTTTCTACATTCCAGTTTGAACATTTTAGACACGAACGCAACATTCTAAACTAATGATTCTTGTTTCTACATTCTTATGTTGATAAATTCATGATATTTTTCTGGACATTTTCATTTCAAGATTTTAACTTCAAGACTTTTTGAAACGTAGAAAATATTTTCATAAGAGTTCAAATTCCAGAATTTTTTTTGATACTTTCAGAAACCAATGAATTGATTTCTTTGTCGTGTAAAATTAAGAAATTATTTTTTAATTTTAATATTTAATGATATATAAAAGTTACCGATAAAACGCCGAAAATGAAACATAAAGTCAATTTTTTGTTTAAAATGTTGATTTTGTGCATGAAATGTTGACATAAGAATGTAGAAACAAGAATCATTAGTTTAGAATGTTGCGTTCATGTCTAAAATGTTCAAACTGGAATGTAGAAACAAGAATCATGAATATTGTCCCATTTGGTCTTCCATAGAAGAAGCGGTCTTTATTTATATTCAGTATTTCTTCTTCGGACAAAAGCAGATTTTAATATTTGCCGAAATAGGTATCTTAAACTAATTTCTAACAACAAAAATCTTTTTACCTTACAATAACGATCTTGCACATGACACTGACGTAACCGAACTGCACTTAGATTTCTTTGGCAAGGTGTGAAAGGATCCCAGAAATTCTTGAATGAATCAGAACAGTCGTAACATGTTAGATTACTTACAGCAGCCGACATAACTGAAATATAAATAATGGGGTTTGTTCAAAATTAAATATTGTTAACTCTCATACAAAGTTGAGATACGGAAATCGTACCCATCCAACCTTTCTCCAAAATATTATTATATTTAGCATATTTGGCTGGCAGCTTTATAAAGTGGCTCAGCAGGTGTTCCGATTTTACTAGGTGTCATGTTGGGGTGGTTGGGGTGGAGTGGGGTATGCTCTTCCGATTAAATTTAGAAATTTTGTCATTATGTTGTGTAAGCTCAGTCCGGTTCCTGTAGATGTGGAATGTTTGGATGAGTATATCTAGTTTCTAATACAAAATTTGATTGTCTTGTTATTGTCAAAGACAGTGTCAAATTGATGCATAATCATTTAGGATACAAAAAACAGATATGTGTGTGTATGAGAGAGAGAGAGAGAGAGAGGGAGAGAGAGTAGGTCATTTCGGGACTAACATATGGTTCAATTTTATTTCACTAATTTGCTTACGCGTAAGGGGGTCTTTAGCAGTGGGAGGATACTGGTGGACACGGAGAAAATCCACGAGGTTAAACAGGCGACCCTACCCTCTCTCTCTCTCTCTCTCTCTCTCTCACTCTCTCTCTCTCTCTCCTGAAAAGGGATCGATACTTCTGTATCAGGGGAAGGCGAGACCTAAGAAGTGGGTGGATGCACGCCCTAACCTACCCCCTCCCCGGCAAACACGGCCGCCACCTCTCGCTCTCGACCATGCAACCTACATTCTACCGTATATAATATTAATCGATGTTGAACTATTAATTACCTGTCTCTAGCTTACAGGTATAATAGGTTTTATATTTGCTATAGTAATTGATTAGATAATACGATTGATTGGGTGGTACATTACATCAGCAAAATTAACCAATATCGCGATAGCCTAATTTAAAACATAAATCATGAAGACAAATGTAGATGAGAATTTCATGTCATACCTTTCGGTTTTCTATTTAAACTACCCTAATTTTAAAAGTTATCCCACAGCCGGCGTAGCTAGTAAATTTTGTCGTACAAAAGAATGTACAACAAAAATGTTACGGCATATATGCATATAAAACAAAAAGACAGTACAATAATGGGAATCAAGTTTCCAAGAGTAAGCATAACCTGTCGCATACTCAGGCGGTTGACTTAAGTTAGTGTCCATTTCCCACGTGTCACGACTGACGTCCCAGTTATGGGTGTATTTTACGGGCAGTGCATATGTTCCCTACCCAGAATATCATTTCGTATTTGACTGAGGAATTCAATATCTCAAACAGTACACAAAGTAAATTAGGAATCTACAGGCAAATTATTAAAACAAAAACTCCCAAATGTTTTTAATTCCATTTTTAATTTTAAAAAAAGGCTACAGCTACTAATACTTACCTATTCTGACGTGACTGTTTAAACATATAATGCTGATAATAAGAAGTCTTAGACATAACATTTTCCAAAAGTTCTGAAACATCTTTCTTTTTTATATGACATTCCTTTCCGCTTCCAAAAAGCAATGGTTTGTTAAGGATAGTATTTATCAGATAAATTCAATCATGCAATAACATGTATTGATCACTGTTCTCTGATTTTATATACAGAATAGTTTTAAACAAGATATGTGATTTAGTTTTTCAACAATCTTTCCTAAAGCAGTAATTGATTTAAACGACATTGCTATAATCCAGTTGTTCTATAAATCACGATAGCTTTTAACATAAACCCCCTTGGATTCACATATGCTCCATTGTCATTCCAAAAGATTATGGACGTGGTCTCTTCTAGGTTATATATACATATTTCTTAACATACAAGTGCTCTTGTGATAGAAAAGTCATACTCCATAATGGACCTATAAATACTATAAAATTCATTATATTTTCACTAATCACTGAAGGTAGTTAAATCGATGAGATCAATGAAAAGGTATCTTCTCTTAGCTGTTGGCCAATCTGTCTATATTGTGTTTTATTTACTATCCACTTAACGTTGAAATAAGGTAGACAATGGCATCAATTAGAAGAGTGTGTACATAATGACAATGGTGGTTGCTGAAAGCGGTAGCATCCCTGGATACGGCAATATAATACACACGCCCAGTCCATAATACACTAAAAGACCATTAATTCTTGTATGAATTTCCTTCCATTTAAAACGCCATGAGGCTTATCTGGAAAAGAACAAAATAGAGAAAACAATTCAATTGATTTTTTCTTATTTTTGTTTTTAATAAAGAATCAACATTTTTACAGTATAAGTACATAACGTTTTAATTCCAACGTCCGTGAATTAAAACATATATCTATTTAGCTTACTAATCAACACACCAAATATACATATTATAAATTATAAATGGAATCAATTTGTTTGAAGACAATCACAAAAGATTAGTCAGTGTATATCAATTAATTATATGGATAGATCGTGTAATATATTTTCAATAATAGAAAACATATTATTTAATGATAAATATTTAATATTATAAGTATAAATATTATGTGTTTTGAAAGCATATTTTAATTAACTATGTAATAATAGAAAACATGTTATTTGTACATAAATATTGAAATTATAAATATTACATGTTTTCATTGCATTGTTATTCGAGTGAATATTTGAATTAATTATGTAATAATAGAAAACTTATTATTTATACATAAATATTGTAAGTATTAACATTACGTGTTTTCATTGCATTGTTATTTGAGTGTATATTCTAATTAAGCGTGTAATATTTTTGTTAAACTTAAAGGCGCATTATGTAAGAGCTAAATCTGCCTATGTGGTTTTTTTTTTGTTGGCTTGTTATATCATAAATTATTAGTTAGACATTTATTTACATGACCAGCCCATAATCAACTCTATAAACCATCGTATGGCCGTGATTGTGAAAGGATTAAAACACAATCGCCATTTATTAACTTAATGTAAAGATGCACAGTCGAGACCTTGTTTATTATCGTAGCAGATCCCAGAACTTTACTCAAAATACTTCAAACACTCATAACTTCACACAGCATAAAGTAACTTCGTTGTTAATTGTCTATTTTAGAACTATTATAGCACGAACGACCACCTTTTTATCTCTTACGTAAGGCATCTTTAATTAAGTGGGATACACGTTCAACCATGGACCGTACGCTCTATCTATGGTTCAGCCCACATTCATTCCAATTTAGAAACAAAATTACTTACTTTGGACGGGATTCATATTTATTCCGATATGAAATTTTATCGATGGGTTCATTGTCATGATAATTTGTAAGATCAATAAAATCATCGTTTACATGGACAAAATATTGATTTATAAACACCAACATGATTAATAATATATTGATTACAAAAAACGAAAATTAGTTTGCAATGATATCTATTAAGAATATATTGACATATTGGGTTTTCATTTAAGCCCATGTTTTCCCCGGGTTATTGTTTTATTTAAATGTATAAATGGCTTTCCGTGTATTTATTTTATATTCGTTATTTTAACGGAAATGAGCCACACAATATTGCCAGCTATCTTAACTTCTTATTTTAAAATGTATAAAGGGCGTTTCGTGTATTTATTTTATATGCCGCCTACTTCTAATTTGAATAAAAAGGGCGTTCCGTGTATTTTTTTATATTCGTTATATGAATACTGATAGCTATGCCGCCTACTTCTCATTTGATTGGAAAGAGCGTTCCGTGTATTTATTTTATATTCGTTACAGGAGTACTGATAGCTATGCCGCCTACTTCTCATTTGAATGGAAAGGGCGTTCCGTGTATTTATCTTTTATTCTTTATAAGAGATCGATCTTTAACAGAAATCAGCTCCACAACGTGAAATAAAATAAAACCAAGTACGAACAATCCAAATCATTAGACAAAATTCGAAGTCCTTAAAAAGTGGTATAGGCAAAATAGTGTAATCAGGCAAAATAGTGTAATCAGCATATGGACTGTTCACCGTGTACAAAATACACGACAAACAGTGGTAAAAGTTATGTCAACTCCTCAAATGAGAAGTGGTATCTGGCGGTCTACAAGATTAGTTTACCTTTTATTAAAATTATATTGACATTTTGTGTTTACTTTTAAGTCCAACTTTTTTATTCGTTTTTCTTGTCCATTTAAATGTTTAAAGAGCGATCCTTGTATTTATTTCATATTCGTTATAAGAGAAGACTTTAATGGAAATGAGCCACACAATATTTTTAGTCATGTCAATTTCTCAAATGCGAAGTGATATCTGGCGTTCTAACATTTTGTTTACATATAGCTATACCATACAAATCTTGTTTACATGCAGAACTATAACACACGCACTGTGTTTGCATGAAGAGCTATAACACGCACACCGTGTTTGCATGAAGAGCTATAACACACACACCGTGTTTGCATGAACAGCTATAACACGCACACAGTGTTTGCATAAAGAACTATAACACACACCTCTTGTTTGCCTGTACCATACAAATCCTATTTACATACAGAGCGTTACCACACAAATCTTGTTTATACATACAGAGCTATACCATATAAATCTTGTTTGCGTATAGAGCTTTAACGCTTAAATCTTGTTTAAATATAACAAACAAACCGTGTTTACGTATAGAGCTATAACGCACATTTTTTTTTAAATATACCACACAAATCTTGTTTATATATAGAGCTATAACGCATAAATATTGTTTAAATATAGAGCTATAACACACAAACCATATTTACATATAGAGCTATGACATACAAATCTTGTTTACATGTAAAGCTGTGACATGTAAATCTTGTTTACATATAGAGCTTTGACATACAATTCTTGTTTACATATAGAACTGCGACATACAAATCTTGTAGTTATAACACACCAATCTTGTATACATATAGCATTATAACACAAAAGTCTTGTTACATTTAGAGCTATAACACACAAATCGTGTTACATTTAGAGCTATATTACACATATCGTGTTAAATTTAGAGCAATACCACACTGGTTTAGAACAAACCCTGATTAAGGGCCATAACACGAAATAAACATACAGAACTATAAAACAAACATTGTTACTCACGGGACTGTAACGCACAAGCACACTGACCCACAAACTATTTTACAGACAGAAGACATCACAAATTGTGTTACACAGAGACAATATAACACATAACCTTGGCTACAAGACACACAAAACTTGTTACATACAGATCTATACCGCACAAACGTTGTTACATACATACTTGTTATAGACAGAACAGAAATACAGCACACAAGCCTTAATACAATGAGAATATGTCACGTGGGTGTGTAGGGGCGGGGATGTAGGTATTTGTGTATGTTTAATGTTTTGCTTTTGTTTTACACTTTATGTATGTACCTTTGTATCTCAGACCTGCCTAGGGGCCTAATTTTCCACCCTTAATACATAAAATGATTAGCTTTATTATTATTATTTCGTGGCTGAATTTCAATCATATTTATCAAGATAATCCTAAATTGGAGCCACTTATACTGGAATTCCATACATTTTAAGACGTTGGCCATATGCGCCACTAGACAACTTTATTGGCACAACCACATTTCTTGTGAGATAATAACCATTATTTTATGTCTATAGGCAATAAAGGCGGGTTGGAAATGTAGGCGATATTTAGTTTATATTGATAATATTTGTGTTCAGTAAACATTGTATAAACCAATCATTATTTTGGCTAAAACGGATCATTTTTCTAGTCAATGCATATTTATTCTGGGACGAATTTTATCAATATTATCAACATTTCTGCATTTGTATTTGGTTAAATCAGTCTATATTGACAATGGTTTATTTTTTATGTAATTAATTATATTACTACAGTTACTAGCTAATTGATTATAGAAACGCTCAATTATTTTAATGCAATTTCAACTTTCTGTTATTTGCTTCTTGGTGCGTGTCTATTTTGGGGATGTTTGTTGTATAGGTTCTTTATATTCATTGTTATTTTTTGCGTTGAAGGCTTAATGCAAGAAATTCAGTCGTGGCATTACATAGATAAAACCGGGGACTATAATATTAAAAACCTGAAAATAAAATATCTGAAATATACAGGCTTTTCACTAGCTAAGAGTTTTCTATTTCTATAATATTATTTGATAGTTATTGCTTTAAATATTTGATGCAAAAAATGAAACATACTGATGGCATTAAACAATTAAAACCAGTGGACTTATCAGTGAGTACTAGTATAATAGTTTAAAATCAACTCAGTTCTAGTTAATAGACCAATCTGTATTCAGTGAGTATTAGTATAACAGTCTAAAATCAACTCAGTATAGTTAAATCTGTATTCAATGAGTACTAGTATAACAGTTTAAAATCAACCCAGTCCAGTTAATAAACCAATCTATATTCAGTGAGTTCTAGTATAACAGTTTAAAACCAACTCAGTCTAGTTAATAGAGCAATCTATATTCAATGAGTACTAGTTTAACAGTTTAATATCAAGTCAATCAATCTATATTCAATGAGTACTAGTATAACAGTTTTAAATCAACACAGTCTAGTTAATAAATCAACCTGTGTTCAGTGAGTGGTGTGCAGTATGGGGGGATTGGTACGGACAGTGTCCAGTCATTCAAACAGAACGAGAGAGGGAGAGAGAGAAATGGGGTTTAACGTCCACTCGACACAAACTAGGTCATTTCGGGACTAACATATGATTTTTAATTTTATATCAACAATTTGCTTGCGCCTAGGGATCTTTAGCAGTGGGAGGAAAACGCAGGACCCGGAGAAAACCCACGAGGTTGGACAGGCGACCCTACTCCTTGTCACGTACAACCAGGGATTCGAAACCACGCCAGTCGACTCAATGACAGACTTTATGATACAGCGCGCGCACGCTAACCATTCAACCACCCAACCTCCCTCAAACAGAACGAAGAATGGAGGTCCCGTATACACGTAAACGAACCCTTGACAATTTGACTTGTGTTAGCGCTTCTTCATTAACCCTGTCGGTACAGGAAAATAGGACGTTAAACCCCATTTCATTTCATTTCATTTCCTGCATTCAATATCATGCCAATCTTAGTTTACAGCCTGTGATAACATTTTGGGTTCATAATTCCACTCTGTGGCCATGAAATTAAATTTTGTTCATAAAAGCCTTCGAACACCGAAAGAAAAGCAAAGAAAAAAAAAGAACTCGTCAATCTGATCATTTGAATACGTTTCCTGTTTAAACTGCAACTGTTTCTTTTATTGCATTGTAAACATTACATTCGATTGTTATTTCGTGTCAGAATAATCAGGACGTTGAATCTATTCCGCTATAACAAAGGATGAATCGAATATTTCACTAATAAATAGAAAGTTTTTAGACAGTGATTTATATCAGTATGTTTGAAGATGTGTACCCGATGAAGCATACAGATATGAATACGTCTTTTTCTCATTGTCATTGGCAAGTGATCAGTAAAAGTGTGATATTCGGACAATGTGTATAGCTCGCTTACCGTACATAAAATGATATCGTTTATGCATATCGTTTATACAACTGATATCGTTTGTACAACTGATATCGTTTATACAAATGATATTTATACAACTGATATCGTTTATACAAATGATATCGTTTATATATAGATAATCTCCTACGAGTCTTTTTTTACTCGTTGATAAAGTAAAAAAATCTCGGCAGAGCCTCGTTTTTGTTACTTTAGCGAATTGTGTTGATATTTTCTGACATCAAGAAAGACGAATAGGAGATTTTATTTATCACTCAATCCATTCTTACATGCACAAATAAATAAATATAATTCTTTGCTATAGATTTCACTTTCACTGAACCTGATTACATTACGGCGTAGTGATACATTATTTTTGACAGCAATTCAACCATTGCAAAGTCCTTTATATTGACCCAGTGTTTTCATCAAGGTCCATTAAATAACAACAGTTCATTTTTAATAAAAAAAAAATATTAATTTTAATAAGAAATGAACTGTTCTTTGAAAATAAAAAAGAGGTTCCTTTTTAACTGACCAATCAAATTCATGTAAAGCGATATCTCCTATTGGGTGATAAATATTTATAATATTACAATAAAAAAAACTTTTTTATGATATAAATTTATTATTGTGCTCAAATCGAATCATGGGAACTGAATTTGAAAGCATGACGAACACAAATACTGTGCTATATAAATACGATGAAAACATTTAGCCATATATTTTCACCTTATTTACCAACCTGTAGTAACAGAAATTGTCATCTAATTTGATATACAATTGGGGGGACGTAGAACCCTGTCCATATTCTTAAACATACATTATGCAAGAGCTAAATCTGTCTATTGCAGGCCTTTCTTTAGGCCTGAAATGTTATCTAAATTATTAATTAGACATTAATTAACCTATCCAGGACATAATCAACTCTAGATGGCAGCGCTAACCTGCGATCTTTAGTGGATTGTGAGCCGATTTACTTCATAACTCCCCTTCTCGATTTAACGATTAAATGGATAATCGAGACTATGCTGTTTATTGTACTGACTTTAGTAATGATGACCGAGGCTAGGGGGAAATTTCAGTCGTTTAGTTCTCGGTTCATAGAGGTTCAATTTGAATGAAATTTTCAGCAAATTGCCTTTACATTATCTAGTGTTTAACTATTATAGTGAGAACTGTCAACTCGTTACCGAATCTCCCATAACGTATCTTTAATATTTATGGTTATTAGTTTCACAGTTATTGTACGCTAGGTAAATTTGATGTAAGGATTTTTTTTTGATTTTTTTTTGTGTAAAACAAAGCGTTGGGGGAGCGAGGCGTATGTTACTTAACGTCCCCTCTTAATCCGCCACCGAATAATATTTTACGATGGTGAGTTAATGAGTTATGGTGCATGAAAGATTTTATAAGCTAAACAATGATATACAATAGAGAGATTATTATCTATGAAAATAACTAGTGTATATTTACTTATTGTGTAACTCATGTTGACATAACATCTATATAGGTCATCATAGGTGTGTTTAATATACCACTGTATAATTTACAAAAACAATAGAGTCATTGTTAATAGTATATCTTTATATTGACGAATTCAAAATGCTTTTCTTTCAAACAATATTTTATTAGAGACATCTGAATGGGATAGGTCAACAGCTGTATTTTGTTGGGGGGTTTTTTATACACAATATATAATTCAGAATATCTGAATGGGATGGGAGAATTGTCTTCGCATATGCAAAAATTATATAATATATATCTTAACATAACAACCCTACTGAAATACACAACACCATTTCTTTGGCTTATAAAACTCTGTTTCATTCTCATTTTTATCGCCAGGGATTATCGTTTCTTCTACTACTCAAGACTCGGCGTTCAATTTATGGACCAAAACCATGTACACAACTTCAAACCGATGCCTTTGAACTTTTGAAAATGGCGAAACACAAGTTGGAATTTATTTTGAGCGGTTCTTTTCACCATTTTGTGTAACAATACCACTTAAGAGGAGTATAGCTCTCACTCAGTAATACAATTTTGATAAATTGTTGAGAATGAATTAATTGCTTTTAGTGTTGATTGTCTATGTATTGATAGTAAACCGTTAATCGATCGAGTTTAGTGATCTAAATATGATCACTTTATTTAAAAGTGATTTATGTGTCAATCAAGTGTTTTTTATTTAGGGTTGATATGGTATCACCAAGACGACCGGTGTATTGTTGTCCTTCTTATTATGAAATATCAGCCTGAAAATCTTGACAAGACGACCGGTGTATTGTTGTCCTTCTTATTATGAAATATCAGCCTGAAAATCTTGACAATCTGAAATATGAAGCCGCTATCGATATGGCTATCCATGCAATTAATACCTAGTTTTATTTTAGAACTGTTATTGAGGCAACTGGCGTGGTTCCGATTCCCCGGTTGTACGTGGGTTTTCTCTGGGTCCTGTGGTTTCCTCCCACTACTAAAGACCCCAACACGCAAGCAAATTATTGAACTAAAAATAGAACCATATGTTAGTCCCGAAATGACCTAATTTGTGTCGAGTGGACGTTAAACCCCCCTCTCTCTCTCTCTCTCTCTCTCTCTCTCTCTTAGAACTAGCATTGGTTTAATCTTTTTAAAGGAGAGATTGTAGCTCGTAAAGTGTAGCTCGTTAAAAATGGCGCTGACTTTATAAACCAAGAGGTCCCGTGTTTGATCCCATTGTCGTTTGAGAAAGTTTCGGAACTTACCAGGCTAGCTACTCCTTGTCCGTGATACGGGACAAATTACACTCTGCTGACCATTTTACATTCGGATAGCTTTACTCAACCTGTAGGCCAACAAGAAATATACAATTTCCCGATATGCCATTACAGTGTTATAAACCCCGGAAACAATGGACATATTTTTAATTATATTTTGAAAAAAGTTAAAATGTTTAATATTTGTATTTAGCAACCTTGAACGCGCTAGAACAGATTTATTTAGCTCGAGGCATTCCGTTCTTAGATCTCGTCCAACCCTATGGGTTTTCTCCGGGTACTCCGACTTCCATATGTTACTCCCGAAATGACCTAGTGTCGAGTGGACGTTACCGTTACCCCGTTACCCCCGCCCGCCCCCCCCCCTCACTAAAACCGGTCGCCACATCTGGCGTATAAACCCATGCATCGTTTCTTACTACATATTTTGGAACTGCCCTTGATAGTCTAGTATCGTCTCTGGTTACATTTGTAATTCTTTAACTGGTTAGGACGTATCTTTAAATGTCATTCTGACATTTCACATTAATAACGACTTCACATTGTGATTGAATATACTGCATCTTAAACAATATGTATGATTAACAAACAAGATGACTGGAACAAAAGTACGGTTTCTACAGTTTTATATCAAGCTGGTTACATAGTTATAAGTACAGATTATAATATACTCTTCAAAAAAGTAGGGGATATTCAGAAGCAATACAAAACTGCGGAAATGCACTGTTGTTTTATTAGGGGTAACCAGTGTATGTTAATAACAGGCCAATTGCCAACACATGTACATAAACAGTTCATATGGGCGGCTTATCTGGCGGCCCCATTTCACTCCCAAAGAGATACACCGTCAAAAGTGAAAATGGACGTTTTTGATTTTTGTCTTAATAATGAGTAATTGCTCAACCAAACCTCAGACATTCAGCAATATGTCGTGGCATGCTCCTAATCAACCGTCCAATCACGATTTCGGGCAATCTGACCCACTCCTCTTGCAGTGCCACGGCCAATTCTTGCAGTGTTGTCAGTTGACGTTGACGAACATGTCTCCCGATCAAATTAAACGTAACACACTAAAGCAAAGATATGCTAAACAGTAAATATTATGCAAGAACCGATAGGAAAGCAAACATGGATAGATAAACCAGCACGCGGCAGTTTTCATCAACCCTTTCTTGGAGTGTCAAATTTGACAATGAACCCCTCCCACGTGTATGGCGCTATTGCGTGTCGCATGTGCAGCTCAGTGGTTCTATTGGGGCGATCAGTTCTTCATCTGTGAACATACTCTCAAAGCATGTCACATGTCCATTACTATTTATCATATCGCAACCTGCATAGGTATTTGCATTTCAATATCCCCTACTTTTCTTTTGAAGAGTATATAAATTGATTCTCTCTATCCCACAACCCAGATGTTGCCACTTGGATCTTAACGAATTTCTACGTGATGTTCCCTCTCTCACAAATATTCATGGTGTCTAACCGAGAACACACATTCTATTAATTATATATTCTCAGATTCACAGTCATTAATTTTTCTATTGACTAATTATGATGTAATTAATCATGTGATTGGTCACTCATGCCAAATATAAAATGGTGACTTTCCGATCGCATGATTTTAGACATAGAATCGATCCTCGAACTTAAACCCCTTTTCCTGTTATTCTCAAAATATTTCATAAACAATTTAATTTGAGTTTTAAATAAACTCATACCATAGCTAATATACTGACAATGGAGAATAGAAATGAAACATATGTATTTATCAAAATATAACTAATGTCCTCTGATGCACTTATATTCGTCTACTACAATTTCGCATAAATTATCAAATAATATTACAGATGTTAGGTGTTCCCGCCCATCGATGAGAAATCATATCCAGATCATTGAGATTATTGACATCAACTCGACTATATTACGCAAACATATGAATAGGAATAATAATGTCACAAATTGTTTTAATGTAATATGTAACAATTTGCACTTTTCTTTGTTCACTTGCCGTAGGGGTTTCTTTACATGTTTTCCCATTAATGACATCTTCAAAGAAAACAAAGCACGTTTTCTGCTTTAAGAAGAAAGAAATTATAGAATCAAAAAGAAAACATGTTTATTAAAGTTTTATTTATCATTTTATATCCTCAGTGTCGTTCAACCCACCCATCCTGCATTTTGTTTGGACGCCAGTTTTGAAATGTTGCCAACTGGAGAGAGAGAGAGAGAGAGAGAGAGCGAGAGAGAGAGAGGGAGAGAGAGGGGGGGAGAGAAATGGTGTTTAACGTCCACTCGAAATTAACTAGGTCATTTTGGGTGTAACATATAGTTCATTTTATTTCAATAATTCGCCAGCGCGTAGGAGTCTTTAGCAGTGGGAGGAAACCGGTGGACCCACGAGGTTGGATAGGCAACCCTAATGCTTGTCATGTACAACCAGGGAATCGAAACCATGCCATTGACTCAATGGCAGACCTTGTGATACAGTGCGCACGCGCTAACCATAATGCCCCCCTCCCCTGCCATTTTGAAGCGGTCACTTTATCTAGAAATAATGCATAAAAAACATGACACTTACCATTTCATTCATATATAACAAGGATATAAATATCCTGATTTGTCAGCGATATCACTTCAGTGGAAGCGGATGTTAAATAAAGCTACTTTAAGCACACACATACACAATCCTGATTTGGCGTGATTCACTCAGATACAATTCCAACAGTACACTGCAGTAATCAAGTGTTGTTGAAAGCTGCTATAATAGATATTGAGATGACAATAAACTATGAAGGCGATACCATAACACTCAGTCCTATTTTACAAGCCTGAATACTTCTATTTAGATCCCGATCTATAATTGAATAATCAATTAAACAGTGACCAAGTCTGAGATTGATTGGTGATTGCCAGAGATCAATAATCCAACAATTAATGTCGCATTGAACGTCACTAGACCAAGAATGCAGACGTTAATCTCTAGAGACCCGATTCAATAGAAAAAGAATAAGTTGGCTATATTCTATAGGAATTTAAAATCTATGGGAGCCCAGTGTTGTTATATTTGGTTCAGACTATCAAAGCTATAATTGAAAAGGGGTTTAACGTCCTACTTTTCTGCAGCAATCGAGTTAATGATCTCGGACATAAGCTATGAAGTGTGCTATGGGGGGAATTTTGCCCTGACAACGGAGCTATGGTTTACTCTAAATCCGAATTTCAACTGGCAGGTGCTCTTTTACGTGCAAGTCAACTTGTACTCGGGCCCCAGTTTTACGCCTCATCCATACAACGACGGAATAATGCTATTTTGCCCGGGCATACAGGACCTCAGTTTTTCCGTCTCATCCGAAAGACTAGAGGGTAGACAAGCACAGAATAGAATCCAAGATCTCGCATTTAGTCAGCGTAAAATGGTTTAATTCCGTTCAGTATTAAAACGATATGTGGAATTGAAATTTCATCGATCTATGCTGCTCTCTCTGTTCGCCGCCATTTTGTTGTCCGCAAAATTTTAATGGTAGATCTGTTTTAAATCCAATTGAATCGAAGCTGGGACCTTACCTAAAGTTCGTATTTTGATAATGGTTTCGTAATCAGATGGTAAATAACCAATCTGAGTACATATTAGCGTGGATAAAGCAGTGAGAAATTTAATATTGTGGCAAAACATGCAAATGACGACATTACGTTTTATTCCAATGATGAAGAACAGTAAACAACACAAAAACAAAACGGAAAGAAACTTGGATATCTATATTTTATATCGACTTCTTTGTCTACACAATTCATTAATTAAATATTAAATAAAACATTATACAATTTTATTGCATTAAAAAACAAAACAAAAAATAAATACATATAGGAATATGAGTAAGATTATATGTACAATGAAGCATGGTTTATGGTATTACAAAGCAGTACGAAAACAAGAGCCCAAATGGGTTAAATTATCTACCAAGCAGTTCGGGAGAATAGGCCAAAAATGCCTATAAAAGCAGCAACGAAAATATATTTAAACACTACGCAAGTATAAGCTCAATCTATCCCATCCTTATATAGAATCGAGAAAATATAACTGAAACCTTTCCAGTAGTTTGTGAAAATAAATCTAAAAATCTAAACGATGATAAAAAAAAACCCCACTTCTTTTAGCCAAACAGGACTACAAAAAGGAACTGACGTAGTTCCAAAGACAAATGGTATGTTTAGTGGGGTATGCGTTTTTGTTATTGATATAAGTAATTCATTTCGAAAGAGAGAGAGAGAAATGAGGGTTTAACGTCCGCTCGACTCAAACTAGGTCATTTCGGGACTAACATATGGTTCAATTTTATTTCAATCATTCGCTTGCGCGTAGGGGTCTTTAGCTGTGGGAGGAAACCGGGGGACCCGAAGAAAACCCACGAGGTTGGACAGGCGACCCTACTCCTTGTCACGTAAAACCGGGGAATCGAAACCCCGCCAGTTGACTCAATGACAGACCGTATGATACAGCGCGCGGGTGCTAACCATTCGACCATCCAACCCCCCTCATTTCGAAAGATACATAGAGATGAATTGTCACGCCCGAATTTACCTAGAGTCATGCTTAAAAATAATGATTGATTTCAATATATTTTATTACGATAAAGTAAAAGGATTGGAGAAAAGTTACATAAACATACAAAAACATCCTTTCCTAAATAAGTACATGAAATTATTCACGATAACCAAAGGTGCAAAATAAAGTAGAGAATTAATGATTAATGGCTGAAAGTTTTGATACTTTAGAACAAGAGGTTACCAAGAACGATACGTTCACATTTTACTAGAAATGGACGGGGAAAACAGAAAATCGACAGGTATAACACCAGAACAAAAAGTTGAGAATCGCTGATCATCTAAAGAGTTTATCCGTTCATGGCCCTAATGCATCACCCCAAATTTGAAAAAAAAATCTATTAGCTCAATCGGGTCCACTAGGTGTTCGGAAAGGGGGTATAACTATAGAACGGAAGGCTGTGGAACGCTGAATATCGATAGGGTTCGCCCTCTCACAATCCCAATGCTTCATAAAAAAAAATTGAAAAATAATGTGTGTCTTTTATCGCTTTCACAAGGTTTTTTACAATGGGGAAGAGGGGTAACTCCTGAACGGAAGATCGCGGGATGCTGATTATTGACAGTGTTCGTCCCTTATGGACCAGCAGAGAAAAATGATAAGCGATCGGTTTCATGCTCTCATGTTCCCAGTGATGTAACATTAAAATACTAGTACAGATATTAGCTGATGAAAAGGCTGCTATCTTAGAATATTTTAGTTTAAAGTTTTGTGAATCAGGCCCTAGATATTAAACTATACTTGTAAATAAGAAGAAGTAGAAGAAGAAGTACGATTTGAGTATTCAGACACCATTTTTAGATTCCAACACTGTATTGTACTGTGAATAAACAATGAATTCTTCTAAGAACTAGTCCAGCTACCACTTGGAAGTTTATGACGTATTTAACTAACCGTGGTTAGGCATAACACTCGCGTAACAATATGACGTATTTTAGCTAACCTTGGTTAGGAAAAACACTCGCGTTACAAGAAGACTAGACACTAGACAATCACATAAAAACATCCATACTATATAGAATTATATTCATCGGATACACAACTTTTATTTTATCTGACTTTGAATTATTTGTAGAATTGTAAATTCCACCTTCATACCTCTTTAACAATACAATGGGGTTTAACGTCCTACTGTTCTGCTCCTGATTGGGCTAATGAAGGCGGACCTCGATGAAACAATTGAAATGAAATGGGGTTTAACGTCCTACTGTGCTGCTCCGACTGGGCTTATGAAGACGGACCTCATTAACAAAACACAAACATAGTTCATTGTTCTCTAAACAATCAACTTCACAATTTTCCAGTCAGAAACTTGTGTAATTCAGGTATTGGTAATAAACTGGTTTGAAAAAATGTTTGTTAATGTTATAAGTGGATCGGTTTTAAAATGTTTGTTAATGTTATAAGCGGGTCGGTTTTAAAATTAAAGATAAATTCTGCGAGATTTAGAGAAATGGCTGGCAGTCAAATTACTTTATTCTGGGCGAAATTATGAATGTTTGAAGTTTTAACAAGAATAGCCAGAAATTGTCCCGGACGATTGCCGATTGACAGTTATATTCTCCATTATCACGAACCACTGCCGCGATAACAAACTTTCGGGTGCCGGCGATATAAGCATTGTATAACCCACTTTATATCTTAGCCACCCGATGATCTAGAGAGTTGATTATGGGCTTGCCATGTGCATAAATGTCTAAATAATAATTTATATAACACTTAAAGCCAGAAAACGCCCGGCAATAGGCAATTTTAATCTTTGCATAATTCCTCGTTACTATTTGTCTTCTTTATACAAAGCATGATCACGCCTACTTCAACATAGTCTGTTTAAAAGTCCAAGGACGGTATACATGTGACGTATTCTTTCCAGTTACACACGTTTATTCGAGAATCGAAGTAAAGATTCTTAGGGCATCTCTTTTCTGTTGTTATTCCGTTATAACAGCTGTAAAATATAGCGCAGTTAAACGGGTCACGATACAAGCCATTGGTTCTTCCGCTGCAGGACAATTTCCCTGAAATGAAATTAATGAATTTTACAATTCTGGCATCTTTAGTGCTCTACTAGTCACCCCTCCCCCGGTAACACAGTCACGCTCCTCATCCTACTGAAGCCCACAAATCAAATCATAATATAAAGGGGGCCAAATAGTGCATTAGGACAACCACTAGGTATTCCTAGTTCGAAATGGGGATTAACGTCCTACTTTTCTGAACCGACTGGGCTATTGAAGGTGGGAATATGCCATACAGTGTTTTGTCAGGGACATTTTGTCCTGACAGCGGCGCTTCGGACCACCCTTATTTCGAGTTCCAACTGTCAACGGTTCGTTTATAGATACACGCCAATGTATTCACGGGACCTTGCTCTTCCGTCCCATCCGAACGACTAAGAACCGATAAGAACCCGAGGTATAAAGTGTCTAGTAGTTCGGAAGGGTGGAAAATAGAATTTATGGTGGAGCAATTAGTGCTACTGTGTAGGCGTAAAAGCCGCTGCCATGTCAAAATTTGCCTGGCCATAGAAGATAAACGATGTCTCATGATAGCTCATCCATATAAATCAGTGTATAATTAAAGTCGATAAAGTACGAGTACGTCTATGTTTACGGTAGATAGATACATAAATAAATAAAAAATACTTTCATATAAGCTACCTGTCTGTCCTCTATAGGCGTCGTCAGATATTAATAATGTATACAAAAAAAATAATTTTTACCATACATATATACATTCATATACATAACTGAGTATTACTTACTTTTATTAAATCTATAGTTGATAATATAATATAACTGAGTATTACTTACTTTTATTAAATCTATAGTTGATAATATAATATAACTGAGTATTACTTACTTTTATTAAATCTATAGTTGATAATATAATATAACTGAATATTACTTACTTTTATTATATTTATAGTTGATAATTTTCATCCTCAATGCGTTAATATCTGTCGTCGTTGAAGGGGAAGAGGCCTCGTCTGAAATTTCGGCTCCTGGAGATATAATCGTGGATGTACCCGTTGCGACGTCAGTTGTTGTTGGTTCAACGGGTGTACTCTCGACCGTTGTCGTCACAATTGGCACTGTTGTTGGTTTAACAGTTGTCGTCACAATTGGCACTGTTGTTGGTTTAACAGTTGTCGTCGTTGGTTCAATTGGCACAGTTGTTGGTTTAACAGTTGTCGTCGTTGGTTCAATTGGCACAGTTGTTGGTTTAACAGTTATCGTCGTTGGTTCAACTGTTGTACTCTCGACCGTTGTCGTCACAATTGGCACTGTTGTTGGTTCAATAGTTGTCGTCGTTGGTGCTGGGGTAGTAGTTTGCTGTGCTATCTCATCGGCAATCAGTCGTTCTTTGGCTAGAGATATCAGAGTAAATTCCCCATCGCCACAAACGTTAGCAAAGTCGTCTAACTCCACAGACCAAAACGTAATACCCCCGTATCTGTTCTCGATTACCCAGTCCGTCTGAATTTGTAAAGAAAATGGATATGTAAAGACGTGTGTATTTTCATGTTAGACAGGGAGAGAAAGAGGCTAGGGGTTTAACGTCCACTCGACACATACTAGGTCATTTCGGTACTAACATATGATTCAATTTTCTTTCAATAATTCGCTTGCAGGGGCCTTTAGCAGTGGGAGGAAACCAGAAGACCCGGAGAATTCCCACGAATCTGGAGCATCTTAGTGGTGTTTTGTGGTGTGAACGCCCCATGCTTTCTGTAAGAATTGTGCTTTTCACTATACAGCATAGGTATTGCCCCACTGTTTCTTTACAAAGCAGTAGGGCAAACTTCGTCAGCAGAGGAACATTTACCTACTCCTTGCTATACTAAAACGGGGGCCACGGTGGCTAAGTGAGTAAGACGCTGGCTCGCTAACCTGGAGGTCGCGGGTTCCCTTCCGGTGTTGGCCGGGAAAGTTCATCGGGATTTCCCAGTGTGGTTTCCCCTTGTCGCTCGGATGGGACAACAGACCGAGGTCCCTTGTACACATTTGCGTCCACGTAAAAGATCCCTTGGCAGTTGGAATTCGATATAAGAGTAGGCCGTAGCGCCGCTGTCCGGGCAAAATTTCCCTCATAACACACTGCATGGTCTATGCCCGTCTTCATTATCCCAGTCGGAGCAGAACAGTAGGACGTTAAACCCCATTTCATTTCATTTCTGCTATAGTTAAACAAATACCAACCTTGGTCGCGAAACTGGCTAAATCATCAAAACCCGTCCATTGATCATCGGACACTACATAGGTACATTTCTGTTCTTCATCATAGAAAATATTAACTCCCGGGTTGCTCCTTTTCTTACAGATCTACATTAATTCAAATGAAACATAACTTTATGAAAAACACCGGAGATTATTATTGAAATATATTGGGCTTCTCCGTTTCAAAGAGACAGAGAACTCACTAACAAGCCAACAGGGGGGCCACGGTGGCTAAGTGGGTAGGGCGTTGGCTCGCTAGCCTGGAGGTCGGGTGTTCGGTCCTTGCATTGGCCGAGAAAGTTCACCCATATTTTCCGGCGTGGTTCCCCCTTGTCAGTGATGCAGGACGGAGGGCCTGACAAGGACAGCTGTCTAGTTATTCGGATGAGACGAAAAATCAAGATCCCGTGTACACATTGGCATGCCCGTAAAAGATCCATTGACAGTTGGAATTCGATATAAGAGTAGGCCGTAGTGCCGCTGTCCTGGCAAAATTTCCCTCACAGCACACTGTATGGCGTATGCTCGTCTTCATTAGCTCAACAGTAGGACGTTAAACCCCATTCCATTTAATCATGTCCCCCGCCGCGATCCTAAAATAAATAGATGACACATATTAATTAACTGCACATGTATCTTCTTGAAGAGTATCTCGAGCAAATGATCACTATCGAACACAGTCATGGTTTTGAAGTACCTGGTGCTAAGTTCCATCACTCTCCATACGTTACAATCAAAGTTATCTTCAAAAGGCGGGGGACAAAAAGATATAGAAATATTTGATCCTCAGAAGCATGAAGTTCTTCGGGTAATTGCTTGATAGTTTTTAATAATCACCTATCTTTAATGTAATCTATTTATATTTAATTACTCTCAGAACCTGTGTTTCAGTCGTCATTTAATAAATTGACATTTTCACACCAACTATCTTGTGTTTGTTCTTTGTTTTAAGATCATCTTCCAGGGCAGAGAGTATAACTATAAATTATTGTAGCCTCTAGTGTAATAATAAGGTTTGTGACGACCGTCCAACGGATGTGGACTTTATAAGGGACATAAGTATGGACATATTCATCGATAACAATCACTATATTATATACACACGACATTTAGAGGCATTTAATAACTGTCCGGGCACAATTTCCCACTTAGCCCACTGTATGGCATATGCCCGTCTTCATTAGCCCAGTCGGAGCATATTGAAGCATATTTCATTTCATTTGTTTCATCGAAGAATGGAATGAAATTATATTAACGTCCTGTCCCTATTAGAGATTTATCTTTCACAATATTGTGGTTTGCAAGGGACTCCTATTCCTACTAACCTCCATATACGATAGAAAACCAGCTTCTTCAGTTAGATCACCTGGTGCACCAGGACCTGCAGCTGCTGCACCAATACCAAACTTTTCACTGTCTTCCAATGTAAAGGATCTACCATAAGTCGCAAATCCTATATTGATCTTTTCTTTTGGTAATCCTTTTTGTTCCCACATCTTTGCCGCAAAATCCTTCAAAAGAAAATAAAGAAATTTAGCTACGAAAATAAACCTGTCAGTACTTGGTATTGATTGTTGCTATTTATCATAGTACAAGTCTCAGACAACTTATGGATTAATGTTTTCTTTGTTAGAGAAGCATGGATGTGACCCATCAACTGTTATAATAGACTTTGAACGCTTTGTAGATCTTGCTCTTCATGCAGTGCATGGACCACAAGTACAGATTCGGTACTGTTTTTATCACCTTACTCAATCAACTTGGAGACACGTCTAGTCACTAAGACTTGCAACATGTACAAAGTTGACAACGAGTTCAGACTTTTTTTTAGAAAAATATATTTGGCGCAGTTAAAAACAAAAACAAAACCCCAAAATACACAGCAAAGAAAAGATCTGTAGGAGAAAACAAACAAATAAATCTGGCCGAAACGACCTCTTTCTAAAAAATAAAGTGGCCGGAAAGTCCTAGGACGAAATGTGCTAGGCCGAAATGTCCACTGCCCGAAACGTCCTACATTCCCGTACGACGTGTGGTCATGTATACCAGTCGCTATAAAACACATTCATCTAGAGTCCTACCATATTCAGTTCTCTTTCCTCTGCCCTTTCACTACTTCTGGGATAAAGTGGACTGTTGCATCCTGTAGTCGTATCCCATGATCCATGTAAATCATACGTCATAATGGTGGCAAAGTCGAGGTACCTACAAAAAAAATATGAGAATGTAAATACACACAAAATAGAATAATACTTGTCGGAATGTTCAGATTAGAAATTCATGTTTTACTCTAGTTTAAAAAGGGGGATCACGGTGGCTAAGTGGGTAAGACGCTAGCCTGGAGGTCGGGTGTTCGATCCCTGCACTGGCCGAGAAAGTTCATCCAGATTTTCTGGCGTGGTTCTCCCTTGTCAGTGATGCAGGACAGAGGGTCTTACAAGAAAAGCTGTCTAGTCGTCCGGATGGGACGAAAAACCGAGGTCCCGTGTGCACGTAAATGATCCTTTGACAGTTGGAATTCGATATAAGAGTAGGCCGTAGTGCCGCTGTCCGGGCAAAATTTCCCTCATAGCACATTGTATTGCCCGTCTTCATTAGCCCAGTTCAGAGCAGAACAATAGGAAGTTGTACCCTATTTCATTTCATTTCATTTTCTAGTTTAAAAACTATCTTTATATGTATTGATTACATTTAAAATACAAATCAATTTCTTACTCAGCTAAATCTAGAACAATATAGCCGTTATCAACTATATCTAATAAAGGACTAACAGCCGCCGTTAATAACAATCTAGTAGCTATCGTCTCTTCATTCAAAAAACCTTCCTTCAATTCCTGAAAAAAAGAAGCATCGAAAATAATATTACTAAACAATATTATAAAACACCATAAAAACAAAGTATAGTTAGTCATTTAAAAACAACGTTCCTCCCACTGCTAAAGATCCCTTGGGTGGCGGGGTTGTTGGGCGAATGTTTACACGTGCGCTCTGTATCATAAGGTCTGTCATTGTGTCAACTGGCGTGGTTTCGATTCTCCGGTGGTACGTGATAAGGAGTAGGGTCGCCTGTCCAACTTCGTGGGTTTTCTCCAGGTCCCCCGGTTTCCTCCCACTGCTAAAGATCCCTACGCGCAAACGAAGTATTGACATAAAATTGAACCATGTTTTAGTCCTGAAATGACCTAATTTGTGTCGAGTGGACGTTAAACCCTCTCTCTCTCTCTCTCACTACCTCTCTCTCTCTCTCTCGCTTGCTCGCTAAAGATCCCTACACGAAAGCGAATTATTGAAATAAAACTGAACCATTTTAGTCCTGAAATGACCTAATTTGTGTCGAGTGGACGTTAAACCCCAGTTCTCGCTGTGAGAGCAAAATTCACATGTTTGACAGTACTAATATAACCATCGAAATAAAAATTACTATATGTTTGTCTCAAAATAATTGCTGTGTTTTGCGTTGACAAGACATTAGCCCACCCCATCCCCAATCCATTTAGAGTTGACCGTTTAACCAAAGGGGTGATTCATCAGTGCCGATAAGAAAGGTGTTGCATGGTCGTTCGGACAAGATAAGGTGTTAACACAAGACCTTTTAAGAATGAATGAATGAATGAGTGAATGAAATTGGGTACAACGTACGATTGGAATAATGCAATTTTGCCCGGACAGCAACTGAATTTCAGTTGTCAAGGGTTCTTTTACGTGTACACCTAAGTGTGTACGGTACCTCGGATTTCTCGTCCCATCCGAACGACAAGAGGATCTTTCTTGGCCAATATCGGGATCGAACCCAGGATCTCCTGGTCTTACTCACTGAGACTCCCGACTCCCGTTAAAACTAGACCATTTGATAATGAAATAAATATATCGTAATACTTACCTTCAGAAATAAACTAAAATTTGTTTTGTCCTCGACTTTACCCCCTCTAGATCCAGGAAACTGCCAGCTAATTTCGAGACCATCAAATCCATTTTCTCTCAAAAACCTTATTGCACTCTGCACGAATTGTGACCTGGCTGTCAACGATGCTACCATATCTGAGAAATCCGATCCACCTTCGAGCCATCCACCAACGGTCAGTATAGTTTTAAGTTTAGGATTGGTATTCTTTAAAGAATTGAGTTGGGCATACCTATTTACCAAAATAAAATTATACAAAATAAACCTCGTATAAAGATTCCAAATGAAGCATGTATTTCTGCCCATTCTATGGTAGTATTAATTTTTGTACCGCTGTGAAGCAGTATAAAAATGATATGATAAGGAATGGGGTTTGACGCCGTAACTTCGCCCTTTTCTGCACGGACTGGACAGTTTTCTTTCGAATTTCAACTGTCAGGGTTTATTTTACCTTCACCCCAATGTGTAAACGGATTTCCATTCTATCCCACTGCTTTGGTCAGACGGTTGAGGCGTTTCTCTTCGAAAGAAGACTAAAGCTCCGCCGATTCAAGTACGATAAACATGAAACCTAGCATGCTTGTCCCTTGGATAATTAAATTTTTGTTATGGCGGCATAATTCGAAGATGGCGGCGATGGCGTCATAATTCGAAGATGGCGGCGATTACGTCATGCTCAATTCTTGGTCCTAAGTACGCTCGTACTTGTTTACAAAATGTCTTACATATCATATTCTGTCTGGTCTTCTCTGTCTGCAAATATATTGCCATTAACAGCAAAATCAGCGAAGCTGTAGATGATGTGAGTACAAAGAAATGGATCAATCAAACCCGGTAAAAACTGGGCTTGGGATTGTCTGAACCTCGACCTGTTCGTCAAATAACACACCCTTCTGTACTCTGGAAAAATAAAAATTGTAAAACAAAAATCATAAATTATTTTTTTTTTAAATTAAACCAGGAATTTTATAGGCGCGGTTGAGTGGCCGAATGGTCTATAGCATGCGCTTTAGATCATAATTTCTGTCATTGTGGCATGGGCGGTATTTTCATATTCAGCTTTATATGGTCGGGCATAACAGGAACTGTCATAGGACTTCATCCGTTCAGAGAAACTAATATAATACTAACTCCTGCCTTTCTTCTACTTGGAAGGGTCTAATTTCCAGGGAGGTCGGGCATAACAGGAACTGTCCTAGGACTTCATCCTTTCAGAGGAACTAATATTATACTAACTCGTGCCTTACTTCTACTTGGATGGGCTGAATTTCCAGGGAGGTTGGAGAGATGGGATATTTCCAGAGAGGTTGTAGATAAGACATTTCCAGAGAGGTTGCAGATCGGACATTTCAAGAGAGGTTGTAGATAAGACATTTCCAGGGAGTTTGGAGAGGTGGGATATTTCCAGGTTAGTGGGAGAGATAGTACATTTCCACGGAGGTTGGAGACATGGAAAATTTCCATGGAGGTTGAAAAGATAGAACATTTCCAGAGAGGGTGCAGATAAGACATTTCCAGACAGGTTGCAGTTAGGACATTTCAAGGGAGGTTGGAGATATAGGACATTTCCAGGGAGGTTGGAGATATGGGACATTTCAAGGGAGGTTGGAGAGATTGGATATTTCCAGGGTGATAGTCGATACATGTATAGGACATTTCCAGGGAGGTTGGAGAAATGGGAAATTTCCAGGGAGGTTGGAGACATGGGAAATTTCCAGGGAGGTTGGAGACATGGGAAATTTCCAGGGAGGTTGGAGAAATAGGACATTTCCAACGAAGTTGGAGGGATAGGACATTTTCAGGGAGGTTGGAGAAATAGGACATTTCCAGGGAGGTTGGAGAAATAGGACATTTCCAGGGAGGTTGGAGAGATAGGACATTTCCAGGGAGGTTGGAGAAACAGGACATTTCCAGGGAGGTTGAAGAAATGGGACATTTCCAGGGAGGTTGGAGGGATAGGACATTTTAGGGAGGTTGGAGAAATAGCACATTTCCAGGGAGGATGGAGAAATAGGATATTTCCAGGGTGGTTGGAGGGATAGGATATTTCCAGTGAGGTTGGAGAAATAGGACATTTTCAGGTTGGTTGGAGAAATAGGATATATCCAAGGAGATTGGAGGGATAGGATATTTCCATGGAGGTTGGGACGATAGGATATTTCCAGGGTTGGGTTGGGAGTGTTTGGGTATGTCGGTGTGGGTAGTGGGTGGATAACCCTAAACCTATCTATAATTCAAAATGACCTTCCCAACTGACCTGAACTCTTCCCAAATTGATCTGAAAATAGATAACCCCAAACTGATAACTTTGGAGGTCAAGTCTCCTGTGAGCAGAACATTCACCAGAAACTCTATTTTGACAGAACAGCTTGGTTGATTTTGACAAAACACAGATATGATTGTAATATTATTATATCAACTGAGACATGTACTTTTGATTGAGTGTGGTTTTGTTACACACTAACTTTTATTATGACGCATCGGACCAATTTGAGCCTATTTTTAATTTGTCTACGAGGTGTCTGAAAATCCGGCGCGGATCCAAAGATGGTGGACCCCCACTACTCAGGCTCAATTTAGGGGCCCGGGGCCCGCGATAGTCGGAGGTGGCATCTACAGCAGGCCCGTCGGAGTGGGCGTGGCTGGGGTAAAGTACCCCTTTCTCCAGGTTATTGCACACAAGTAATTATGCGGTTATATACAACGAGACCTGATTTTAAAATAGAAGTGAGACTTCTAGAACTTAGAGTTTCAGAAGAAAACCAAGGTATGATCTATACTGATCCCTGGGTTGAGAGATCCTCAGTTGCGAGGGAAACGATTAGTTAACTGAACAGTCGATCTTTAATTCAACCCCACCTCGCTTCCGTTGTATCTATGACAGATTAGGTATGACACATTTTGTAAGAAATGTATGGGGAAGAGGTAAAATCAATAGGGCTCATCTTATCATCCAAGATCTTTTGATCCTTACAACATTGGTTAAGTTTCTTCAGAATCGGACAACATTATTGTAGCCCCTCCAAAGGGCTACATATTTCACTTTCTGTGTAAAACGCAGGGGCTATAGCACTAGAATGTAAGGTCTGATGCGTACCAAAGTCAGACTCATCCAGGAACTTTTGATCCTTAACACATAGTTTAAGTTTTATCTCCTGAATCGGAAGGTCCACAAACTTCATTCATATTTCAAATTTTGGGTAAAAAGCAGGAGGTCAATGCGCACCAAAATCGTACTCATCCAAGAACTAGTGATACTCGTTTTAAGTTTCATCTAAATCGGATAAGAAATTGTTACCTCTAGATGGTCTACAACCTGAGTAATACATGCATTATACTATATGCGTAAAAGGGAGCGGCCATTTGATACAAAATATGACTCAACCATAATTATTATGTAACGGTGATATATTTGAACGACTTCGAAAATAAGATAAAAATGATGACCTCTAGAGGGCCCACAAGCTAAAAACGTGATATTTCGTTCAGTCAGGCGTCATAATCCAGAAGGTTAAGGTCCAATACGCGCCAATATCAAAAGAGACTCAGACTTTTTTAAAATCAAATAAAAACTGTGATCTTTAGAGGACCCACAAGCTAAAAATATATATATAGGAAGTGACGGTCCTATATGCGCCAATCAAGAATTGCTTCCGCCGGCCCATGTTTCCAAATTTTCTGGGATACCACACTTCAATATGGAGATCTGACTCCCTCCTGCTGAAAAAGCCTGGATCAGCCCCTGAGCATACATTCCACGAAATTCTGATATGTAGTATTAATTTGACAAATGTGTTTGTGTGTATTACTGTTGATTGAGTAGTATTAGTATGTAGTTACGCCTAGAGGGTTATTTTAATGTTTAAAAAACTACAACATTCAGCCACCCAACTCCCCATGTGTATAGGTATCTTTATTTGAACTCGGAGACAATTAATATTAATTTATCAACTAGTAGGTATTACGGATCGACCAGAGCGTTCTTATCGTCAAAATTATTGCAAAAGGTGGTCATATAGATATTCACATCATGTTCAAAATTTAATCAATTTCATAAAAAAAATTAAAACAATTATGGATAATTGAAACTGACAAAAAAAACGCGTTTGTCGATTCTTGTCCGAGCATATATAGAAAAGCTTAAATGTTAACAGCAATATACATTCAGCTTCCTATTATAGTTTATATTTTAATAGCTATATTCCTTCATAAACAAATAAAGTTACTTACAAAACACGGACAAGGATTTTCTTATCTGGTCTTTCGTGAGTGTGTGTGTTGTGTGTGCGTGCGTGCGGGTTGTGGGGGCATAGGGTACTGATTATAAATTGCTATTTGTGTCTTAAATACTGGATATTACGATCCTATAATTTTAAGCAAGATAACAATATCAATATTGATTGAAATTGACCAATATTGAATTCTAATTAGACTTTTTAATTTTGAATATTATGGAAAATATTGAGTTAGAAACTTAGCCCCTTTAATCTAAGAGCATTAAAATTTACGTCCACACGACACAAACTGGATCATTTCGGGACTAACATATGGTTCAATTTTATTTCCATAATTCGCTTGCGCGTAGGGTTCTTTAGCAGTGGGAGGAAACCGGAGGACCTGGAGAAAACCCACGAGGTTGGAAGTATGGTGAGAAATTAACAAAGTATATTAGTACTGACGAGAAATTAAGCCCATTTTATTTGAGTTATTATTACGGAAGCATCAAGAATACGCCAGTGGCGTCATTTTCTGACCAACTTTTACATCACGGGTTGTCGAGAACATACACACCGAATGGAAATATGGCAAATAGATGACGGTTACGTCAACTTAAGTTCTGCTTAAGGACTTATAGTGTATATGACAAGCAATGTATTGTTGGAAGTCGTCAATAAGACTATCCCAAAAACTGACAACACGTCCGTGTCCTCATTAATAGAAATAATCGCTTACTCATAATATGACATTTAAACTAATTATCCATTATCACTTATTCCTAGGAGCTATTTACGCGTTAGATCCTGAAAATGTTTCACGAGACACGACTGTGTCCTTATCCACGGGGACAAGAGACTCTTACACACGACTGCGCTCTTATCTTATCTACGGGAACGGAGCCTCTCACACACAAGTGGCTCGTCTGACAAGTTACTGAAAGGAAATGAAATGAACTAAAATGGGGTTTAACGTCCTACTGTTCTGGTCCGAACTGAGCTAATGAAGACGGGCATACGCCATACAGTGTGCCTGTGACGGAAATTTTGCCCGTACAGCGTCACTACGGCCTGCTATTATATGACAAGGGATCTTTTACGTGCACGCCAATGTGTACACGGGACCTCGGTTTTTCATCCCATCCGAACGACTAGACAGCTTTCCTTATCAGGCCCTCCATCCTGCATCACTGACAAGGGGGCACCACGCCGGTTTTTCTGGATGATCTTTCTCGGCCAACCTCCAGGCTAGCGATAAGCGTCTTACCCACATAGCCACCGTGACCCCCTGACATATAAATTATTTATCTGCGATTTCACCCTCGTTGTATTAAAATTTATTCAATAACTATTACTCATAGATCTAAATCGAATTTAAAATATCTCAATACAAGTACTTTGTGTTTTCACACTGGGGCGTATAAAACAAGCATCACGTGTCTACTCTGCCTCGTGCACGACCTCGCTATGCGATCCCAGAGGCAAACTAGAATATTAGAGGCAGTATTTTGTAGATATAAAGCTTATAATTATAGATACAATATTAGTATATATAGGTTATAATTAGTACCTACCTGCTGTGATATAGGATATATCCAACATAAACAAAACCATCATCACTTGAACTTTAACCTACAATTATAAAACAAATCAATATTGTTACATCACATCGGTAGGTAATTAAAG